ATGATTATTTAATTACTTTAAAGATTTGTTAAGCATATAAGGATTTTATAAGTAATATTATATGGATTAATTAATACTATGCCTTATCTATAAGTACGATATATTATCACCAAAATTAAACAAAAGAGTGGTGTCCGACTGAGTGAAATTGCTATCGGACAATTGCAGCAGGAACTGGACATGTCCGATTGATTTAGGTTTATTAAAAGGACATTAAATAATTCAAATAATTAAAGAGAACCGTGCATTCCTAATGACTTTTAAAATAACGAAATATAAAGTAATACGTGAATTAGTGTCGAGCAATGGGTGCGTTTTGTTGAATATCTCTCCTCCAGGGCAAAGGAATGATTTGGTACACAGCACAGTAAGTTTTCAAGGATATATGACTAGGTTATAACTTTGGTATATATGGATACAGTATATACGTTCTAATAATATTAACATTTTAACAACCAAAACTTAACAATTTCTTGAAACAATAGAAAGAGAAAAACAATTGGTGGTAGACAAAATTTACTTAGGTTTTTACCTTTATAGTTTATATTATATCTATGTCGTCCATCTTACTAGCTACCTACCCACTAAATGTATATATTGCCTTTATCCTGTTGATGTAATATTCTAGTCTGGGATATAACCCAGGTAGAAACAGACCATAACACAGTTGGGGAATATGGCTATTCTATCAATATGAACATGGCTACAGTAAGTAATATTCTATCAAAGTCTAATTGGGGAGGATGATTCTTTCCTTCCAATATAAACACATCTACAATAGCCACAATAAATAATATTCTAGCTAAGCCGTGACCTCCAGGCTAGCGAGCCAGCGTCTTACTAATTTAGCAACCGTGGCTCCCCAGACTTAAAGGAATCAAGGTAAGATTTGACTAAAGGAATCCGGACTAGGAACCCGGCCGGACTGGAGAATCCAGGAAAATATTCTGGGTCAATTCTGGGTCAACACTGGGATCCAACACTGGTCTTGGGTATTAATATTTTCTCTGAGTGAGGGTTTTATTAGCAAGATATTATTGATGATTTTTGACCATTTACCCATCTTGATCTTTGGTACTTATATATTTTGCAATTTTGAATATTATTCACCATATATGGATGTCCAATTAGGCATATTTCAGGTCGGACGTTTAGTAAATGGCGTAGGACATGTCCAGGAATATACGGGCGAAATATCAATTGTGCTTTGTATCAATATTCGCCCAGCCGTGCAGAAAAGTAGGTTGTTAAACCCCATTTCATTTCTGTATTAATATGCACTATGGGTGTTGCTTTCATTGAAGCCGTATCAACACACAAGTAAATCTGAGACTGGATTTGAATGTAGGAGGTCAAAATTGCACAACTTATAATACTTAACACTAACACCAATATTGTTATCACATATTTACCGGTATCATATTCAATTCATCGAAATTTAATAATCAAATAAGTAATTATATATGGAGATATATTATAAAATGTGTGAACAATCCACACAGTATTTATATATTGATCATATTTAACGGTATCATATTCAACTAAATTTAATAATGAAATAAGTAATTATATATAGAGATATATCATAAAGTGTTTGAACAAACCCTACTGGTTTTCAACTAAATTTAATAATGAAATAAGTAATTATACATATAGATATATTATTAAGTGTTTGAACAAACCCTACTGGTATTCAACTGATTTAATAATAAGTAATTATATGTATCCATATATTATAAAGTGTTTGACAAACCACACGGTACTAATATAATAATAAAAATGCACATTTATGATTGCGCTCACTCCATCCAGCTCACTCCAACCATACTGCATGCTCTACGCTAATCCTGATAATAATGTATATAAATAAATGGATAAATAAAGCTAATGTTTGTGAATTCTATATCTTAATTGGTAAGTTATTCCACAGACACTGACCACCTTGTCATGATAGGGTTTTAGTTTAGCATGCAGCACATCATTGTATATAAGAACTCTGAATAAATACTTTTTAAATCAAATACAGGCAATGTTTGTGAACTCTGTATCTCAATTTGTGAGTTATTCTACAGACAAGGTTTGCAGACACTGAAGGTCTTGTCACTGTAGGGTTTTAGCTTAGCTTGCAGCACAACCAATGAGGGTTTATTTTGTGAGTGAATTGAAAAATTTGGTTATACATTGATCATCATAAGGAAAATGGAAGAAACCAAATCTCCAACTCTTAAACTACATTATATGGACAATAACTACCAAATATACCATAGTGTATAAACTATGAAGTGGTCTGATCCCACAAGCCTGGAAATACAGCACCTGTCACAGACTTGTGCCACTGCCATGCTTTTTGTACAGCAATGAATTGTCATTTTTTGTGGTTTTATTTTTAAAATTATTACTACATGTCTGGTTGAAAATGTCAGGAATAACGATAATTTCCAGATCTACAAATCAACCATGTTCAACTATGGATATATTCATATCATTAGCATGTAGATAAAGGACAAGCTAGATAAATGGATAAATTACAAGAATCATTACAATTACGGTAATTACATGTGTCATGACGTGTCGTGACATTTACTTGTGTCGTGACATTTACATGTATTGTGACAACTATGTGTCATGACATTTACATGTATTGTAACATGTGTCATGATATCATGACAATTACATATATCATTACAATCACACACATCATGATAATTACATGTGTAATGACAATTAAATACTTCATTACAATTACACGAATCACTACAATCACATATAATCATTGAAATTACAATCACAACCCCCAAATCACACAATATAGAAAATTACTTATTCATCATTTTAGGTAAATAATACTATAGATGGCTGCTTTAACCAACATATTTCCAAATTTAACAATCCTTTAAAAAATCAACACTAACAATAATTAACAATACTGACCATGATTTACTTGTACTTAAATTAATTATAATAAATTATATATCAGAACCAGAAAGCCATGCTTAACCCGTCAAAATTTAAATAATCAATAATCAGTAATATTGTGATCCAAACAGTGTAATAATTAATGAGAGCCTTAAATTTTCACCTGAAACAGAGAGCTGTGGCATTTGTTCTTCGTGATTTCTCTTGTAAATTTGTATAAACTTTAACTGTAAATCCTCGAAGATCCTTCACACATATCAGAACCAGAAAGCCATGCTCAACCAGTCAAAATCAATAATTTTGTGATCCAAATGGTTTAATAATTAATGACAGCCTTAAATTTTCACCTCAAAAAGAGCTGTGACATTCGTTCTTCGTGATTCCTCTTGTAAATTTGTATGGTTTAAATTAGCAATTAATTTTAAAAATTGACTAACTTTAACTTTAACACTCTATTTATAGATAACAATTACTATGGATTATTCCACTGTGCACTAATGCCATTCAAAGAATTGAAACTTGAAGTAATTCCTTGTAGATCCTTCACACATAACAAAGCAAAGGGGTTACAAAAGTCTAGAGAAAATGAGAAGCTTTTTAGGAGGTAGATTTCCTTTGTATTTTCAAATATCAAGGAACTATTGTTCTATTTTTAGCTCTCTTACATTTTATTTGATTCAAGCACTAAAATTGACCTCACCATGCCTATATGTTTTCTTTCTTTTTTTTACAGTATTTTTTATTTTGATGCAATGGAAAAATAGTTTTAAGAAAGTAGCTGGAGTTATTTCAGAAGTATGTTTTCTTATAATATTGATCTCCAGATCTGTCGAGGTTGAACCACAATATTTTTTAATTTTTTTTTATAGAAGTAAGAGAAATAAGACAGGAAGCAGGGGCGGATCCATGAATTTTTGCAGGAGGGGGTTTGTCAGGTTCCTGTTGAGAGGAAATTTAACAGTTGACAATTGCCATATCACATATATCTATATCATTATTTCGTGCTTTAAATGTCCACCCCATCCCACGATCTGATGATAAAGGATAAAGCACACGACCATGACACTTTTCTCATAAAAAGTGTTGTTTTACAAAAATTTTTATGTAGCTGAGCTGGGGGGATAGACCCCGCAAAACACCTTCTGGATCCGCCCCTTGGTAGACAGATGTTAGTTTTAAGGTGGAAAGCTTCCATGTTGAAATATCAAAGAATAGTAGACAAGGAAGGTTGAAAGATCAGAGTCACTAGAATAACGGGCAACAAGGAATAGCTAAATTGTCTTTGATGACTTTTCTACAATATAAAATATTATAAAACATATTTCACATGCTATTACTATCTGGGGCCAACTTCCAAGAAATATTCTAAAGTTCTTTGTAGTGTTCAGTTCAGTAACACCCAATCTGATTAAAATACAGATCTATATTTCGTTTCGTTTTTTTATACTTTCGATGGCCTACACTACATGAAGATCTGACCAGTTGTACTGGAAGGTCGCGTCAGGGGTCGTAGGCGCAGCTTTGGACCCTATGACGTCAGACATTGATTAATCAATTAGCGTTGACGTTTCTAGTGGTTTACCCACATTTCCGTGCATCGCACGCCAAGAACTCGCCGTAACAGACCACTTCATTGGCTAATCCCTAACTTCAACCAGAACCCCGGTAACACCGAGATGAAGTGTGAAAATTGTTGCACAGAACTCCAAAAGAATATTGAACAAGACACAACTACAAAATTATGTTGTGTATTTTTCTATTTCAGGTTCAATCGCTAAATGCCATTTAAGGATATTATCGAATATGCTTGATGACGTTAGACGTAATAAATATATTTCTTTGAAGATGGCCCAGGACTTGAATTTACCTATGTATATACCCTAGAACAAGAAATTAATACCCCATCAATTGCTTAAAGATACATTATGTAAGATTATTTAGATAAAGAGCTGACAGTTCTTGTTATAACAGTTCAAAAATAGATAATGAAAAATGAATATATTGAAAATTTCAGTTGAATTACTTTACACTGAACGAAGTTATGAGTGTTTGAAGTTTTTAGTGTAGATTGTTTATTATGGGGGGGGGGGGGGGGTAGGTGGCCAAATGATTAGCACGTTCGCACTGTATCATAAGGCCTGTCATTGAGTCAACTGGCGTGGTTTCGAATCCCCGGTTGTATGTGACAAGGAGTAGGGTCGCCTGTCCAACCTCGTGGGTTTTCTCCGGGTCCTCCGGTTTCCTCCCGCTGCTAAAGACCCCTATGCGCAAGCGAATTATTGAAATAAAATTAAACCATTTGTTAGTCCCAAAATGACCTAGTTTGTGTCGAGTGACGAGTGGACGTTAAACCCCATTTCTCTCTCTCTCTTTCTTTTTATTATGGTAGCTATGGTATTTGATAATCAAGACTATCTGATTTTCGAGAGAGTTGAAGCGAAAAGAAAGACCTCCAATAGGCAGATTTAGCTCTTACATAATCATTAATATTGGTATATTGCTTGTTTTAAAGAATCTAGCACAATGTTTACCTTAAAGATACATTATGGGAGATTAGATAAAGAGCTGGTAGTTCTCACTATAATAGTTAAAAACTAGATAATGTAAATGGAATTTGCTGAAAATTTCAGTCAAATTGATCCATGCTGAACCAAGTATTGATTGAATTTTGGGCGTGGCCTCGATCATCATTACTAAAGTCGGTACGATAAAAAACATTGTCTCGATTATCCATTTTTTGATTTAATGTATGTTTAAGTAAAGATTGGAGATATTATACAATGTATTAATGTTATTACCATATTCTTCTTAACAACTACTGCATTGTAAGATTTACGTTAACCCTTTAAGCGCCATATCATTTTATCCGTGCATCTAGTAGTCAGAATGACTCAAAATACTTCTTCATACATGCATCTAGTAGCAAGATTAACTAAAAATACAATATCCATGCATCTAGTAGGAATAACTCAAAATACTTCATACATGCATTTAGTAGCCAGATTAACTCAAAATACTTTTCAAGCATCTAGAAGTAGGATTAACTTAAAATACTTTATCAAGCGTTTTGTAGCCAGATTAACTTAAAATACTTTATCAAGCATCTAGTAGTATGAATAACTCAAAATATTTTATCAAGCATCTAGTAGTAGGATTAACTCAAAATACTTTATCCATGCATATAGTAGGAATAACTCAAAATATTTTATCAAGCATCTAGTAGTAGGATTAACTCAAAATACTTTATTCATGCATATAGTAGGAATAACTCAAAATATTTTATCCAGCATCTAGTAGTAGGATTAACTCAAAATACTTTATTCATGCATATAGTAGGAATAACTCAAAATATTTTATCAAGCATCTAGTAGTAGGATTAACTCAAAATACTTTATCCATGCATATAGTAGGAATAACTCAAAATATTTTATCCAGCATATGAATAACTCAAAATACTTTATCCATGAACGTATTAGTAGGAAGCCCAGTATTAACTTAGGAAACAAATTCTAAGCATATTTATATATATTTCCATGGAAAGGTGATAATCTTATAAATCTTAAATTAAAAAAAAAGGCAACTAGATAAGATAATTCTAAGCATATTTCTATTTCCACAGAAATGTGATAAAGCTATAAGGCAATAAAAGACTTCTAGAAAATTGATGTTAATTAATGTTACTTTGAGCTTGAGCCCCTTAAATCTAATTTTTTTATAGCACTAATTCAAAAGATTTAATTTTACAATAACTGTTCCAAAGTTTCGTGAATGATTTGAGTTTTTTTTGTTTTTTTTTTATATATCTCTATTGGCACTTCGAGGGTTAAGTAAATTTTCCGGGTTTTATTTACTTATTTTCGTCCTCGTCGTAATACAGATGATGGTTATCAATATCTTCTTCATCTTCATTTTCTTGCTCGTCAGCTTCATCATCACCTTCATTATCTGATGGGAGAGGCGTCGACGACCGTGATACCGATGGTGACGGGGGAGCAGAAGGTGGTCTGGGATACAGGAATTTTTTACTGGAACCTGTGTCTTCGGCTACGCGATCTGGATGTGTCATTGTCACCGCCATCAGTCGAGCTTGACGATAAAACTATAAAATAAAAATAACAAATAAAAAAAACAAAAGCGTCTGCCCAAACTTGTGGGGTTTCATCGGGTCTTCCGGATTCCTCCCACAGGTAAAGACCAAGTATAAACAAAAGCATGTGAGCGATTTCTCGGGGTTTCATCAGGTCCTCAGATTCCTCCCATTGCTAAAGACCTCTTACGCACAAATGACAAGGAGTAGGGTCGCTAGTCCAACCTCGTGGGGTTTCATCATGTTGTCCGGGTTCCTCCCATTGCTAAAGATCCCTCACGCACAAATGAATTATTGAAATACCAGCGGTACGTGACATAGAGTGCGGTCGTCTGTCCAACCTTGTGGGGTTTCATCAGGTCCTGCGGATTCCTCCCACTGCTAAAGACCCCTCACGTGCAAACAAATTATTGAAATACCAGCGGTACGTGACAAGGAGTAGGGTCATCTGCCCAACCTTGAGAAGTTTCATCAGGTCCTTCGGATTCCTCCCACTGCTAAAGACCTAGAGATACACCCTGGGAGCCATGGTGGCTAAGTGGGTAAGACGTTGGCTCGCTAGTCTGGAGGTTGCGTGTTCGGTCCCTGCATTGGCCGAGAAAGTTCAACAGGATTTTCTGACCTGGTTTCCCCTTGTCAATGGTGCAGGACAAAGAGCCTGACATGGACAGTTGTCTAGTGGTTCGGATGGGATGGATAAGCAAGGTCCTGTGCATACATTGGCATGCACATAAAAGATCCCTCGGCAGCTGGATTTCGATGTAAGAGTAGACCATAATGCTACTGCCAGGACAAAATTTCCATCATAGCACACTGTATGGCGTATGCCCGTCTTCATTAGACCAGTCGGAGCTGAACAGAAGGATGTTAAACCCCATTTCATTTCAAATGATGAAACTTTGACCTAACCAGAGATTTGTCGCAATTAACTTCTTGTATTACTCTATCAAGTTTTGATCGAATTGAACAAACTGTTGTTTGAAAATGACTTACTGTAGCTAAGTTTTTCCAGTCTAAAAGTTCACTCAGTCTCTCTGTTCTGTTTCTCTGTATTATTCTTTGACGTCGAGATAAACATGAAAAATCAAACATGTACTGAAATAAAAACAGATAAAAATCAAACATGTACTGAAATAAAAATATATATTAAGATGCTTGTCTTATGCTTAAAACAAAACGTCAGATATTTTTTTTTTGGGGGGGGGGGGAGAGCAGGTGGGAAATGTGAACCAAGGGAAGGGGATGTTTCGGTGCACACCAACATGTATGCAAGACCTTGTTTTTTTCCAATTGAAATGACTGACAAATGGAAACCACTCTCGAAATTCTAGAGGACGTTTTTCGGCCATCCCTGCGATCAAATCTGAATCTAATAGTTAGTGAGCTAACGCCTTATTCATTGAGCCTCCATATTCTTCAACAAATGAATTATATAGTCCTGTAATCAATTTGATTAAACACAAATCCTATTTCGTTTCGTTTTTATAGTTCAAAATTTCATTTTACTTGTCTTTACTACACTAGGATCTGGAAGAGTTGTTATCATTGACGTGTTCTGAATGATGTGAGGAATTAGCCAATGAAACGGTCTGTTACGGCGAGCTTTAGGCGTGTTTTACACGAAACTGTGGGTAATCCACTAGTAACATCAATGCTGATTGGTTAATCAAATGTCTGATGTAATAGGGTAAAAAGCCGCTCGTATGACCTCTGACGCGACCTATCGCTACAACCGGTCAGATCTTCATGTAGTGTAGGCCATCGAAAGTATAAAAAACGAAACGAAATATAGATCTGTATTTTAATGCGATTGTCCTGAAATCAGTGTATCCCTGTTTAAACTAACTATTTACCTGTGCTAATTGATGAACTGATTCATCAGGTGATTTCTTTCTACGATCTATGATGTATATTCCATATGATTTAGGGTCTGCGATATGTTCTTGCATAAAACAACCAAAACCTGAGAGATTACTAGTAATACTTGGTATACCCATTACAGTACATTCAGCTAAAAACAAAATAAAAACACAATTATCTTCACCAGATCTGGAAAGTTTGATTAGAACGAAACTATAGTCACTGCTAGTATGGCATTTAGTAACTGAACATATGATATAAAACACAAATTTATATGGAAAACAATCACTGGGTTTATTTCACACTACGTTTCAACAAGTTCCTCTTGTCGTTCTCAAGTAAGTAATGACAGTATAATAGCAAGAAATCAAATTATATACAACAAGGTAACAAAAACAATAACTAATATGAAACCATCAAAGGGCTAATAAAAAGTACAATAATAACATTACAAAATAAACATCAAGGATATTGATTAAAAATTAATTAAAAATTACTATAGTGTGAAATAAACCCAGTGATTGTTTTCCATATAAATTTGTGTTTTATATTATTACATATGTTGTTTTTTTTTTAAATCCTATTATCTTGTCTTCCCAAATAGTTTAATTTTATTTTTTTCTTTAATGATTTTTTATCGATATTGTTTTATATTGTGTACTCATAATCATTTATTTTTTTTGTATAAGCACAGCAGAGCAGCTTTACAAGCTCGATTTTAGTGCTATACAAGTTCAATAAATTATATTATAAATTATCATAGTGCACCCTTTCACATCATGTTTTTAGGGACACATTACAATATAAGTATAAAAACAAAATTATGGACATGTTAAAAATTGTATATACTGAGTCAATTAAAAGCTTGTTGTGTTTTAAGTTGTTTTTTAAAAGAATATAGAGATGAACTACATCTTAAACTAAATGGTAAATTATTCCATAAAATAGGTGCTTGATAACTAAAAGAGCGCTGACCATAAGAGAGAGAGGGAGAGAGAGAGAGGGTTTAACATCCACTCGACACAAACTAGGTAATTCTGGGATTAACGTTCAATTTTATTTCAAAAATTCACTTGTGCATAGGGGTCTTTAGCAGTCGGAGGACCCAGAGAAAACCCATGACGGTTGAACTGGTGACCCTACTCCTTGTCACGTACAACCGGAGAATCGAAAACCACACCAGTTGACTCACTGACAAACTTTATGATACAGCTCGCATGTGCTAACCATTCAGCCATCCACCACCCCGGGGATATAAGAAAATACAACGCACTCACGCTAACCATCCGGACCCCCCCCCCCCCCACCATGATTGATAAAATAGCGTACTGGCCACTATGGTATCATCATAGATCAATCTACTATCGGCTAAATAAAAACAAGTTAATTATTACTTGTTCTACGATCAAATGAACAAATTGAATATTGATAGGCCAAAAGAACAAATTGAATTTCGATAGGGATTTTCCCCGAGCCCAAATGAACAGTTCGAATTTCGATAGGCATTTTCTCTAAGACCAAATGTACAATTTGAATTTCGATAAGGATTTTCCTTGGGCCCAAATGAAAAATTTGAATTTCAACAAAGATTTTTTTTGGATCAAATTAACAATTTGAATTTTGATAGGGAATTTCCATACTACCAAATGAACAATTTCAATACGCATTTCCTTATTTGAACTTTGACTCGACTATCAAAAAAAATTATGATACAAGAATCGTATTATGTAGAGAGTTCACATGAAAAGTTGATGGACAACAGATGTAGATTACCACAACATACACCCACATTGAAGATTATTTTTACCTGGTGTGTAACCCCAAGGTTCGTAATATGAGGGAAAAACACCTAAATGACAGCCTCGCACAAAATCTTCATACTCTAAACCAAATAAGGGATTGGTGGAATTCAGAAACTCGGGATGAAATATAACCTAAAATATTTACAATAGATAGTATTTAAATAAATGAAGAGAATAAATGAAATTAAATAGAATTTAAGGTCATACTGCAGCAACCAGGCTAACGTAGATTATATCAGTCGGTGAGTTAAATATTAACATCAACTTGCTTCAACTCGATCTGTTGGTGTGTTAAATAACTCAACTTACTTTAACTCTATCTGTTGCTGAGTTAATCAACTTACTTTGACTATATCTGTTAATGAGTTAAATAAAACAACTTACTTTAACTCTATCCGTTGTCGCATTAAATAAATCAACTTACTTTAACTCTATCGTTTGGTGAGTTAAATAATTTACATCAACTTACTTTAACTTTTGGGGAGTTAAATAATTTACTACAACTTACTTTAACTCTATCTTTTGGGGAGTTAAATAATTTACATCAATTTACATTAACACTATCTTTTGAAGAGTTAAAAAAAATCAATTTACTTTAACTTTTGGCGAGTTAAATGAATCAACTTACTTTAACTCTATCTTTTGGCGAGTTAATTGAATCAACTTACTTTAACTCTATCTGATGATGCGTTAAATAATTTACATCGTCGTAATGCGCCTAATACTTGATCTTTCCAATCTTCTGCTACATTATGGGTACAAATAGGTGGTAGACTAGCTCTCTGGAAATAAATAAGATAAAAACACATCAAAGTCATCAATCATAGGCATAGGAGGCTCCAGTCCACCCAGATTCGTTGAACAGTCCATTTCTAGGGCAATGTACTTGTATGTGCATTTTCAGGGACAAAATGTGGAGAATGTAGAATGAGATCAAATATCATAGAAATATAATTGTATAATTGTAAAATATAATCACTTGCAGATTACAATTTGTGGAAAACTCGTTTTAGTTAATGATTTGATTCATGCTGAAAATTTGGGTGGCAGAGAAAATTTTCAGGCAAATGGCCCCAGCCCCCACAATTAAGATTGGCCCCCTACACCTATGTATGCAAATTTGTAACTAAGATTAAGTTTGTATTACAAACTTTAGAGTTAATGAAATGAAATGAAATGTTGTTTTATGGCACGTCAGCTCCAACCGGGGTATATTGCGGCAAACATATTTAGAGTTAATATTTTGTAAATGATAGCGTGATTCAGGTGTTGATTTGAAGTCCAAAACTTTAGAGTTTACAAATATAAACGTGATTCGAGCAGTTTTAAAGTTCATGACATGAATAATAAATATCGAGATACACCCATACCTGTGCTGCGAATATACATCTTTTAAGTTTAACAATATCTTCTTGAGTTAATATTTCTTCCCCTACAGGTAATTTACCTCTAAATAAATAAATCAAATATATAATACATACAACACAATCATAACCCAGGAACATTGAGACAGAGAGAAATGGGGTTTAACGTCCACTCGACACAAACTAGGTCATTTCGGGACTATCATGGTTTAACTTTAATTCAATAATTCGCTTGCGCGTAGGGGTTTTAGCAGTGGGAGGAAACCGGAGGACCAGAAGAAAACCCACGAAGTTGGACAGAGACGACCCTACTCCTTGTCACATACAATCGGGGAATCGAAACCACGCCAGTTGACTCAATGACAGACCTTATGATACAGCACGCACATGCTAACCATTCGGCTATCCAACAACCCAGGAACATTGCTCAATATTTTTTTTAAAGATCACCGGAAAAGCTTCATAATTTTTTTTTAAATACTACAAGTAATTATGTCAACATATCCTTTCCATAAGTATAACACGAACTCCCATGTCAATATTACCTGCAACAGTGAAATTTCAACATTAGCGAATTCTGTCGTTCTCCGTGAGTAGTCGTAACTTTCTGTCAATAAACAATCCGTGATGTAATTTTAGTCCTTCTGCTCATAGAAATTTAGACTAAAATATGAGCAGAAAACTAAAATTACAGACGGACGAATGGACAGGGACCACGGCAAAGATACGTTCATATGAAAATGTGGGTGTATAAAAATAACAGTAGTGTTGTTTTAACGAGATATTAAACCCATTCTATTCCACTCCAATCCAATCGAATCATTGTGGATTGACAGATAATTCAAGCCCCCTTCCCCCGTGGAAAATCAAAGAGCTGAAGCAAACATAGTTGACTTACCGTAGACAGACTTCAAATATACGTTTTCCCATATGATTCTGTACACTAGCTACCGTATCTTTAAGTTGTTTAGCGATAGCCTGACCTCGTAAAGATTCCACGTTAAAATTATTTGTTCTTGTGGGGAAGATCAGAAATGCAATTATTGTCATATCACTACCCGCTGCCTGCAAATAATAAATTAAAATATAAAATAAACAGTTATAGAATTACACAATAGAATCTAATGAAATGAAACTGGGTTTAACGTCCTACTTTTCCGCTCCTATACTGGGCTAATGAAGGCGGGCATACGCCATACAGTGTGCTATGAGGGAAATCTTGCGAGGGAAGCGGCACAATAGAATCTAACCCTATAACACCTAGTACATGTGACTATTGACTGAAAATATTAGAGAGAGAGAAATGGGTGTAAACTAGGTCATACCGGGACTAACATATGGTTCAATTTTATTTCAATAATTCGCTTGCGCATAGAGGTCTTGAGCAGAGGGAGGAAACCACTGACCTCAATGACTGACCTTATGATACAACATGGCCACATGGATTAGTTGTTAATCTGACTGTTAACCAGTCATAAATTGTGACAGGAATCATCAGACAGTTTGGGTTAACCCTGCGAGGAGAATGGCCATCACTATACTCACTTAACCACGGCACATTACAAGATAAAGTGTTTGGTTCTGATAATCTTGATTTAAATAATGATTTAATCTAGTTCTGATAAACTTACCTTTAAATAATGATTTAATCTAGCTAAAGATTCTATAAACATGTCACAGCCTTTATTAGAAAACTCGTATCGACCCGCACTAAAAAAATATAACGTCTTATCCAGATCAAAATCATAATGTCTGAAAAAAAAAAAAAAAAAAAAATATTACAGAAAATAATTGAAGGTGTAGTAAAAAATTAAATATGTATCACGATCAGATTTACTCAAAAATAAAAGCCACTAATCATCTTTTGACGGATTCTATATCCCTTGCAATGACATGAAAATGAAATGAAATGGGGTTTAACGTCCTACTGTTCTGCTCCGACTGGGCTAATGAAAACGGGCATATGCCCTACAGTGTGATATGAATGAAATTTTGTCCGGACAGCGGCACTATGGCCTACTCTTATATCGAATTCCAACTGCCAAAAGGGATCTTTTACGTGCACGCCAATGTGTACACAGGATCTTGGTTTTTCATCTCATCCGAAGGACTAGACAGCTGTCCTCGTCAGGTCCTGCATCACTGACAGGAGGAAACCACGCCGGAAAATCCCGATGAACTTTTTCGGCCAACACAAAGACCGAACCCACGATCTCCAGGCTAGCAAGCCAGCGTCTTATTAACTTAACTTGTTATTAACTTGTTTACATAAAAAAAAATTCTGTTCCGTATTTACTAAGACATGATGATGAATTAAAAATATTTTTTAATATTTGGTCTGTTCCAATGCAATCTGATTAAAACACAGATCCTATTTCTTTCTGTTTTTTTATTGATCAAAATTTCATGAGGGATTAGCCAATGAAACAGTATGTTACGGCGAGTTCTTGGCATGCAATGCAGGAACTGTGGGTATCCCACTAGAAACGTCAACGCTGATTAGTTAATCAACTGTATGACGTCATAGGGTCAAAGGCTGCTCGTATGAACTCTTGACGCAACCTCCCGTTACAACCGGTCAGATCTTTATGTAGTGTAGGCCATTGAAAGTATAAAAAAACGAAACGGAATATAGATGTATATTGTAATCAGATTGATTCCACTTACCCATAAAAATGACCTCGAACAAAATCATTAATTTTTTCTTTAGCCAAGGCGTGTAAATTTTGGAATTCGTGAAGAGCACTGAACTTTATTACGTTCAATCCATTAGGGGTTATAACATCTGAAAGTAATGGATCAATTACAAACAAGCCAACAGTGAGGCTGATGTCCCCCGCCGAAATCCCAAAATAAATAGATGACATACATTAATTAATCGCACATTATTTTTTTTTCAAAAGTATCAAGCAATCAGACTATACACAATATTTATATCACTCTCTATCAGATAGAATCAAGATTATCTTGTCCCAAAGCATCGACCAATGAAATTTATCAACTCTGCTTAGCTTCAGCTCGAAATGTTAATCATTGAACGCATTCAAGACATTCACCTAATGAACATCTACATCAAGTCTAAACATTCTACCTCAATTAAAAGCAGAGTTGTTATGTTCCAAAGTCTTGACCAATCAAATTGCTTATCGCTCATTAGCCTAAGCAGAAAATTCTCACCATCGAAATTAGTTAAGGTAATGATATAATGAATCTATATTCGGAGTTCCATCGCTCTCACTTCATTATAACCAAAGTTATCGTGCCTCAAAGCATCAACCAATCAGATTGCTTATTTCTGCTTACCGTAATTAGAAGGAGAGTTATTGTGTTCCAAAGTCTCAACCAATCAAATTGCTTATCTCTACTTACCCTAAGCAGAAAATGCTCATCTTCGAACTCCACCAAGACATTGACCTAATAAACAACTACACCAAGTTTGAACATTCTAGCTCAATTAGAAAGAGAGTAATGGTGTCCCAAAAAGTGTGACGGACGGATAGACAGACAGACAAACCCATTTTAATAGTCCCCTGCTTTTTTCGAAAGGCGGGGGACAATAACCAAAATTACTCTATTTTGTTTTCTATTGTGCAGAAAATTCCACAAAACTGTAAAATTTTGCCAGGGCAGCGACAATATGGCCAACGCGAATTCCAACTTTCAAGGATTCTTTTATGTGCACACAAATTAAATGTGTAAACAGGACCTCAGTTTTTTGTCCCATAAGAATGACTAGAATATGTCCCTTGCCAGGTCCTCCATTCTACACGACTGACAAGCGGGAACCATGCTGGAAAATCAACTGAAACTTTCTTGACCATTTCACGTAGGGGTCTTTAGCAGTGCGAGGGAGAGAGAGAGAGAGAGAAATGGGGTTGAACGTCCACTCGACACAAACTAGGTCATTTCGGGACTAAAATATGGTTCAATTTTATTTCCATAATTCGCTTGCGCGTAGGGGTCTTTAGCAGTGGGAGGAAACCGGAGGACCCGGAGAAAACCCACGAGGTTGGACAGGCAACCCTACTCCTTGTCACGTACAACCGGGGATTCGAAACCACACCAGTTGACTCAATGACAGACTTAATGATACAGCGTGCACGTGCTAACCACTAAGCCATCCAACCCCCCAGCAGTGGTTGGAAACCGGAGGACAGGCGACCTCCACTTTTCACGACAACTGGGGAATCAAACCACACCAGTTGACCTAGTTTGTGTCATTAAACACCATGGCCCTTATTCACTAAAACTTAAACTAAGATACAATCGAAATTTTAAGAAATACTGCAATTCGATTGGCTGACCAGTAAAATCAATTTGCATATATCCAATTTGCATATTGGTCAGCCAATCGAATTGCAGTATTTCTTAAAATTCTGATTGTATCTTAGTTTAAGTTTTCGTGAATAAGGGCCCATCTCTCTCTCTCTCTCTCTCTCTCTCTCTCTCTCCCTCTCTCTCTCTCTCTCTTCAGATTTAGTGTTTAATAACCATGACTACATTCTACAAGTGTCATAGTTGTACAATTACATGTACACAGTGAACTTTGGATATTTGTCGATAATATGAAATAAAGATGGAAATTATGGGGAGCCATTTTCAGTTGAAAGGTGCACAATTAAAAACTATCCTCAAACCAGATTTAGGCCAATGTGTACACAGAACCAATATCTTACTCTCCGAGTCACGGCGGCTCGCTATCAGAAAGGAAGGATACCTGGTTTTCTTTTAAGTAGATGTTCTGCCTCGATACCAGTGATTTCAGATACAGTTGTAAAAACGTGAGCACAATGTACAGCTGCTCGTTCCAAACAATAACGATGATAAATCTGGCGATCTCCAGCTTCTTTATCTAAATTAAACTAAAAATAAAACAATCATTTATAAATATCCGTTGGTTAACATACAGCACAAGGTCATCTTGGTTTCCTCTTACAATTTTATAGCCACTAATCGTCATTTGAGGGATTCTAAAACCTGTTTCGAACTACAATTCTGACGGATTGTTAATCCCATGCAAACTATAATTTTGAGGGATTGTTAATCCTGTTCAAACTATAATTTTGAGGGATTGTTAATCCTGTCCAAACTATAATTTTGAGGGATTTTTAATCCCATGCAAACTACAAATTTGAGGGAAATTAAATCTTTAAAAGGAGAAAGAAAGAAATGAGGTTTAACGTCCACTTGACACAAACTAGGTCATTTCGGGACTAACATATGGTTTAATTTTATTTCAATAATTTGCTTGCGCGTAGGGGTCTTTAGCAGTGGGAGGAAACTGGAGGACCCGTAGAAAACCCACGAGGTTGGACAGGCGACCCTACTCCTTGTCACGTACAACCGGGGATTCTCTTTAAAAGGAATATCAGTCCAAAATGGCTCAATATTTACAAAGACCTCCTGAATTGAAACAATTCTAGACATTCAGCAACCTCTGTAGGCAATATTAAAGAAATCAAACCAGCCAGCAACCTCTATAGCAGATGGATAAAATCTATTGATGGGGCTATTTTCAATCTGATTGAATTGAACCCAGGAGATAATCTACCAATGATAGTTGTTTTTTTGTTTTCTTAAATGTTAAATAATTAAAGTAGCTAAGTCTCTAACTCAATATCATCCAAAGTCTTCACATTGAAAACTCTTAATTATTTGTCAATTTAAATCAACATTGGTGTTGTGATCTTACCGGTAAAAGATGGGCTTCTGATATCCAATACAGTGCACTCTGTCACATCCGACATCGTACGGGGTCATTACAATATGTCGGATTACGCATGTCGGGACTGACAGAACTGTGACAGGACTGAATTCCGCATCACTCGATTGCAATTCTGTCAATTTGGGACGTTCCGGACTGTGAATCGAGCATGGTCACACGGTTTGAAGACATTCGTAGGGTGACCAAACTTATAGGTTATTCAGGTTCAATCGGCATGCACAACAAATGTTTCCAACGGGTGCTAGGAATATTTTTACGACTGTGAATTTGGGGGAAAATTTGTGGATATTTTTGAGTATTTGTCACAACTGTCGTACAAGAGATTAAAATTATCAAAGTAATCAACAAAGACTCACGGTAGCGAGTTTTAATCTTTTGTGGCTTCACACCCATCCAGTTTTAATCTCACGGATAATTGATCGGTAAGTGTTTGCTTCACAACCACCGATTGAAGGCCGGATTATACGGTGTCGATTCAACGGAAATCGTATGACGGGACGGCTGATTGATGTCGTAATCCGGAACGTACAGAGGTCGAAAATGGTGTCGGATGTAACAGAGTGCTGGAGTGATCAGAGGTCGGATGTGACAGAGTGCACTGTATATCAAACATTTTACCATTGGTACACGAATTGTATACCATAATGCGTTTCAGCGCCATTTGTCACAAGGGACTCGAAGAACAAGGCTAGACATATTTCACAAGTCCAGCGTCGGATTAACCATGGTGGAGGCCCTGGGGCCTGGAACATGTGGGGGGGCCTGATCACCGCGAGCGCCGAAAATTTTCAGAAATTGGAGGCTGGAAACGTGATTTCCTGGCATTTCAGGCACTTGTGTGGAGCCATTTAGAAGTACCTCCCCCAGAAAAAAATAAAATTCTGCCACAAAATTAGCGCATTCTGGCGTTATTTCAGTGGACCAATCCATGCGAGTGCTATGAAATGATGGCATTTCTAGAGGAGGGGGCTGGACGCAACTGAGATTTTTGTTGGGGGCCCTCTAATGTGGGGGGCCCTGGGGCCTGTGCCCCATGGTCCCCCATGGTTCATCCGGCCCTGCACAAGTCATGTCAAACGGTGAAGCCATATTCTTATCTTGAGAGCATGCACAATAAATACTATTGATGTAGACTGGAATAACCAGACGCTAGAGATTTCCATCGAATTGAGACTTCTAGCATATTTTGCCGAACATAACTGATTTGAAATTAGAGTAAAAACAGAAACGATTGAATGTAAATCAGTTTATATACATTCATATTACCATTATTATATGCATTGCGACCCATTTGTGTCACTTTCTAGGTCCCAAATATTAGCGATTTAGCTCCTTTAAGTTGAGTATATTTTAGCGTGGACAAATCACGATTTGAATGAAATTCCAGCATGGGAATTTAACTTTTCTTATACTTATGTAAAACTTTCTGAACAACAGCAGTATCTAATAATAATATCAGTGGAGAGACCAGACAATTATTAATATTTAAAAATCCTTGCACACCAGCAGTTACTACTCTTTTAAATAATAACTTACCTTATCTAAATTATTGTAAAAATCTGTGTTGCCAGCACACAAGTAACGCCCTAATAGTGTAGCATGTGTTGTAAATAAAGTACTAATGTTGAGGTTTCGTGTTCGTGTAAAAATCAAGCCAGCTCCCGCCAACCATTCATGGAAATGTCCTATAACCAACGGATCACCGGGAGTGTTCTTGACAAACTGAAGAAAACAAATACATCATAAATTCATAGGTGTGGTGCACAGGGCAGAGAGATTTAAATATATTTATTTTCCAGAATACAGAAGAATTTGTTAACAAGAAATGAAATGGGGTTTAACTTCCTACTGTTCTGCTCCTATACTGGGCTAATGAAGATATAAGCCATACAGTGTGCTATGAAGGAAATTTTGTCCAGGCAGCGGCCTACTCTTATATCAAATTCCAACTGCCAAGGGATCTTTTACATGATTGCCAATGTATACACAGGGCCTTGGTTTTCCATCCCATTCGAAGAACTAGACAGTTGTCATTGTCAGACCCTCTGTCCTGCATCACTGGATAAAACAAAGAATACCTAGGTCTAACAGAGAAAACTAGGTCAAATTGGGACTAATATACGGTTCAATTTCATTTCAATAATTCACTTGCTCGTTGGGGCCTTTGCCAGTGGGAGGAAACAGGCTCAGGGGGAGGAAACAGGAGGACCCAGAGAAAACCCTACTCCTCGTCACTATCAAGCATGGGATCGAAACCACACTACTTCACTAAATGACAGATCTTATGATCTAAAGAACGAGTTAGACCACTAGACCACTTGACCATACGTTGCCAGAGAAATTGCTAATACTTACCAATCCCAAAAACCACGTAACTAAAGCGCCGAATATAACAGCATCATTAGATTCCGTATCGTGGAGAGGAATACCAATACTAGACGACTCCCATAATTCATGTTTAAACTCGTCTAATTTCCACGCTGCTGAACCGATATCAAATAATATTACTTTAGGATAACCATCAATCAACCATCTACCGAAATATACCTACAAATATATATCATTATCATGATTAAACAATTATATATACATCATTCACAAAATATATCATTATTATTAATGTATAGAGGATATTTGTCATTTTAGAGTGAATAACATATTTTATTTCATCTCTAAGCAAGAAAACTTATATTTTCACGAATGCATAGCATGAGTTAAAATATAAACGTTTTCTTGCTTAGAGATGAAATAAAACATGTTATTCACGACAAAACGACAAATGTTCTATTTATTTTATGATTTTACAATCACTTTAGGTAAAAACAACATGGACTACTTTGTCCGCTTCTAGCCAGTGGAATAACACTTTTATTTCACTGATAAAACGCGTATTCCACTACTGATCATAGAATAAAACAGTTTATGTAGGTAAATAGTAATGATATTACTTGTATTATTTGTACCAAAGGAACTATTAAATTTGGAGACGAGAAAATGTCAAAATAGTAATTTATATAATATTTGAAGCCAAATGAAAGACCTACAATAGGCAGATTTAGCTCTTACATAATACATCTTTAAGGACAGTTTAAAAGCCTATTCATCTATATATAGAATATTTTCTAGAAAATCAAGATTATTTCGTTTCGTTTTTATAGTTCAAAATTTCGTTTTACGTGTCTTTACTACACTAGGATCTGGAAGAGTTGTTATTATTGACGTGTTCTGGATAATGTGAGGGGTTAGCCAATGAAACGGTCTGTTACAGCGAGCTTTAGGTGTGTTTTGCACGGAATTGTGGGTAATGCACTAGTAACATCAATAATGATTGGTTTATTAAATGTCTGATGCAATAGGGTCAAGAGCCGCTTGTATGAGCTCTGACATGACCTATCGCTACAACCGGTCAGATCTCCATGTAGTGTAGACCATCGAAAGTATAAAAAAAACGAAACAAAATATAGATCTGTATTTTAATCAGATTGGAATATTATTTATAAAATCAACCTTTATTCCTGAATTCCTCATGCTCTGTATCGCATCTCGAATAACATAATTATGTGGCTCGAGAATTTCAACCTCCGTGCGGACACATGACTCATTATACGGACCAATCAAACAATACTGTTCACCAAGTTCTTCCGCTGTCGATGGGGCTTTAGACTTTATTACAGTGTAGATTCCTCCAACTAAAAATAGAACAAAAAAAGATTGGGTCTTAAAGATACATTATGGGAGATTAGATAAAAAGCTGGTAGTTCTCACTATAATAGTTAAAAACTAGATAATGTAATGGGAATAAGATGAAAATTGCCAGGCAATGAAACATACGCCCACAGCAATTAAATCGTCACCGTGGTCATTTGATGATTTACAAGGTTCTACAAACTGAAACAAGGGCATAAACTCTGGAAGCAATTTACAGGAATCATTGAAATTTGACAGGCTTTTTTGTTTTACTAATTAAATAATGCATATAAATTTCATGCAAATTGGACTTTTGTCATTCAAAGGTTCACAAGTTTCACAAAGTGAAACAAGGGCCATAATTCTACAAAAAATTAATGGAAATTATTGAAATTAAATAGGATTCTTCACCTCACTAATGTAAACAACATATATCAATTTTAAAAGAATCAGATGATAACTTTGGGCATTAGATTAGACGAACGGACAGACGGACGGACGTGGGCGACGACAATATGCATCCAGATTTCCATGTGGGTATATAAAAAGCTGAAAAAGAATCTTACTATATGCTGTAGGGTATGTATATTCCCCTTATTACAATAATATTTGCTATAACAAACAGATTATAGATAATGTTAAAAAAATAGACCTAATTATATCAGCTAGTAGTACAGTAACATGTATTATTATTAACATCTGTTAACCATGTAACAGTTATAACTTACACTGTCTGATACCTGACATCTCTGTCTGTCTGTCTGTCTGCAAGCATGGCATTGCATCATAGTTATTAATTCCATGAAAACGAGAGAGAGAGAGAGAGAGAAAGAGAGAGAGAGATGGGGTTTAACGTCCACTCGACACAAACTAGGTCATTTCTGGACTAACACATGGTTCAATTTTATTTCAATAATTCGCTTGCTCGTAGGCGTCTTTAGCAGTGGGAAGAAACCAGAGGACCCGGAGAAAACCCACGAGGATGGACAGGCAACCCTACTCCTTGTCACGTAAAAACAGGGAATCGAAACCACGCCAGTTGACTCAATGACAGACCTTATGATACAACACGCACGTGCTAGCCATTCTGGTAAACAGCGAGTTTAATGTACTATTTTGGGCCAAAATCAAAGTTACTACACATTTTATTAGCATTTGGTTGGTCATATGAAAAGCAGTTTCACCGATACGTAGGTGACATCACGGGCACACGTGAAACACGTCGGAGCTGCGTCGCAGATCTAGTTGCATATTTAGATTTAACCAAAGTTACATGTACAATACATTTTATTACCGCATGATTATGACAATAACCTTGTAAAGTAACCTGACTCGACACACAGGTCCTGTATCTCTCAATAGTTCAACACAAAGTTGATCTTTAAAAAAAAACCAAATAAACAAGCGGGGTTATCATTTACAATATCAATATAAGAAGGATTAGGGATACATGATGTAAGGATGATATAGCCTGATCTCTATACATGTTATAAGACATATCATGCATGTCATCAGAGTGTGATATCTCATATTGCCCAAGGTCCAAGGGGTGTTATTGTATATCACATTTCAAAGAGTCCAAAAAAAACCCCCAAAAAACGATTTTATTTAAACATACATTATATTATGCAAGAGCTAAATCTGTCTATTGCGGGTCTTTCTTTAGGCCTGAAATGTTATCTAATTTATTAATTAGACATTAATTAACCTATCTAGACCATAATCAACTCTAGATGGCATTGCTAGCCTGCGATCTTTAGTGGATTATTAGCTGATTTACTGCATAACTTTCCTTCACAATTTAACGATTAAATGGATAATCAAGACTATGCTGTTTATTGATCGAGGCTAGGTGAAAATTTTAATCGCTTAGTTCTCGGTTCATAGTGGATCAATTTCAATAAAATTTTCAGTAAATTGCCTTTATATTATCTAGTTTTTAACTATTATAGTGAGAACTGCCAACTCGTTATCAAATCTCCCATAATGTATCTTTAAAGAGGGATCTTTAATGATTTCCTTCAATACAACCACTATTAATGACAATTTGTAGCACTGACAATAAAGTTCCTCAGGATTTTCTGATGTTGTTTAACCCTGTCAGTGGTGCAGGGAGCAGGGCCTGGCAAGGAACAGAGACTAGTGGCTTGGATGGGGTAAAAAAACAGGTTCCGTGTACATGTTAGTAAAAGAAACCTGACAGTTGAAATTCAAAATAAGAGTAGGGATAGAGAGAGAGAGAGAGAGAGAGAGAGATGGGGTTGCGCGTAGGGGTCTTTAGCAGTGGGAGGAAACCGGAGGACCCGGAGAAAACCCACGAGGTTGGACAGGCGACCCTACTCCTTGTCACGTACAACCGGGGATTCGAAACCACGCAAGTTGACTCAATGACAGGCCTCGTGATACAGCGCGCACGTGCTAACCATTCGGCCATCCAAACCCCCCAAAATAAGAGTAGGCCTTCCAGTTGACCATAGATTGTAATGTCTTGGCAAGAGTTCGCTCATAGCACAGTACGCTGCAAGGTGTAGCCTATGCACATCTTCATTATATAATCGGGAGCTGCATTGGCTTAGTGATAATGGTGCTGGCTTGCTAACCTTGAGGTCCCTGGTTCGATTCCGGTGATAGCCTAAAAAGCTCCTCAGATTTTTCTGGCATGGTTACCCCGTCCCTTTAACTGAGTTCGATTCCGGTGTTAGCCTAAATAAAAAAGCTCCTCAAATTTTTCTGGCATGGTTTCCCCTTCTAAGCACGATGGGGGTTAAGAGAGTCTAGTCAAAAGGAAGTGACAAAATCTCCCACATCATATGACACTGCAGAAAAAAAACTAACAGGGTCTAATAATAAAAGGACCTGGTGAGGCTTGTGTCATCAAATCACCGCAAATCAATCATTCCATTTCTGGGTTACCAGTAGGCTATAACTAAACTCCAAATCTTTTAAAGTTAGTTGTAAGTGCACAGTACACATCTGCTCTGGCGAATGTGTGTCAGTCAGCTCACGTATTCACCCAATAGTAAAACTGCTTACCTAACTAATACTAATGTAACGTGGTTTAGATGCAATAAAATAAAAATAGACAGTTTGACATGTTCTTATTTCGTTAAGGGTTGGCTACCTACCTTTGTTTGCTACTTCCCATGCAATCTCAAACACCCATTTGTTCTGAGCTGCAGCTGATGCCCCACGGTCATAAATACAGTCATCCAAGTCTGGTGTAATGTTTTTAAAACTTCGAAAGAAACTATTTCTTCTTCTCATCGCCATTCTGTTAGCTGGTCGAGCCTCCTGACGAGGTCACCATGTGAAGGTCATTAGAAGGGGTTTTCCCGACCTTGACCTATCAATTATGGATTAAAATAGATTTTCTTTCTCTTGACAGTCGGCTTGAACGTTTATAACGAAGAACGTGTAATTTAAAAAATATTAATTCATATGGCTAGCTAATTCCAAGTTCATATAAAAAAGAAGACAGAAGTGGCAGGCTTAATCGCGAGAATCCACAATACGGGTTTCCCTAGAGCGGTTCACTGACCCAGTTAACCTTTTATTTAGAGTTGCCTCCCTTACACCATAAACATATTACAGCTCTGCTCTTCATGCCAAATGTACTATTAGCCAGCTATCGCATAAGCTAAAGGTTAATGGCCCCAGATACGATAACGTAATGGTTAACTCTCACTCATAGGAACTGTGGCTCTCTCAGTCAGAGAGAGAGAGAGAGAGAGAGAGAGAAATAGAACTTAACGTCCAATCGAAACAAACTAGGACATTTCGGGAGTAACACATGGTTCAATTTTATTTCAACACTTCGCTTGGACGTAGTGGTCTTTAGCAATGGGAGGAAATCGCAGGACCCAGAGAAAACCCACGAGGTTGAACATGCGACCCTTCTAGCCACGTACAACCGAGGAATCGAAACCACACCAGGTGACTCAATGACAGACCTTGTGATACAGCGTGCTCATGCTAACCATTCACAATATAACACTTTTTCCTTCTGCAAATTAACTCCTACATTTTTTTTTAAGGAAGTATATCTGGATAAAAATACTTCCTATTTAGTGTAAATGGGTACATAAAATAATACACAAAGGCATAAAATGAGTAAAAGACACGATTCTGCCCGGACCAGTTTACTTACCACATCCTATGTAAACAAGGCACATGCTATCAAATCCAATGTGATGTCACACGAAGAAGGCATATGAACTTAAGTCAGTCATCTTATAGAATTAGAAGAAGGCTTTTGCATTACCTCAATGAAACAGATCGCATCCAACTATTAGTGAGCCAATGTCATAGCCAGAGAGAGAGACAGATGGGGTTTAATGTCCACTCGACACAAACTAGATAATATGGGGACTAACACATGGTTCAATTATATTTCAATAATTCGCATGCGCGTATGGGTATTTAGCAGTGGGAGGAAACCGGAGGATCCACCCCCGAGGTTGGACAGGCAACCCTTTAACTTGTCACGTACAACCGGGGAATCGAAACCATGCCAGTTGACTCAATGACAGCACCCCCAATGTCATAGCCTACCCATAGAGTAACCCTATAATAAACAACAATATGATGTCTCTATTGTTTTTATTTACAAATGATAATATAAGAATGATAAAATAAATGTCAACACCATGTTATTTATAATACAATATATAGACATCATATGATCTTACATGATAATTATACTGATTCTACTTTCACTTTGTTTATCCATTTTTAGTAACAGTCAACAACATCTTTAAAGCAGCTAAACCCCAAACTCAATATTTGCTATAATATTCAAAATTAAAAACAATATTGGTCTATTTCAATCAATATTGATTTAATTTGTTATCTTGTGTGAATATGTGAGATCCTAATATCCTATATTTAGACAAATAACATTTTATCATCAGTACACAAGTCATGTATTCTATGGTTTCCGACGCCATTTTGTAATAAAGAAAGAAAAACATATCCTATAAGACAATGTTGAAGTTATTAGTAATGACTGATTCACAAACCATAAATTATGATAAAAAACCAAGCGGAGAATGGACTAAAGCAGACATAAATGATGGTCGTTCAATTTGGCATGATCATTGTAGTAATTGTTTTGTGGAAGTAATTAGTAATGACCGATTCACAAACCATAAAATATGATCAAAAAAAAGTGGAGAATGGACTAAGCAGACATAAACGACGGTTGTTCAATCTGGAGTGAAATCTCTATCTAACATCCATGCAATATTAAAATATATAACGACAAGAGGATCATTGTAGTAATTGTTTTGTTTATTTTAATAGGAGATGTCTTTTCAGTAAAAAAAAAAAATTGGTTGGACTGTAAAACCACATGAAGATATATAACATCTTCCTCATCAGTTATCTGTGTTCTCTTTTAAGCCCTGTTTAATGAGTAAATTTTAAATCTAAAATTCCACCATGAGCAGTGAAACAGCACTATTATATGCACAATGGTGACATAAGAAGCGCTGAAATGTTTTTCTTTTGATCTCGAAATATCAGCCATTTTACATCTCAATATGATCTTTAAGGGAGGATGTTAAATATTTATTTGTCTTTATGCACAAAAAATAATAATAGTCATAGTTTGATTTTTCTTCACCGAAGCACTCGTTACTTTTTCTGTTGATTGTCAAATGTCAAGATATTTTATTGGGTCAAAGTTCAAGGACATTTTCTCTCAACACAACTTTTTCCACCTTCATCATATTCTTGTTTAGAGATCCACATTTGTTGAAAGGCTCCCTAAAATACACAATTTATATTAATTTGATATAAAAATTATGTCAGTATTAACAGCATAGGACTGGGAGAGAGAGAAATGGGGTTTAACATCCACTTGACACAAGCTAGGTCATTTCAGGACTAACAATAGTTTTAATTTTATTTCAATAATGGGCTTACGCGTAAGGGTCTTTAGCAGTGGGAGGAAACTGGAGGACCCGGAGAAAACCCACGAGGTTGGACAGTTAACTCAATCACAGACCTTATGATACAACGTGCACGTACTAACAATTCGGCCATCCAGCCCCCATGGTTCCAAAGAAGATGTGCAAATGTACTGAGTACATTTTTCAGATTGTAATATAGGCCAAAGTGATAAACTTTGTTAACTTTTTTAAATAATAAAACAAAATGTATAATTATTGCAGTTTTTTTTATAAAGTAAGTTAGAGTACTCCTCTGGTCAGAGTGCCTGGGGCAATTGCCCCTATTATAATCCTGAATGTCACCAGTTATAAATTGTTTCAATGGCATTTAGTAATTGAACTGCTTGATAAAGACTAAAGAAGCCTAGCTGAAATGTCGCTCAGTAATAAGCAGTAATTGTATTCGATAGAATTGTGACCTGTATCACCAGTTATTGTACGAATATAAAGTAGAATATTTACCAATGAAGCTAGAATAGATCCACCAATCCACGAACTAAATCTCCTCTCGGCCGTACTTGTCGCTGCTATAATCTTTAATCTCATACTCTACAAAAACAAGGACCATAACTCTTGCAAGTAATTATCAGAAATTATTGAACTTTCATGCACATTAAAAACCATTTGATGTGCAAGTAGTAGCAGTTAGAGGTTTTTTCTGCTTCCAATGTCAGAAAACATCATTTAGAACAACACTGTTTGTGAATTTTGTCAAGTTGCAGAGATAGAAATATTTGCCTGTCAACTTGTTGCCAACCAGTGGTTTTTACATTTGACACGTATTAAGTAAAACTACCTGATGCTAGTGACAGGTGGACTAAATTTTACTTAATGTTCAGTAAATTGAGTTCAGACCTCATGTGTATGTAATTATTCCCTTCCAATATGGTTGTGTTGTAAGAAGGTGATCAATGCCAATTGCACTGAGATTTGTAACAGCTCAGTTACTGAAGCGACAAGTTTGTGAGACCCGAGTTGCTGTCACGAATTACTAGCACTAGCACCATGGTGTACAGAGCTCTTCCCATTACAATGTCGATTTGAGGATCTATTTTACAGTTTAAACTGTTATTGATATAGCCAGAGAGAGATGTAAAAATAATACCAGCAACATTTTCAAGTAGGTGGATTGATTTGAAACATTTTGTCTTCAATTTCATTTCAATAATTTGCTTGTGTGCAGTGGAAGTTAACCGGAGGACCTGGAGAAAACCATGAGGTTGGACAGGCGACCATACTCCTTCTAACCGACAAGCAGGGAATCGAAGCCACGCCACTTGACACAATGACAGACCTTGTGATTTCACATTCAGCCACCCCACCCCCTGCTAGACTGGTAATACAACTGTGTTAATGCTGTCCTTACCGGTGGGGTTTTAGAACTTAAATCTCTGTTTAATCTTTCTGTAAAACCACCGAGTAACGTATTACCACCAACTACTATAACACTACCATATAAACTCTGAAAATAATACAAAAACATTTTAATTGAACATAATATTATATTATTTTTTAAAAGATACATTATGGAAGATTAGATAAAGAGCTGGCAGTTCTCACTATAATAGTACAAAACTAGATGATGTAAAGGGAATATGCTGAAAATTTCAGTCAAATTGCTTCACTCCAAGCCCAGAAAACATTATTCTAAAATCTTTGTAGCCTCGATTGTCATTGTTAGCTCTGTCACAATAATTAACAAAGTCTCGATTTTCCATTTTTGGATTCAAATCCAATAAAAATCGGACATTTAAGATGGCTTCAAGAGTTGATTATGGTTTGGATAAGTTGATTTATGTCTAATTAATAATTTAGATAACATTTCAGGCCTAAAGAAAGAGAAAAAGAGAGAAATGGGGTTTAAAGTCCACTCAACACAAACTAGGTCATTTCGGGACTAAGATATGGTTTTAATTTCATTTCAATAATTTGCTTGCGCGTAGGGGTCTTTAGCAGTGGGAGGAATCTGGAAGACCCGGAGAAAACCCACGAGGTTGGACAGGCGACCCTACTCCTTGTCACGTACAACCGGGGATTTGAAACCACGCTCAATGACAGACCTTATGATACAGCGTGTGCGTGCTAACCATTTGGCCATCCAACTCCCACAGGCCTAAAGAAAGACTGCAATAGGCATATTTAGCTCTTGTATAATGTAATGTATGTTTAATTGAACAAAATATTATATCATTTTTCTCTAGAGATTAACACTCAATTTGATATATATATATATATATATATGTTCATTGCAGTTCATGTGTCTTGTCTGCAAAGAAATGAAATGAAATGTGGTTTAACGTCCTAATGTTCTACTCCTATACTGGGCTAATTAAGACGGGAATACGCCATATAGTGTACTATAAGGGAAATTTTGCCTAGACAGCAACGCTACAGCCTACTCTTATATTGAATTCCAACTGGCAAGGTATCATTAACATGCGCGCTAATGTGTACACGGGACCTTAGTTTTTCGTCCCATCTGAATGACTAGACAGCTGATAGGTCTTAGAAACAGTAATAAATATTCTAATGACCAACAAGCAAATAGATTAAAACAAAAACATAATTATATACATTGACCTCAGATGTATACGTAAGAAGTGGTGAGATGTTGATAAAAGCAACATTGTGTATAAAAGTTTCGTACTTACCGGTCTACAATCTATATCACACATTCCAACACTAGTAGTTACCACATGACCAGCTCCTAACATAGTATTACCAGGTATATCCTATAATATAGTATAATCACATTACCAGGTATAACCTATATAATCACATTACCTAACATAGTATTACCAGGTACAATTATCACATTAATTACTACTCAACACTAAGCAGGTATTTTCGGGACTAACACACACTCTAACCTGGGTATCATTTAACCATGTGTATTCATCCCTAATTTCATTCAATAAAATTCGTAAAAATCGTTTAAAACCACCCCAATTCATTCGATTTGCACTTGTGTCCAGATTACAGCCAACAGTTAATTTTCATAAAGAGCATCCAATTAACTACCCGTTTAATTTCTCAACCAATCAATACGATCATATATATTTGTACAAAGCATATCTTTGTAAATACTAAATAGATTTGAACCATATTCTGGTTGGCAACGGATTCAAAATCCCTGCTATGACGAGCCTCGACTTTTAACTTCTATATTTTACTTACTTTGATAATAGATGGATCAAATAAACCCTCACAAGCTTTAAATCTTTCTGAACCAAAATCCATATTATAGCCATTAGGGAATTCATAATGAAACAATGGCATGCTATCAACAGTTCTATAAATAGAAAAAAGAAATCAGGTTTAACATCCTACTTTTATGCACCAAAACGAGAGAGAGAGATGGGGTTTAACATCCACTTGACACTCATTTCGGGACTAACATATGGTCCAATTCTATTCCAATAATTTGCTTGCACGTAGTGGTCTTTAGCAGTGGGAGGAAGCTGGAGGACACAGAGAAAATGGCAACAGGCTTATTGTATTATAGCAAGTAGCAGAGATCTTTAATTCATCATATCTTTGTAAGTACAGAATGGAATTCAACCATTTTTGAACTGATATTCCTTTTGGAGATTCAACTTTCACAGTATTGTAAGATACAAGTGATTCCTATTTCTTAAAATAGCGCAGAATAACTTAATGCTACATACAATAATAGTGAATGACTTACTCTTGATCATATGGAGCATCCGAAACATTTAATACAGAGGCAGCAAAATCCTGTAAAACATCCTGAAACATAAAATATTTTACATTAATTTCTGTATATACTCAAACTGTTACCAGGAAAACATAATTAAAAAAAATAGATAATGTAAAGGAAATATACAGAAAATTTTCAGTCAAATTACTTCACTCTGAGTCTAGACATCAGTGATACAATTATAGTCTAGTCTCGATTGCCATTACTACCATTACAATAATAGACAAAGTCTCGGGTATCCATGTTTACAGTAACTACATCGACCACAAAACGTATTTCAATCTAGTTATATTGCAGCCATCTGATGGCATCGAGAGTTCATTATGGTCTGGAAAAGTTAATTAATGTCTAATTAATAATTTAGATAAGATTTAAGGCCTAATGAAAGACCTGCAATAGACAGATTTAGCTCTTTCATAATGCATGTTTAATCTATGTATCTTTTTAAAAAAAAAGTATATGTGATGTTTTTTTTTGAATTGGTCAGATTTTTACTTCATTTATTGTAATAAAGGACAACCCCAGTGTAGACCAACCTTAACCATATAGTTATGGAATGATTTCGTCACTTCACAAATATCCTTTTTCTTCCATTTTGGTGGTTCATTTTCTTTTACTTCTTCCTGGAAAAATTAACAACAAAATCAATAAATTACAGAAATACACCAGACTAGGTCATTTCGGGACTAACATTGACTTAATGATAGATCTTATGAGACTTTTAAATTCCCGTTATTTTCCAGGACTAATGGGTAATAAAGCATCATATTGATATTGTTGATTTATAAATAAAAGAACATAACTTACTTTACTTTGTATAAGATAAGGGGGGATAACTTCTACATTTAATTCTTCCATCATTTTTCTACATTCTACCGTAACAAAGTCACCAGCTAAAGGTGATTTAACTATACCTGAAACAATAGAAAACAATCTTTATCATAAACAAGGTATGTTGATCAATGGAGTATAGAGTAGAAGGTAAAATACACGAGTTTAACATCTACCTGCAAAAAGGGGACTTATGGGGCATAATCGATTGAACATTCTGGAATTGAATTCTCTAAATCCCCTTAAAAGTGACAATCGAGTGAAAATGGGGATTTTGGGCTAGAACGCATGCGTCGACTGAATAAGTAAATATCTCAACCAACCAAGCCAGTTGAAACATATTCGTTGTGTTTAATTATGTCACGATTCTACTTACACCACCTCTACTGTCTGGACTGACAGAATTGTGACGGGACTGAATTCCATGTCACTCGATTGCAATTCTGTCAACTCGGAACATTCCAGACTGACAAGCGACAGACATACATGTACACCATACATTGTGCTGTGCTATGAAGAAAATTATGCCTTAACAGCGCACTACCGAGAGAGAGTTTATCTCCACTGAACACAAACTAGGTCATTTTGGGACCAACATATGGTTCAAGTTTTTATAAATTTTTATGTCAATAATTCGCTTGTGCGTAAGGGTTTTTAGCAGTGGGAGGAAACCAGAGGCCCAGAGAAAACCCACAAGGTCGGAGGCTACTCTACTACTTGTTATGTACAACCGGGGAATCAAAACCATGCCAGTTGACTCAATGACGGACCTTATGATACAGCGTGCATTAGGGCTGGTGAAAAATATCGATATGGCCTATAATCGTCGGCCACTACGGAAAAATATCGATATTGATATTCAGTTCTTGATATCGATACTCGTATAAAAAATAAAGGAGCTTCAATAAAATGAAATTAACAGAATGTTTTGTGTCAAATAATCGCCGTCATATCATTCAAAACACACTAAAACTAAAATCACACACACTTTACGAAGGTACAACCACCGCGCCGGTAATTTTGGGGGTCATTTACAACAATGACAATGAATAATTAATTAATTGTTCAGGGGAAATAACTCAATTTTAATAGAAATTAATTTATTGTTATAAGCGGCCGAGGAAAATTGTTAACAGCAATTGATGGTGAGCGCGAAGCTGCGATTACTATTTTGTTCATAATACTATAAGATAAGCTGTCAAGGAAACAAACATTAAGAAAACGTAGTTTGAGGATCATAGTTTCTTTTTTTATTTGATCAATAACACATTTAAATGCATTATTAGCATACAAACAGTTATTTCAAATTTTCCGGTATCGATATTGCCGAGATGGTTGCCGATATTGATATTCAAAATAGGTATCGATTGCAAGCCCTAGTGTGCATGCACTAACCATTCAGCCATCCAACCTCCAGTTTCTTTTACATGCACGCTGTCTACACAGCACCTAACTTTTTTGTACCATTCGAATGACTAGACACCGTCCTTGCCAGATCCCCCGTCTTGCACCATTGATTTGGGTTTAGTACAGACCCTCCGTCTTGCACCGTGGGTTCAGTACAAAGTAACTACACTCAGTGCCAAACAGGATATTTTCCTAGACGTACTTACCATGCTGTAAAACATATCCATCATACACCGGAACAGCAGACGTATGAGTGGCGCCACTGTCTAATATCAAAGCTGTTGATCTACCATTTGCAAATCTAGAAATTACAGTCACAGAAACTATACTATAGGAAAGAGAGAGAAACCGGAGGTCCCGGAGAAAACCCACGAGGTTGGACAGGCAACCCTACTCCTTGTCATGTACAACCTGGCAATTCCGCCACCCAACCCCCCTCTATTGGAAAGAGAGAGAAATAAGAATTATAATGACTTTAGCCATGTGAGGAAACTGCATGACTGGTAGACAGCCCTGGAGATTTGGCAGAAGACACTACTTGTAACTTCAGTCTGCTTCTCACTAGCAGGATACCCGTTCGATGCCCAAATTTGCTCTTGGCCGAATTCGCCAGGGGCCCAAATTCACACCATAACTACGAAACCGTTAGTGGTAGTCCATCGCCAGTCCAAGCTACCCCGATACACCAAATTTCAGCCTCGGAACAGCCCTAGTGTAGTTGCCACAACAGACACACAAACGACTGTCATAAATATTAGTGTAGATAGGCGCACACTTAGAGAGAGAAATGAGGTTTAATGTCCTACTGTTCTGCTCTGAACTGGGCAAATGAAGACGGGCATACGCCATACAGTGTGCTATCAGTGAAATTTTGCCCGGACAGTGGACCTACGGCCTACTCTTATATTGACTTCCAACTGCCAAGGGATCTTTTACGTGCATGCCAATGTTTACATGGGACCCCAGTTTTTCATGCCATCCGAACGACTAGGCAGCTGTCCTTGTCACCGACAAGGGAGAACCACGACGGAAAATCTGGATAAACTTTCTGGGCCAATGCAGGGATCGAACACCCGACCTTCAGACTAGCGAGCCAGCTGATAAATTGGATAACAAAAACTTTATCAATATAAAAAGGATACGCTGATAATACTGGACTTTTACTCAAGAAGAAAGCAGGTACATTATATTTCTCAAACATAATTTCTGTCATTTTTTCTCTTTTTTCTCTCGTATTCCACTAAAAAAACATAAAAAAACAGCATCATCATTTACCATGTTCAATCATTAGCCTTGTTCAAAATATCAGTTTTAAATCAGGGTTTTCAGTTCAAATTTTGAGTCGGTCGTAATTATTTTTTCAAATTCCGATTAGCGAGATGTTTTCTTTCCAAAGGATGAAAATTTTAGCATTATCCCAATTCTCAACTACATTGTACATGTCAAACAGGCGTTATATGGGAGATTAGATAAAGAGCTGACAATCTGTTATAATAGTTAAAAAATCGATAATGAAAAGAGAATATGATGAAAATTTCAGTCGAATTATTTCACTCGTAGACGAGAAATCCTCATTGTTACCGTTATTACGATAATAAACAAAGTCTTGACTATCCAGTTTTATGATTAATCTCAGATCGGATTCAAATCTGTTGACAATTGATTATGGTCTTGTCATGTTAATGAATGTCTAATTAATAATTTGTATAACATTTAAGGCCTAAAGAAAGATCTGCAATAGGCAGATTTAGCTCTTGCATAATGTATGGTTAAGCTTTTATTGTTTGAAATTCTACTTTCATGACCAAGTCTTGACATATATTGTAAGGCACCTAACCCGTCAAAGACTTTGTCAGACAAATTATAAATGAAATGAATTGAAATGGGGTTTAACGTCCTACTGTTCTGCTCCTAAACTGGGCTAATGAAGACGGGCATACGCCACAGCCTACTCTTATATCGAATTTCAACTGCCAAGGGATCTTTTACGTGCACGCCAATGTTTACACAGGACCTCGGTTTTTCCCATCCGAACGACTAGACAGCTGTACTTGTCATAGTGTAATATTTTTCACCTGACAATGTCTGTGACAGGTGTTTTATAACCAGGTGTGTTAAAGACCAGTAAATCTGAGTAATGTTGAAACAAGATAGAAAAGAAAGAGACTTACGGCTGGTTCTGACATCATGACAGGATGATGGTCGGCATCTGATTTTATATGTCTTTCATACGTGTAGTCCATAACTTTCTCAAACACATCCCAATTATCAACTGTAAAAAATAAATATAGAGAGAAAAATGAGGTTTAACGTACACTCGACATAAATAAGGTTATTTTGGGACTAACACATGGTTCAATTTCATTTCAATAATTCGCTTGCACATGGGGGTCTTTAGAAGTGGGATGAAACCCTATAACAAATATATCCCTATATTAACAACTGTACAAAACAAATACATGTATGAACATACAACACAGGCTTGTCCCCCACCCCCACCCCAGTCTCTTTACATGTGAACATACCACTCAGGCTTATTGCTACCCCATTCTCCCCATCTCTTTAAGTGTGAACATACGACTCAGACTTGTTGCCCCCTCCCTTACATATGAAGATATGACCCAGGCTTTATGTATGAACATACATGTAAGACCCAGGCTTGTCACGCTCCCTATTTATGTATGAACATAAGACCCTGACCTCTTGCCCCTCTCCCAATAAACTTCCAACTCGTGGCCTAATGAACAATCACAAGTATAAGCCATGTTTTATTATTACAGAAATGAAATGGGGTTTAACATCCCACTATTCTGCTCCAAACTGGGCTAATGAAGACAGGTATACGCCATACAGTATGCTATGAGGAAAATTTTGCCCGGACAGCAAGGGATCTTTTACGTGCACGCCAATGTGTTCACGGAACCTCGGTTTTTTGTACCATCCGACTGTACTTGTCAGACCCTCTTTCCTGCATCACTGACAAGGGCGAACCATGCTGGAAAATCTGGATGGACTTTCTCAGCCAATGCAGGGATCGAACACCCGACCTCCAGCGTCTTACCCACATAGCCACCATGACCCCCGTTATTATTACACTTAGAACATCAGATAAATCAGAGCATTATTACTCACCCATTCCATCTTTAAGGAAACTGACCATATCCATCTTTTTACGGGGAACCTTTATATGAACTGTATCCATGAAATATTTTCTATCGGGCTGTTTAGGTACGTCTAATGTATCCGTTTCCATGGCAGTCTCCAGATCATCAACTATACCAACATGAGTTGGCATTTCAGTCTAAACAGAGAAAACATATTAACCATGTGATTCTGTGTCAGTTATTAAATCTAAAGTGAAAACTTGGTTATTTAGTCACTGCCATTAACAATCCAAAGTGAGAACGTTTAACGTCCACTGGACACAAACTAGGTCATTTCAGGACTAACACATGGTGCAAACTTATTTCAATAATTTGCTTGCCGGCGGGGTCGTTAACAGTGGCAGGAAACTGGAGGACCCAGAGAAAACCCACAAGGTTAGACAGGGGAATCGAAACCACACCAGTTGACTCAATGACAGACATTGTGATACAACGTGCAAGCACTAACCCATTCGGCCCCCCCCCCACCACATACTATACAAATATCATTGATATTATTATTATTATGCTGCCTACCGGTATCGTAATGAATGGAATAAAGTTTAACAAGTTTAACATCTTATCAAAACAATACTTTGGTCCTGTACAGTTAATTGTATTAAAGGGGCATTATGGGAGATTTGATAAAGAGCTGTCTGTTCTCATTATAATTTAAAAACTAGATAATGTAAAGGAAAGGGAATATGCTGAAAGTATTAGCATTTGATACAGCGTGCACATGCTAACCATTCAGCCATCCAACCCCCGTCACCATTAGCCCAGTCGGTGCACAACAGTAAGACATTAACCACACCATTTCATTAAAGGTTTCCAGAAGACGTACACATGGTGTACCATATTATCTTACAGAAGTACTCAAGTTGGTCTGGAACATACCTTTGGTGTATCTTCTCCTGCAAATCCAGCCCTAAAGGAATAGGATCCGATATCAAACACAATTGCACCAACCTCATCTGAAAAATAGAAAAATAGTTAACATTTTAACCATTTGCAATAAGATCGACTTTTTAATAAATAGTGTGTGTGTGTTGGTGTCGAGCAATGTTCACCACTAATTTCTAATTTTAAGCGGTAAACCTAACTGGTGCACACAAAATCGATGAAGACATCATGGATAGACTATGGTGTAATGTTACCGGTACTCAACTAATAACTATTTCGTGCTGATCGGCATTCCCAGGCAGTGACGACAGTCTTTGGGGATGCTCAATTGTCATGTCAGTTGTGACATTGGCAGTATCAACGGTTTTCCCGTCAGAAGTCTGACTAAGATGACCTTAATGTAACTTCAATGCAACATTAACATCATAATTAATACATTTAAATTAATATAATCATCAAATATTTGCATTTTCATTATTAATAATTTTCACAAGGAAAGGGAGACAATTCACGTGGTAAACAAACTCGACTTTCTTATCAATTTTTTTGATAAAAACGTTTACTAGAACTAAGATATGTGCATAGAAATTGGATAATATGGTAGGATGGAACCGAACTCACCTCCCCCGTACACACCGCCACTCATTTTGTAACTAAAAATGCACTTTTTACAAGAAAACTGAAGCTTTGTTAAAATTCGCCGGGAACAAAGAACAACTTCCGTTTCTTTTATTTTACGGGTGTCGTAAATATGTTTACATATGAACCCTTTTTACTTGATATTTTTTACAATTATGACGTGATTTTTAATGAATTCAGTTTTATTTCAATAATCAAACGAAAGAAATGATACACAATCGTCTCTAATATTATTTTATTATTATTATCTTAGGTTTACGACAATATTCCAAACAAGGGACATAACTCTGGAAAAAAGAAGAAAAATGGCCCCTGAAAATAATTCCCAAATCAAAGGTTTTAGAAATTGATAATTTATACGTAGAGACCCACCGATTTCTGCTAAATTTGAATTCATAAACTCGCAAGCCATTTTTGGGGGCATATTGCAGTCTTTTTTCATAAATAAAATGAACGCTTGAACTTGAGAAATGATTGACTTTACAAATTTCCATCTCCCAATCCCAAACTATAGTATTATTATGATAAATGATATGATATCATTATGATGGGCCAATTAACCAAACCCTGTCATTGTAACCTTTGTTTCGAAAAATTTCCTGTCCTTTGATTGATATATCATGATCCACATATAATTCAAACATATTATTTAATGTCTGTTAATTCTGTGCTCGCTGTATCATAGGGTCTGCCATTGAGTCAACTGGCATGGTTTCGATTCCTCGGTTGTATGTCACTATGTGACAAGGAGTAGGGTCACCTGTCCAACCTCATTGGTTTTCTCTGGGCACTCTGGTTTCCTTCCACTGCTAAAGACCCCTACGTGCAAGCGAATCATTGAAATAAAATTGAACCATATGTTAGTCCAGAAATGACGTAGGTTGTGTCGAGTGGACGTTAAACCCCTGTTTCTCTCAGTGATCCCTCCGTTATTTCCGACCAAATGATGACCACTTTGGCAAATGTTTTGGCTGTTATATTATGACCGTTTGAGCAAAGTGAATTTTTACAAACATCAATTTCTTTGTGACGAAATAAAATTAACATATTGTTATCATATCATCAATATCATGACCTGTGAGTTTATTTTATGACAGGGAGCCATGGTGGCTCAGTGGGTGAGACATTGGCTCACTAACAGGAAGGTACCATGTTCAATCACTGTGTTGGTAGAGAAAGTTCATCATTACTTTCTGGGGTGGTTTCCCTAGTCAGAGGTCCGGGCAAAGGACAAAACAAAATTCGTTCAAATGATAGAGAAACCGAGGTCCTGTGTACACATTGGTCTGCAAGTAAAAGAACCTTTGGCAGTTTGAATTTGATATAAAAACAGACTGTAGCGCCGCTGTCCAGGGAAAATTTCCCTCATAGAAAACTGCATTGCGGCTGATCGAGCGTCATCACTAGCCCAGTCAGGGCAGAACAGTAGGACGTTAAACCCATTTCATATTTTACAATGGTCATAAACATGTTACAGGCTATGCTACTTGTTAGTCTTCAGATTCCTGTTGTGTTGACAGAGATCCTTAAATCTATTTGTGTCATTATATGCACGAAAAAAACTTCTTGTAGTGGTCATTGAAAGATCTGTATGTCATCTTTTATAGGCCAACATGTATATATTGTTAATGACATAAGGGGTATTGAAAAATCTTCAAATCTATCAGCTTATAGGTATTAATTATGTCGGACCCGTGTATACATTGGCGTGCACTAATGATCCCTTGGCAGTTGGAATTCGATATAAGAGTAGGCCATAGTGCCGCTGCTCGGGCAAAATTTCATTCATAGCACACTGAATGGCGTATGCCTGTCTTCATTAGCCCAGTCGGAGCAGAACAGTGGGACGTTAAACCCCATTTCATTTCAATTCATTTCATTAATTATGATGTATCCTAAATCCAAAAATGCTGATGAGGTTTCAGTTAATTTGTAAATATAAATTGATATTTCTTTAAATTATCATAATTTTTGTATTATTTTAGAATACATAATCGTGTAATAACAGTACCGGAGTACCAGTATAAATACGTAAGAAAAATGTCGAAAACAGACGCTGTTCCAGTATTTGAGTTAGGGTCAGCAGGAACAGATTTCAAATCTAAAAGTAAGGATATATTTGGTGTTCTTCAGACCTTAGAAGATAAACATTCAGCAGTCGAATCGGCTCGCAGAAAATCGGGATCAGAAAAAGATGAAGAAACGTTTTGGAAAAATGACCCCATTGTTGAACCCGATGTGGTCAGTAAAGATACAGCATCTCATGAACACACTAACAAATTAAAGGGAAGTTACTCTAATAGGTCTTCGGATAAGGGAGATGCGAGTAATTTCAGAAAACCGTACTTTAGACCTCCGTCTAATAGGCGGTTTAACAAACAGATAATCCCAGACCATAAAATACATCCAGAGAAGTACACATGCTATAGTCTCGGAGATGTTTCTTCTTCAGATATGTCAAATACTTCAAATAGTCGAGCAGCTTTCGATTTTCTCGAAGAGCGACGTAAATTTCGCGAGCAACAGGAAAGAGGTTCGGACGAAGAAGAAGCCAAAGTTGATGTCAGCGACACAGCATGCTCCAGGGGGGTCTTCACTTTTAAGAAAAGGAACAAGACTGACGAGCAATCAGAGAAAAAAGGTGATAAATCAAAGGATAAAACTGTTGTTAGTTTAGCCGAGGAAGAACCAGAGGATGATGAGGAGAAACAAAACGAAAAAACAGAGGAGATAGCATGTTTTAAACCACGTAAATCTAAACAAAGAAATATCCGAGTTCGTGAAGATGCTGAGGATGAAGACGAATAAATGTATATAAAGAATTGTTTAATTAATTTGTTTATTATGAAAAATGGGTGGTGCACGACTTAAAATTTACTACACGATTTGACATTAAATAGATACAAATCGATGTTTTAGATACAACAAATTGATGTGTTATATACATCTTTGTGGATACCTTCTTAGCAACATGTGGTAGACATGCAGCTCATTACATTTATATTTGAAGTACATTTATTGTAAGCATTTGTTTGTTGGAATGGAACTACAACTATTAACCCTTTCGCTACTGGTCACTAGCTTACTGACCCTATTTCTACTATAGCTATTTTAATAAAATGGTAACGGGTAACCTAGAAGTTTTGTGATGACTCATTGATCAGGCCCTATGTAATGCCAATGAAAGTTAGCTTTAGGTCATTGCGGTCTATTGTTTATTGTGCTCGTTGTTATTCTAGGCCTAATTTGGGACCCGGTGTAGCGGAGACATCTCACAGACAATTTATGATGTGTGTTTTAATCTGGTGACTAGGCCCTACGTAATAAAAGGTTAAATGGACTATGATTTAATATTTTACTTTTGTTAATAATCCTACATTATTTTATATAGCAGTAGTCATTGCTAGACATTAATCTAAAACAAGTAGTGATAGGTGTGGTGCACAAGGTCGGGTATGCATACTCTTCATGGAATGTTGCTGAACTTAAAGAGTTCACAAGACCGTTACATGCATCATTTTTATATGCCCACATTGAAATGAAGTCGTATGTTGTCGTGGCCCTGTCCGTCTGTCTGTCCGGCGTCCACAATTCCTTGTGGATGCTCTAGAGGCTACAGTTAATACCCGATTGACTTTAAATTTATACACAGTGATTTTTAACTATTTCCGATAATTATTGCCAGAGTTATGTCCCTTGATCACTTTGAAAGATCTTGTGAGCCCTCTGAAGACTAAAGTTAATATAAATTGCTTAAGGTCATGAGACGAACAATTGAAACAAATTCTAATGTTTTCTGATCATTACTTAATGGGTTATTACTCGTAATCAGATTTTCATATGTTGTAAATGTTCTCATGACTGAAAAAAGAAAAAATATGCGACAACCCTTGTTGACTGCCTGGACGACTTAACTGCTGCGGCTGTTTTTCGTTGCCTGGCAACCTATATGTTTATAACAGTATTTGTTGTGGTTTTGTTTTTTATGTGTCAAATTAGCCCTACAGTAAATCTTTCTTGTGTGTTATGATTACTGGTAGACATGACAACAGCAAGGGTATTTTAATGAGAGAGTTGTATAATGTACATGTATATTTATAGGCTGTGTGTATCTCATAGCAATCTCCATGCATCTCCTAGTTAAGAGCTTTGCACCAATCTGATTAAAATCAATTTTGATTGGCTAAGCACTAAAATCAATCTAATATTATCCAATCAAATTACTAAAATCTAGATTTTATCTTAGTTAAAATTTCGTGAAACAGGGCCCAGATCTTTATTTCCTCCGGTTTCCTCCCGCTAATCAAACCCCTACATGTACGTGCAGGCACATTATTGAAATAAAATTGCACCATATAGTGGTCCCGAAATGACCTACTTTGTGTAAAGATGGCGTTAAACCACATTTCTGGCTCTCTCTCTGTTAAAAAGAAGAGAGGCGAGAAGGTCTGATTCAATGAGACTAGCCCTGCACATATCATTATTCTTTTGATGTCACTATTATGTTAACTGTGTTATATGTTTTGGTGCATCTAAGCAACTCTGTTGGTTTTTTATTCATAAGATGTACTTTCAAGCTTTATACATTATTGCTTGTTTTTTTGTTATTTTTAATGAAATATTACTAAAATTACTGTATGACCGTAATAAAAATGGTAAAAATCTTTTCAAATAATTTATATATTAAAAAAAGTATTTCCTAACTTGACCCTCATATTTGGTGGCATCTACAAAGTTTGGGCAATGGGTTCTTTAATGTGCACATCAATATGAATAGGCCTACAGTGGGCCTCAGATTTCCATTCCATCCCAACAACTAGGTACACTTCCCTTGACATCTCTGACAATTGAGAAAATAAAATGAAATGAAATGTTTTTTAACATCCTACTATTCTGCTCCGACTGGGTTAATGAAGACAGGCATATGCCATACAATGTGTTATGAGGGAAAGTTTGCCCGAACAGCGGCACTACGGCCTGCTATTATATCAAATTCGAACTGTTAAGGGTTATTTTACGTGCACGCCAATCCTGATGAACTTTCTCGACCAATGTAGGGATTGAACAGGGGACCTCCAGGTTAGCGAGCCAACATCTTAACCACTGAGCCACTGTGGCTCTGAGAAAATGAAATGAAGTGAAATAAAATACTACTGTTCTGCATCAACAGAGACAAGGGAAACAAGCGTACACCACGCAGTGTCCCATAGGTGTAATTTTGCGCAGACTGCATCTTATTTCGATATCAAAGTGTTTTAACACACTACCAAATTAATAAACACGACCTCCCTCGAATGACTAGACTGGAAAAACAAAGCTCGGGCAACTGATTGTTGAGTCGGGTTCAAACCCCCCCAAGCCACCATGACTCGACCCGACTTGTAAAAATCTGTGTAGGCCTATTCCATTTTAAAAGTTCACAAGATTATAACTTTGTAATGCACAACTTATACGTATACACAGGCCTATCTGCAGTGCAATATTTGTAGCAGTGATAATTGAGCAAGACTGAAGTCATCAGTAGTGGAACCATTTCTAACAGAGGCCTAGGCTTACTCACTAAATTATATAAGACAAAAAGAATTGCTCTACATGGAAAAACTTAAAGTAACTAAGTCTCTAACTCAATATCATTCAAAGTCTTCGACATTGAAAACACGAATTAATTGTCAATTTAAATCAACATTGATGTTGTGATCTTTCCGGGAAAAGATGGGATTCTGATATTTAATATTTAAGACAAAATAATCATTTTACCATTGCTACACGAATCGTGTACCATGCATATGTGTTTCAGCGCAATTTGTAACAATAATTAGGGACTCGAAGAACAAATCTAGACATATTCCACTAGTCATATCAAATGGTGACCTCATATTCTTATCTGGAGAGCATGCACAATAAATAGGCCTACTATCGGTGTAGACTGGAATAACCAGACACTAGAGATTGCCATTCTATTGAAACTTCTGGCGTATTTCGCCGAAGATAACTGATTTGAAATTAGAGTAAAAATGCAATCTGACCCATTGGTGTCAATTTCTAGGTCCCAAATATTAGCAATTTAGCTTCTTTAATATTAGGCCTATGTGGGTTAGGCCTAATTTATATTAGGTGGCAAAAAGTTAACCATATTGAATGAAGCGACCATTTTGATCAAGCATTTCCATTGAGGTGAGAAAGTTAATTGTGTGGGGTCTTTTTGTTTGTTTTTTTTTAAAATAATAGAATGTTTGTAAAAAGTTTTAAACCTAGTTAAAATGGAGTTACCTCCCTTCACCCGAAAGTTTAATACCGGAAGTGCCACGTTTAGGTGTCTCTACTTGTCATTTCGTCAAAATGGCAGCCACTTTGAGAGAAAAACAAGCTGCGGCCTTAAGACGAATGTTAAACTTTAATGCCCCCATAACCAAGGCTTCATCTAACGAACCACAATGGAAAATACTAGTCTACGATCGTTTCGGCCAGGATATCATATCTCCATTATTGTCTGTAAAGGAACTGCGGGACTTGGGAGTCACTCTTCATCTAAATTTGCATTCAGATCGAGACACTATTCCAGATGTCCCTGTCATTTATTTTGTTATGCCAACCGATGATAATGTCCAGAGAATTTGTCGTGATTTTGAGAACCAGTTATATGAAAGTTACTATTTAAATTTCATCTCGGCAATTTCTAGACAGAAGTTAGAAGACATTGCTAGTGCTTCCATTCAGTACAGTTGCGTTGCGCAAGTCTCGAAAATTTATGATCAGTATTTGAACTTTATTTCGCTAGAAGACGATTTATTCACTTTGAGACATCAAGATCGTGATGCTATATCCTACTACGCATTAAATCGTGGAGATGTCAAAGACACGGAAATGGAAGCCATTATGGATACGATCGTCGACAGTTTGTTTTCAGTTTTTGTGACGCTTGGTGTAGTTCCTATCATCAGATCTGCTAGGGGTAATGCTGCAGAAATGGTTGCAGAGAAACTGGACAAAAAGTTGCGTGAAAACGTTCGCGACGCCAGAAATAGTTTATTCACATCTGACAGTGCTCCCGGGCAGTTCAGTTTTCAAAGACCTCTTTTAGTTTTATTGGATAGAAATCTTGACCTTGCTACAATGTTACATCATACCTGGACTTATCAAGCCCTCGCTCATGACGTCCTTGACCTCAAATTAAATAGGGTTGAAATCGAAGAATCAACCAATGTACAGTCCCCAGCAGGCAGCCCTAGACCAATGAAAAAGAAGAAATCATATGATTTAAACACCAATGATAGATTTTGGCACATCCAGAAAGGAAGTCCATTTCCCACCGTTGCCGAAGCTGTACAGGAGGAACTTGATGCATACAGAACCCAAGAAGATAAAGTCAAAAGTTTAAAAGCTGCCATGGGTATCGAGGGAGAAGACGATTCGGCCATTAGCATGTTATCAGACAACACGGCAAAGTTAACGTCTGCTGTCAACTCTCTACCTGAACTGCTGGAGAAAAAACGATTGATTGACATGCATACAAATATTGCAACAGCTCTTCTAGAACAAGTGAAAACAAGAAAACTGGACATTTATTTTGAATGTGAAGAGAAATTAATGAGCAAATCAGTACAAGATAAGTCACTGATGGAGTTGATCGCAGACCCTGAAGCTGGAACACCTAATGATAAAGTTCGTTTATTTGCAATTGCTTTGATTTGTGGTCCCCATATGTCTGAAGCCGAGATCGACCAGTATTGCGTTGCTTTAACGGAAGCTGGGTGTGACATCAGTCCCGTTCAATATGTTCGTCGATGGAAGGCTTACGCTAAAATGACCGCTGCTCCTAGTCAATACGGTGGAGGTGGTATCAGTTCGACGGGGATGTTCGCAAATCTGGTTTCAAAAGGTTCACAATTTGTCATGGAAGGCGTAAAAAATCTAGTTGTAAAGAGACATAATTTACCAGCGACGCGGATAGTCGACGCTTTAATGGAACTAAAGTCGTACCAGGATGTAGAGGACTATCGTTATTTCGATCCAAAACTTCTTCGTGCGGACAGCTCATCGGTGCCGAGAAACAAGTCTCCGTTTCAAGAAGCTTTCGTGTTCGTTGTCGGTGGTGGAAACTATATAGAATACCAGAATTTAGTTGACTATGCTAGAAGTAAATCAGTGACCTCCCCTAAAAAGATTTGGTACGGTTGTAGTGATTTGGTTAATGCTTCGTTGTTTTTGAAACAGTTAGGACATCTAGGAAAGGAGATATGATGTAACAAAAGACATGGAATTACGCTACAACTATCATTATTTAATTGTGCTGTTTTAGAAGCAGGCCTGGAAATAACGGTTTTAGATGTACATGTACATGTATCTGTCAAAATGTCCGGCACCAATGAAATAGTACCTGACATTTCCAACTTAGTGCTGGATATGTATTAATAATATCAATAAAAAAAGACAAGTCCGGGCCAGACAAAATGACAGGCACCAGAGGTTTTGTGCCTGACAAAGCCTTAATCTGTGCCTGACATTGTCTATGACAGGTGCCTTATTTCCAGACTTGTTTAGAAGGAGTTTCTGTATATAATGTTATGTTTCAAACTATTAGTGGCAAATTACTCAAATTCGTTGAGAATCATCAAAAAATATTGGGTTCCTACTAGTGTTGGCACGATATATATGTATCATTGAATCGATGTATTATGATTCACCTTCCCACGATTCACGTATTGAGACGCTAAATCAATGTATCATGATTCTTTTTTTTTTAGTGGCAAATTACTCAAATTCGTTGAGAATCATCAAAAAATATTGGGTTCCTACTAGTGTTGGCACGATATATATGTATCATTGAATCGATGTATTATGATTCACCTTCCCACGATTCACGTATTGAGACGCTAAATCAATGTATCATGATTCTTTTTTTTTTATCTTTTTTTTTGTCGTTTCAATAAGTAAGGCTGACCTTAAAAATATCTTTGTTTCACCAAACCCGACCCACAATCGAGGAGAAGGGTCGGTAGGTCGGGGTTTTTTTTCAGATTTTTTTTTAAGAGCTAATTTGACAGCTTGATAATTTTCCGGGTGCAAACATTCGTCTTCTTTTATTGTCAAACAAATCAATGACATTGGGATTTTTCGTGATGCACGACTCGCACACGAATTGCCAGAAACTGACGTTTGAAACTCCCTCAACACGTTTTTTAACGATCGTGTGGGTTGTGCCTTCATTTTTCTCGAAAACAGATATTCAATATCCGTTTTCGAGAAAAATAGAGGCAGAATCATTTCGTGGGAATGGACGTGCTTTCGTCTACAACCATTTTGTTGAGAAGCAACACCTATGATGCTTTCGTCTTGATCAACCAGTTTCAATAATGAATCAAACCATAGCCATAGTAAAGGGAAATAACTCTCGTGATATATTTCAGGTTGACACACAAAATAAAATAAAAAGATCGCGGAAAAGTGCAATAAAATAATTTAAGTCGGGGGTGGTTTTAGTTAGTCGGTCGCGTTAGGCGAAACAAAGATATTTTTAAAGTCAGCCTAACTTGTCACTCTTGATTATACACGTCGCACATTATCCACAAACACTCTTAAATTGTCTTGGTCCTTATTTTGATCCACATCAATATTGTGATATAAAACAATTTTATTTCTTCAACCTCTGCAGGACTAAAAATATTAATTATTCATTTATCCCATTGTTTTCTTGGTAAATAGGCCTATTGACCTGGTTATGAATTGTGATACGAATCGAATCATAGCACCTAAATCGCAATAAGTATCGTATCGTGCCTGCAGTGGTAATACCCAGTACTAGTTCCTACTGTCATGTAGTTTAAAATGGTCTGTCTAGATTAGATAGTGAGTGTTGGGTTTACAATACTTTCTCTCTAGAGGGGTTTGATGGCTGAATGGTTAGCATGTGCATGCTATATCGTAAGGCCTGTCATTGAGTCAACTGGCGTGGTTTCGAATCCCCGGTTGTACGTGACAAGGAGTAGGGTCGTCTGTCCAACCTCGTGGGTTTTCTCTGGGTCCTCCGGTTTCCCCCCCACTGCTAAAGATCCCTACGCGCAAGCGAATTATTGAAATAAAATTAAACCATATGTTAGTCCCGAAATGACCTAGATTGTTTCGAGTGAATGTTAAACCCCATTTCTCTCTCTCTCTCTTTACTTTCTCTAACGGTGTTGAGTAATTAATGGTTTGAAACTAAACGTTACAGGAACTCCCACTAAAACAGCACAGCTATATAATACCCGAGTTGTAGACATACCTTTTAATTTATTACACTTGAACTTGGACATTAATAAGGGCTACATATATTGTAAATGGAGAGTACTAAGCTAATAATAAATTATAAATTCATCCATCATTTATTTGTATCATAGGCTAATAAATCATAATAGTTTAAGCTATCGATTGTCATTTCTGAGAATTTAAATCCCTTGCAATTGGCCCAATCTGATTAAAACACAGATCCTATTTCGTTTCGTTTTTATAGTTCAAAATATCGTTTTACTTGTCTTTACTACACTAGGATCTGGAAGAGTTGTTATCGTTGATGTATTCTGGATGGTGTCAGGAATTAGCCAATGGAACGGTCTGTTACGGCGAGCTTTAGGCATGTTTTGCACGGAACTGTGGGTAATCCACTAGTAACATCAATGCTGATTGGTTAATCTAATGTCTTGACGTCATAGGGTCAAAAGCCGTTCATATGACCTCTGACACGACCTATCGCTACAACCGGTCAGATCTTCATGTAGTGTTGCCCATCGAAAGTATAAAAAAAAACGAAACGAAATATAGATCTGTATTTTAATCAGATTACAATTAGCCTAAACCAGTGGACACACTAGTCGAATGATTTCGCTGAATCAACCGCCGTCGAAATTCGCCCAATGTGTCCACTGTCATTCATACCTGTATAGTATACAATGTACATGTAAATCGTAATAAAATTCAAAATATAATTTAATGTCACAATCATCACGTTTATTTCATGTATTGTTATATGTCCACATCTTATTATATGGACGTGTATTGTTGTTATCACTTTTTTCGGTCAGTTCGTAATTTCTTGTGAACACTCTTCAGTTCAGAGAGTTCTTGTGTACATTAATATCCCATCACAAACCAAAGTTAAATTAAGTATTCTGTTATTAAAAGACACAGGACTGTCTAACCTTATGGGTATCCTTCGTTCGATCCCTGCGTTGGCGAGAAAGTTCATCAGGATTTTCCAGCGTGGTTGCTCCTTGTCAGTGTTGCAGGACTGAGGGTCTATAAATGGGGCAGTGTATACATGTAGTTGTTTGGATAGGACAAAAAAAAACAAGGTCCCATGCACAAATTGGCATGCACGTAAAAGATCCCTTGGCAGTTGGAATTTGATTTAAGAGTAGGCTGTAGCACCGCTGACCGGGCAAAATTTCCCTCATAGCACACTGTAAGGCGTATGCCCGTTTTCATATCCCAGTCAGAGCAGAACAGCAGGCCATTAAACCCCATTTCATTTTAATTTCACTTGTCGCACCTCAAAAGACATATACTGCACCCAACATTAACTTTTGGAAATAGGAATTTGGTCCTAAAATGACCCTATTAGTGGTGAGCGAAAGTTACTAATGTATCTCACTCCCCCTCTCTCTCTCTTTGGGTGAGCATGGTCGTAGCTATCTTAATATTAGATAATGAATAAAGGACTTCTCTTTTGAAAGATTATGAGTACATGTATGGCGATGTAAAATAATAAATTGTAATGTTATAACCTCTACATGTATCTCGTTGTTGATAATAAAACATAAAATATACCCACTGTTGTTATTTTATTACTGCCTACAAAATAAGCACAGATAAACGTATGATATAACTTTTAATTATGGAATACAATCACTACAGTGTGCTGTGAGGGAAATTTTGCTCGGGCAGCGGCACTATAGCCTACTCTTATATCAAATTCCAACTGCCAAGGGATCTTTTACGGCCATGCCAGTGTATACATGGGACCCCAGTTTTTCGTCTCATCCAAATGACTAGACAGCTGTCTTTGTCAAGCCCTCCCTCCTGCATCACTGACAAGGGGAAACCACATCGGAAAATCCCGATGAACTTCCTTGGCCAATGCAGGGATCGAAAACTCCAACCTCCAGGCTAGCGAGCCAGCGTCTTACCCATTTAGCCACTGTGGCTCCCCCTTTTTGTAAGTTGACCACAGGAGAAACTGGATGGAATAATAGCCGTTTCTTGTAAGATGACCACAGGGGATGACTGGTTGGAATAAATTCAAGAAATTAAGACCTTTATAAGCAGAAGATAATTTATTAGATAATGCCACACAATGATATTATGCTATAACATGCAGGACAATATAATATATACATATATATAATATACACAGATATAGTTCACTCCTTAACAACAAAACTAGGACAAGAAACAAAATCCTTTAAAGCCCAGAAGTTTTAACTTGGATTCTCTAATCTTTACCAACCAAATAATACCATCCTACAATCAAGTACAATAGGACCCTGGAACTGAGCATGTTGTCATAACAATCATGTATATTCAACAATCTGTTGGTACAGTAGAGCCCTGATATAAGCAACGCGGCGGATGAAATTGCTTATATCCGATTTTACTTACATGTATATATATATATATATATATATATATGAAAGTAAAGTCTAAATTACTTATTTTATGGGTTTTCTTGGTAAATATAGTGAAACTTATACATGTATAGTATGGAAGATTGAAAAGGCTACATAAAACTTTAAAGCTATGTAATTCTGTGTAATGTCACGTCGCCTATCTAATGCAATACATTCAATGTATAATGTACATACATATGCCACTGAAATTTCTTTTCATATTTGATGGATGAATGGATGCCATGAAATATTTTGGCCTAAAACCCCACAAAACCTTAATGTGGCCCTGGGAACAAAAGGAGTAGGGCTTACTGTTCTAAGGTTAAATTCCTTAAAATTTTAATTTAATATCATTTTAATTGACTGACAGTTTCATTCTCCTGCTGACCAATTTTAATGCCAGTCAGTATAGCTGGGATACTACTTCGCCTGTATATTCCGGACATGTCCTTCACGATTTGACAAATGTCCGACCAGGAATATGCCCAATCAGACATCAAGATATGGTGAATAGTATTCAAAATTCTAAAATATATTGACTGTACTGAATAAAGATTGACAAATATAACTTAAACAAGAAACCGAGTAAGATAAACAAATTTTACAATCAACACAAAAACATGTACTAAAATATTAACAGAACACAATTTTTACGGGATATCAATCGCTGGTTTATTCTACAAGCACAGGAATTCTACAAGTATCGTTATCGCTGGTGGTAGTGACAAGGAGTAGGGTCGCCTGTCCAATCTCGTGAGTTTTTTTTCGGGTCCTCGACCATGTCCAGTGGACATTAAACTCTCTCTCTCCCATTGATACCTGTTGTAACCTGGTACTTTCAGAATAAAACAGGTGATTGATATCCCATAAAAACTTTGTTCTGTTATGCTAGGTTCACACTATCATGATCCGTGCTACGGTTGAAATTGTGGTTTTAATCGTAGAGTAATCGTTGTGATCATATCATACATGTATATTGAAGTCAGTCGTGGCAAACATGTTGACCGTATCCTAACGTATCTTCAAGTACAAGATCGTGGACTCAATAGGGACAATCCTATCGTTACACATCACACGACAGTGCGAACCTAGCTTTAATGTATTTCTCAATGCTAAACACCACTTAAAGAACATGTACTAAGACATATACACTGTAACCCAGTTATTATTTAATCTTGTGTATCTAGCACTAATTTAAACAAAGATCTGATATTAAACGAATGTGAAAGAAATTAGTGCTACATACACCACTTAAAGAACATGTACTAAGATATATATGTTGTGAGAAGTAAAAAGATAAATATAGAGAGATCCGAGTGATATTGTTTTTGTAAAGAGAATTATGTCTGTGTAATAAACAATCTTATTTACATATAAAACATACAGATATATTACTAGGGGCCTTTTACAAGAAAACTTAAAAAATCAGATATAGTACTAGGGGGCTTATACAGATGCATTATTTAAGAGCTAAATTTGATGCCTATTGCAGATCCTTAATTCATGTGACTTAAAATGTTATATCAGTTATTAATTAGACATTTATTCACATGACCAGCCCATAATCAACTCTCTAGATCATCAGATGACCATGACATTGAATGGATTAGAACATCCACACCATTTAATAATTCAACATCGAAATGTATAATCAAGACTTTGTTTATTATCATAGCAATTGTACTTGACAATCAAGACTATCTTGTCAAAACTTCAAACACTCATAACTTTGCCCAGAATAAAGTAACTTAACTGAAATTTTCAATATATTAATTTTTAATTATCTTTTTTTTAATTTTTATAGCCAGAATGGCCAGATCTTTATCTAAATCTTACATAATAAATCTTTAAACTAACATATTTTTAGACTGCAGGCTAAATTTTATACCAGTAACAAGATTTTAACATTCAGCCAATGGAAAGGCCAAAATTGTCGACACATGATTTTTAATTGTGGTCTGAATCCGTCGGCTTAAACAACGATAAGAGTTATGCCCCTTTATTTTTGGTAAAAATGTCCAACAAGAACAATTTTGAAATCCCAACACTGGGCCAAATCCTTAAAATATTTTAGTTTGAATATTTCCGTGAATAAGGTCCCTGATAGTTAACTCAGTATAATACACTGTAATAATATAAATATACAGATATAGTTCTAACCAAATAACCACCGATATAGAACGTGCAGTCATTAGAATGTGACTGACAGTAATGTACATGCAATAGACCTAATTATTCTCTAACAAATAATGAAATATAAACACAATTCTAACATACGCACAAACCCATACTTGTACTCCTCTATACAACAAATCATACTTGTACTCCCCTAGACATAAAAGTCATACTTGTACTCCTCTATACAACAAATCATACTCGTACTCCTTTAGACATAAAAGTCATACTTGTACTCCTCTATACAACAAATCATACTCGTACTCCTTTAGACATAAAATCATACTTGTACTTCTCTATACAACAAATCATACTTGTACTCCTCTAGACATAAAATCATACTTGTACTCCTCTATACAACAAATCATACTTGTACTCCCCATGACATAAAATCATACTCGTACTCCTCTATACAACAAATCATACTTGTACTCCTCTATACAAAACATCATACTTGTACTCCCCGAGACATAAAATCATACTTGTACTCCTCTAGACATAAAATCATACTTGTACTCCTCTATAAAAAAAATCATGCACCAATTAATATAACTAAACATGTGTTCCGTTTCATTTGTTAACCATGCTTTAATCTAAAAACAAACACATGAGGGTTGAGTGGTCTAGCACATGCTTTAGATCATAAGGTCTGTTGTTGAGTCAACTGGCATGTTTTTGATCCTAATCTTGTATGTGACAAGGAGTAGGGTTGCCTGCCCAACCTCATGGGTTTTTTCCGGGTCATCTGGTTTACTCCCACTGCTTAAGACCCCTACATGCAAGCAAATTATTGAAATAAAATTTACCATGTGTTAGCCCCAAAATGACCTAGTTTGTGTCGACTGGAAGTTTAACCCCATTTATCTCTCTTTCAAAATGTTTCAAATCAACCCCCTACTTTAAAATGTTGCTGGTTTTATTTTTACATACATGTATGTTTTTTTATCTTGATACATGTGGACGATAAAATTACTAATTTGGACATAAAAATCCCACGATGCTGAAATCATGGCCTGTCAGTGAGACCTTACAAATACGACCTACATGGAGGCGAGGAGGGCAGTTTCAGAGATGGAAATATGGGAGTTGGGTGGGAGGTGCTTCCTTCAACAGATACCATAGTGAAGTATCAAACTATAACAACTATTCGGCAAGAATTACAAATCCATTAAAATGATATTTACTAAATAATTACTAATAATAATATTTCAACATGCTGACATTATATAATATAAATAAAATAGATGTATTGACAACAATACACATTATATAGACCTATAGACCATGTCTGATTTAAAGTTGATTTTTAATACATGTATCTACAACAACTCATCTCGACTATTACATACATTATAAATAATATAGATGATTTGATAATTACACACATTGTAGGACGTAAGGCATTAGAACGTACAGACCATGCCGGATTTAAAGACGAGAAGCTCTGTAACTACCTTTCAGGTGTTTTAATATACCTGTCAACAACTCATCATCTCAGCTATTTACATATAATTCAATTAACATGCAGGTAATTATTTAAAGCTATTGATCCCAATTTTCAAAAAATATCTAATTTTTATCAAGGTATTGTCTAGGCTAAAATATACTCTAATTGTTTATTCAACAATATCCCACAGACGACAATCAGATTAAAATACAGATCTATATTTCTTTCGTTTTTTTTATTCTTTCGTTGACCTATACTACATGAAGATCTGACTGGTTGTAATTAGTGGAAGGTCGCGTCAGGGATCATACGAATGGCTTTTGACCCTATGATGTCAGACATTTGATTAATCAATCAGCGTTGATGTTTCTAGTGGGTTACCCACAGTTCATAGCACCTCACGCTAAAAAATCGCTGTAACAGACCGTTTCATTGACTAAAACCCTCACACCATCCAGAGATCGCGGGTTATATACCAACTCTTCCAGATCCTAGTGTAGTAAAGACAAGTAAAATGAAATTTTGAACTATAAAAAACGGAACAAAATAGGATCTGTGTATTAATCAGATTGCAAAGAATGCTGAATAGTGACAAATTTTCAATTGATCATATCTTTTTATATACTGAACAGATCGAACCATTTTGGAAACATATTCCTGTTAGAGATCAAATCTTTACAATATATTACTTTGAAAAGGATTCAGAATCCCTCAAACGACAATTAGTAGCTTTAACATACAAATGATAAATTGAATGTACATGTAATTGAGAAATCAAAGTTTAAAACTGTATAATGGAAGACTATATTAGAATAAAGCACATGATGATGTTAATTGCATCGTTAATGAATAAATATTCTCGTAATATTAAAAGAAAAAAAAAATATCAAGGAAACTGTTCTGACATTCTGACATCCATTTAAAAATACAAAGGGGTGTAGAAAATATCTCTATTTTATTTACATCCCTTTCCAACAACGTAAGTGTTTTTTTGTTTTAAATCTCAATCATGCAAAATGCTTCAGAGCACCTCTATACAGAACAGACAACGAAAGGTCACTTTAATTCCAATAGTACATGTATTTGCTAGATAACCTTGAGAGAACCCCTCAAAGAAACGTTGCTTTAAAGGCTCAATACCACTCTTGTTTTAACTGAATAATATGTCCCAATCTTTATTCTGGTCAACAAATTGTACTATTTTACAATATTCCAATTAATTGATGATACAAATTTCATCTTAACACACCTAATTTAAAAAATTGGAAAATTCAACTAAATGATTTGAAAAGACTGACGTAAAGCTTTTCAAATGTGACTTGGATTTAAAAATATTTTTGAACCCTCTGGACAAGTAACATAGGATTTAATGGATAATCTACACAACAGGTAGGACACTAACACATCTAGTACTTAGAATAAGACTATTTTTTTTTTATTTCTGGAGCTATCAAGCCAGCAAGAGTGTTATTGTCCCTTTAATTAAAACAGTAATTGTGTTCTATATTATGTTTTTGTGTTTATTACATGTCAATTGCTAAATGCCGCTCAAAGACGATATTCTAGAACGTTAATCAGCAAACAATTAAACTTTTAATTATATCTTAGTACATGTACAATCACATAATCGTTAATTTTAGTGTGTAAAACAAGTTAGACCTTAACATAAATATTCATTAATTTAAAATCCTAGCACACACAAGCAATTTGCAAGCACACACATCATTCGCACACCAACAGATATCGACTAATTTGTGCACACACGTTGTCTTCGATAGCATCTTTTGTTGCCTCCCAATTGCTTCTTTAATATGAAAGAAATTGTCTGTGTGTCCTGGGCTTATGGTTGTCAGTCCATCAAATATCATTGCTGACAAAAATCAGCTGGTCTAACCAATCCTGCTGATTAGCTGGGCCTAGTGTCAGATTACCGATTCGCAAATCATCAAATTTAATAAATCTTGTTAGATCACAACAGGCAAAAAATACGACACCAAACACAAGGAGGAGGATGTTCGAATTATCGTGATATCCTAGTCCTGGATCGGAACTCTTATCCCAAAGCACACATCGTAAAAAATCTTTTTAACAGAGAATATAGTTTGAATCATCGTAATTAACGGTTTCTACGTCTCGCAGTTTATATACAATAATATCATATTAACACTATAGCTAGGATGAAAATCATTAAGAAAATTTTTTTTTTCCCATCAAATTAGCCATTTGGCAATATTTTTTATTAAAATTAGTTTATATTCAACAAATTGCCTGGCAACTTCTTGAACTCCCTCAGAATAATAGTAAATATAATTGGGCTATAATTTGTCTTCTTTAATATTTTTCTATTTGTCTCCGATTTAGAAGTTATTAAAGCTCACACCAGTTACAAAACATTTACATTTACACTGAACATTCTGTTGGTACAATTTGACTCATGCTAAATTTTCCGTTGGTACAATTTGACTCATGCCAAACTTTCCGTTGGTACAATTTGACTCAAACTCAGCACTAATATGTCTCTTTTCTCTTTATAAACACGTAACTCACGACCAGACATTCTAGCCGTTTCTAGTTCCTGTTCCGCGATCTGTAATTCCCGACTAATTATGTGCGGATGTTCTTGTTCACGAGCTATCCAATCCAGCGCCATCTGTGATCGCATATCGTCGTCTAAAGCTCTGTGAGAATAATGTGCTAATACTTCTTGTCGCGAACAGTTCCGTTCTCTCATCGCTTTTAAACTTCCATTCCAGTGCAGCAGTTGAAATACTGTCATTAATTCTTGAAATTCTAGCATTGTTCTACCCTTGTTGGCTTCTAACATGAATTTAAACGCTCCGATTCCTGTGCTAGGATTATCATGGTCTTCTAAACCACCCTGTAATATAAATCATATTTTATTCAAATAGTCATATAAGTTGAATTATTGGGGGATGCGAGAGACAGATAAGTCATACATGTTGGATTCTGGGGGGGTGGGTGGAGAGAGAGGTCATACTCATACATGCTGGATTCTGGGGGTGGGGGGAGGGGAAGAAAGAGGGGTCATACACGTTGAGAGAGAGAGAGAGAGAGAGAGAGAGAGAGAGAGAGAGAAATGGGGTTTAACCTCCACTCAACACAAACCAGGTCATTTCGGGATGGTTCAATTTTATTTCAATAATTCGCTTGCGCGTAGGGGTCTTCAGCAGTGAGACTACATGAAGGAGAGGGGTGTCAACTCATCTCACAAAATGACAGGGGCTAGGAGAGGGGGGTCAACTCATTTCACAAAGTGACAGGGCTAAGAGAGGGGGCTCAAGTTAACTCACAATATGACAGGAGAGGAGATACGCGACATATTTTGACTGCAACAAATGAGTGAATCACTACTTACATTAAATGACCCCTGTGCATCTCCAATAGCCTTTTCCACAAATTCATCTGTTATTTTTCTAGACGGATGCTCATTAAATACAGAATTCATCAGAGCTATTTTAGCAGCACTTCTTCTTGCTTCGGCTTTTGTATTACAATTCTGAAATAGACAAGTACAATTATATGTAATATATGACACTGATTCTTTTTTCAATCTTTTTCAAATCATAATTACAAGATCTTTGGGAGATAGACCTATATTTTATGTTACGTCAAAATCAAATAGAAATTGTGACCTGTAGAGTGTCCAAAAGCAAAAAGTGGACAGACGGACGGACAGGTGCGACGACAATATACATCCTGGGTTTTCCCTGGGTCCTCTGGTTTCCTAATGCTGCTACGCGCAAGCTAATTAATGAAATAAAATTGAACCATATGTTAGTCCCGAAATGACCTGGTTTGTGTCAAGTGGAGGTTAAACCCCCATCTCCCTCCCTCTCTCTCTCTCGTTTATTTCAGACTTATATTTTCTAAAATATTTAAACTTGCATCACAATTTCATTTTATTTTGACCTAAATCAACAAGTCTTTTATTTGATGTACAGAGATATCCATCTTGTAAAATAAATCAAACATATTTAAACCAAATCGATTTTGTCATTTTCCACCCAAAATCAAAGAGGTTTATGTCTAGAACTTTTATTTGTTCACCATGTCAAAATTCTAAAAAGCTCTTTCATTTAGAAGTTTTTTAACAGTTCAGTTTATTACAATTCATATTTTTACACGCATTCAATATTTTTTGATCAATATTTTCTACTCTTCCTCAGTTTGAAAAGCAAAGATGGAGAGAGTTTAAAGATGCAACAATTTGTATCTCTGTAAATTTGGGCTTCCGCCAATAGAAGAATTTGTTTAGATTCAGTTCAGTTGTTGATAGTAAAGGTCATAAAAATATGCTTTATTTTCGATTATTAATTAAATATCCTGTGACAAACGAAAATTAAAGGAGAGAAATTGAAATGGGCTCTATTGGGTCCTCCCATCCAGATTTGTTTTCCAGAGTATATCCCAGAAATCATTCAAGCTATCTTTATCACAGAGGGTCTGACAAGGACAGCTGTCTAGTCATTCGGATGCGATGAAAAACCAAGGTTCCGTGTACACATTTGCATGCAGATAACAGATCCCTTGGAAGTTGGAATTCGATATAAAGGTAGGCAGTAGGTGCCGCTCTCCAGGCAAAATTTCCCTCACAACACACTGTATGACGTATGTCTGTCTTCATTAACCCAGTCGTATCAGAACAGTAGGACGTTAAACCCCATTTCATTTCATTTATCACAAACAAAAACCTATTATAGCAGTTATGCATTTTGCTAACACAAATTTAGAATTAAAAGGCACAAATTTTGTTGGCATGGAAACTACTCAAAAATTAGATTTTGGCATACAAAGGCAGGGTTTATTTGAGTTGACATATCTACATGTATTTTTTGTTAAGGAATGTATTCTTTGATAAAAAAATGTAAATTCAGTTAATTTAATACATGGACATTCATTAAAATCAATAACATAAACCATGCCAATCAGTTTGGAACCAAACCAAAAACACGTACCCTAATCTGATTTTATAAAACACAGTTCCTATATCGTTTCATTTTTTATACTCGAGTTCAATATTTCACTTTACTTGTCTTCACTACCCTACACTAATATCTGAAGAGAGAGAGAGTTGAACGTCCACTCGACACAAACTAGGTCATTTTGGGACTAACATGGTTCAATTTTATTTTAATTATTTGCTTGCGCGTAGGGTCTTTAGCAGTGAGAGGAAACCACAGGACCCGGAGAAAACCCACAAGGTTGGACAGACGACCCTACTCCTTGTCACGTACAACCGGTGAATCGACACCACGCCATTTGATTCAATGACAGACCTTATGATACAGCGCGCACACGCTAACCATTTGGCCGTTCAACCCCCCCCCCCCCCCAAGGATCTGAGTTAATAACCTATGTTTAATGTGAGGGATTAGTCAATCCAATGGTCTGTTGAATGGAGTTTTTGTTGTCTTTATATAAAACAAATACTTTGCTGTGTATTTGTAAAGTGTTTAATATTGGGTCAATAAATCTATGTTAACTACATGTATGTAATAATATAGTTTATGTATTTGAGAAAGGTGTTCAATACAGTGCTAGTAAGACCAGCTGATCTGAATGGTGGACTGATCTTTTACTATAAGAAGTTTGAAGACTTAAGGAGAGAGAGAGAGAGAGAGAGAGAGAGAGAGAGATGGGGGTTGAACCTCCACTTGACACAAACTAGGTCATTTTGGGACTAACATACAGTTCAATTTTATTTTAATAATTCGCTTGCACGTAGGGGTCTTTAGCAGTGGGAGGAAACAGGAGGACCCAGAGAAAACCCAGGAGGTTGGACGACTAAAGACACAGATTTGACCATACTTTTAAAATGTTCTGAAATGAAATGGGGATCTGACATCTTACTTTCTGTTCCATCCGGGCTGATAGAGTTTGGCATACCGGGAATCCATCCCGCACCACTGACAAGGGGAAATAACACCTGAAAATTCTTTCTTGGCCAAAGGGAGCCACAGTGGGACACTGGCTCGCTAACCTGGAGCTTCCATGTTCGATCCCTGCTTTGGCTGAGAGAGTTCATTGGGATTTTGTCAGTGGTGTAGTACGGAGGGAGGGCCTAGCATAGGACAATGTATAGTCATTCGAGCAGGACGGAAAAACGAGGTCTGGTGTACAGATTGGCGTGAACGTAAAAGAACCCTTGATAGTTGGAATTCGAAATAAGAGTAGGCCATAGTCAGTGCAAAATTTTCCCCAGAGCAGAACAGTAGGACGTTAAACCCCATTTCATTTTCTTGACCAACTATACCAGGATCGAATTTGAACCTTTAGATTAGTATAGTGAGCCAGCTCTTCAGTCACTGAACCACTGTGACTTCAAATAAGGCTGTCAATGTAAGTGGACTGTAAAACCAAGGTGGTCTTCAGTGAGACATTACTGTACATCTAAATTGTATTTATTCATAGAAAATAAATAACTAAGTAGAGGACATACTAATACATCTATTCTACTAATCTTCAAATATATATCAACAAATACAGAAAATCTTTTTATTAAAATCAACCATGTGGAAACCAAGATATCTTATTATTTCACCTTTTTACTTGTACAGAATCAATGAAGCATGAAATATAACTCATTGAAAACTATGTCAATTTATCTGTTTAGTCCCTGAGAATATTTTTCACTTTCTCTTGTTCATTGATTTTTATGAGAGATAATAATTGATAATGGCCCTGACTTGAACATCCTTAAACCATTAATGAATGATTTATGATCTATTTATTAAAAAGCTTTTATAGTTTTAAAGTTTTATGCAGGATGTAAAATATTATCATCAATCTGTAAATCTTTTAAGGAATAGCATTAGAAATTTCGAGACCTTTGCATCTTCATTTAAAAAATAATTTTCAATTTGCTGTGATTTGACAAAACAGTTTTATGTCTGTCGTTTTAAATTTGATTGGAGACTAGATTGTGAGTTACTGGCATTTTAAATATCTGGGGGTTGGGTGACCGAATGGTTTAACGCGTTTTCTTTTTGAGAAATGGGGTTTAACATCCACTTGACACAAACTAGGTCATGTCAGGACTAACATATGGTTTAATTTTATTTCAATAATTCGCTTGCGCGTAGGGGTCTTCAGTAATAGTGTGAGGAAGCCCAGGGAAAACCCACGAGGTTGGACAGGTGGCCCGTCTTCTTGTCACGGGACTAACATGGTTCAATTTTATTTCAATAATTCGCTTGCACGTTGGGGTCTTTAGCAGTGGGAGGAAACCAGGGCAGAGGACCCGGAGAAAAATCCACGATGTTGGACAGGCTAACAATTCGCCCACTACCCCCACCCCTGTCACAGACAATGTCAGACACAAATTCAACCTTTGTCAGGAATAATCTCTCTGGTACCTGTCATTGAAGAAACTTACACGTTTATTCAATGTCTTTCGTGAGAAACAGGAATATGTTTACATTATGTTGCTTCCCAACCAGTCAAACAAGCTCGAGAAAAAGAATGCGCTTCATATTAAAGAATTTTACTACATGTATTTTCGGTTATATTTGTTGACTTGGAGAAAAAATAAACAAATTATTCCAGCCATAAAATACATGTCTTAAATCAAAAATTTAAAAGTTTTCAAAAACATTTATCAAATAAAAAATAGGTTTTTAGATTTTTGATTCTAAAATCATAAATCGAAAAAAACTATTTTCATGTTTGAAGTTGACCATTGTTTGGTTAAATTTGTCACCATTGGTTATCATTGCATGTAACAACAGAGCTTAACACTCTGAACATAACATTAGGGTTAGGGTTATATATATTTATACTGCACATTTCTTAACTCATAAATTGAGAAAAAAACAACCTTTTTTTTGTTGCAAGTTGACCATTATTTGTCTAAATTTGTGACCAAGAGCTGGTATGAAGATATTTAACACAACATGAGTTATTCCACATATTTAACGTGTAAACAATCTACCTTGTGATGTGAAGCCATCAACAATTTCAACGTGCCATCAACTTGTACGAGGAGAAATGTGATGTTAATATGACGATATTGTTTCTTCACAAAGCAATTACATTGTGAACCCCGATCTACATATTTGTATTTTTAAAGAGAGACAGAGAAATTAGGTTGAACGTCCACTCGACACAAACTAGGTCATTTCGGGACTAGCATATGGTTCAATTTTATTTTAATAATTCGCTTGCACGTAGGGGTCTTCAGCAGTGGGAGGAAACTAGAGAACCGGGAGAAAACCCACAAGGTTGGATAGGCGACCCTACTCCTTGTCATGTACATGTATAACCGGCGTATCGAAACTATGCCAGTTGACTCAATGACAGTGCACACACACTAACTATTCGACCATCCAACCCCACCAAATCCTGATGAACACTTTCTCGCCCAACACAGGGATCAAACATGGTACTACCAGGTCATCGCGCTAACATCCTACTCAACGAGCCACCGTGGCTCCAAGACATAAACAGAATGGGGTCTAATATCAACAATCTACCAAAAACTAAATCAGATTTGTTTCCATGGCAACTAAAAAATCTCTAATCAGCTTGACATGTCTACAAAATTATGACAATTAAAAAAACATAATCAATGTTTTCATAAATTCCATCCCTATATGTATGGGTTTTTTTCAATCAATGGCTTGTGGGGGCAATGATGATGATGATGATGATGATGATGATAGTTCAAGCTAATACTATAGACAGCTGTGAGAGAAAGGGTGTGATATTATTTCTAGTTAACAATTAGTCTGTTAAAACACGAAAAGGGTAAAAGGGTATTATCACGTTACTACTAATACCATAGTTAAATATAACCTGACACAACGCCTCACACACACTAAACTAACTCACACAACAATTCCAATACCATTTCTTTGTTTTAGGAAAACAAGAATTTGTTCTACATATTTTTCCTATCCAAAAAATGTATTACTGAACTTTGTCTCTGTTAAGCTCAATTTGACCATTTGACTTCTGATTTGGACATCTCCATATTTTTCCTGTCGAAATTTATTTTTAAAAACATTTGGCCCAGAGCTCACAAAGCATTCTCAAACTCAAGTTAAGAATTTACTCAACTTTCAATCACTGTTTATGAGAAATATCTCTGATCCAGAAACATAAAACTTTGCACATAGTTTCTTATTGATGTATTTGATATATTAAAACAACAAAAGTTTTATAAAGGGCTATATTTTAGTTGAAATAAGGCCAACAATTTTGAGTAAATTCTTAAGTCTGAGAATGCTTTGTGAACTTGGGGCCTAATCATTTTACTATTTGAGTTCTTGAAAGTAGTGCTGAGACTAATATTCTAACATTACAATTCAAATAGTTTTAAAAGTGGGTATTCCAAAAGGTATTTTAGTTTTTGTTTTTTGCTATCACTTAAAAATAATAGAATCTGATCTTTTTTGTCACTTACATCAATGGCTATGGTTATTTAAATTTTAGAATTACATGTACCAAGAAGCTAATAGTAAGTGCAAGGGCAACTGCATCACACACAAACAATTACACAAGACAAACCTACGGACAGGACACAATATACCACAAACACCTCAAATAACAAACGCACATACCAGATCAAATGAATGGGTTTGCTATGAGGGAAATTTTGCCAGGGCAGCAGCATTACGGCCTACTCTTATATCGAATTCCAACTGTCAAGGGATCTTTATACAGTACATGCACGCCAATGTGTACACAGGGCCTCGGTTTTTCGTCCCATCTGAACGACTAGACAGCTGTTCTTGTCAGGCCCTCTTTCCTGCATCACTGACAAGCGGGAACCACGCCGGAAAATCTGGATGAACTTTCTCGGCCAATGCAGGGATCAAACACCCGACCTCCAGGCTAGCGAGCCAGCGTCTTACCCACCTAGTCACCGTGATCCCCCATTCAAAATGAAAAATAAACTAAAAATATATATATGTAGATATTTTTTTGCGTTACAAAGCCATGCTGACAACCCTGTCACCACTTCATTTGTTACGAAGTTTTTATGTCAAATAGAATTGTCATTAGGCCTATTATATTTTGTATCCATAACCAATTATCTAAAATTTATCACATGCAACAGGTAACACCAAATATTTTTATACGCTTCAATTAACATTCTTTATATCTGGCACGTTTTCTATTCAATAAAATAAATAAGGGTGTTGGCGAAGAAATAAAGCTATTAATTTTGTGTAACTAATTGGAAAACAACGCCCAAATGATAACAAGTCATAGTTTTGGGCTCTAATACTGGGTGAACTAAATTATAAAATATTAGTCTTGATAAATTGATAACAGTATACGAGTGAGAGAAAGGGGTTTAACATCCACTTGACACAATATAGGTCATTTTGGGACTAACATGCCAATGTTGTTTCAATATTTGCTTTGTTTACATGTATCCACTAATATTAATGGGGCATTAAGGGAGATTAGATAGAGCTGACAGTTCTCACTATAAGGCTGACCTTAAAAATATCTTTGTTTCGCCTAACGCGACCGACTAACTAAAACCACCCCCGACTTAAATTATTTTATTGCACTTTTCCGCGATCTTTTTATTTTATTTTGTGTGTCAACCTGAAATATATCACGAGAGTTATTTCCCTTTACTATGGCTATGGTTTGATTCATTATTGAAACTGGTTGATCAAGACGAAAGCGTCATAGGTGTCGCTTCTCAACAAAATGGTTGCAGACGAAAGCACGTCCATTCCCACGAAATGATTCTGCCTCTATGTCTGTGGGGCGTCGTTTTAAACATGACGATGATATTTTCAATATCCGTTTTCGAGAAAAATAAAGGCACAACCCGCACGATCGTTAAAAACGTGTTGAGGGAGTTTCAAACGTGAGTTTGTCGCAATTTGTGTGCGAGTCGTGCATCAAGAAAAATCCTGATGTCATTGATTTGTTTGCCAATAAAAGAAGACGAATGTTTGCACCCGGAAAATTATCAAGCTGTCAAATTAGCTCTTAAAAAAAAAATCTGAAAAAAAACCCGACCTACCGACCCTTCTCCTCGATTGTGGGTCGGGTTTGGTGAAACAAAGATATTTTTAAGGTCAGCCTAATAGTTAAAAAAATAGATAACGTAAAGAGAATATGATGAAAATTTCTGTCAAATTGCCGCACTCTGAACCGAGATATCAGCGATTCAATTTTAGGCCTAGTCTCAATCATCATTACTAAAGTCGGTATGATAAAAAACATAGTCTGGATTATCATCCATCATAAAATGTATTCAAATCCAGTAAATAAATTACTGGCTAGCGATGGCATCGAGAGTTGATTAAGGTCTGGATAATTTATAATTAATGTCTAATTAATAATTTAGATAACATTTCAGGCCTAAATAAAGACCTACAATAGGCATATTTAGCTTTTGCATAATGTATGTTTAACAATTATTGACTTAAATATTTTTTTCTGAAAATACATGTGACTCAATCAAATTCTAAATTTCACTTAGGTTCAAACTAAAACCATTTCTTATACTCAACAGCAGTAGATTCTCAACCAGTGTGATCTTCTTAAGTGTGCCGCGAAATTTTGAACGGCACACTAAGAAAATGTGAAAAACCATGTGATCCCAATTGAGTATTCACGGGTGTCTACTGGTAACTTCATAGCTGTGTTTTTCGTTAATCAGTTTAAGTGATTCTATGTCTACGGTTGTATGCCGTCTTAAGATGCCATGTTTTTATTTTGCAAAATTCAAATATTTTTCATATATTATTTAAAATGGTGTGCCACTATTTTTTCATGTGTTCCAAGGTGTGCCGTTGGCAGAAAAAGGTTGAGAACCACTGTTCTACAGAACCTATATTAATAGAGAAATCAACTATGACATAAGAGTTATTTATAGCCACATATGAATGATGTTAATATGTCAATCATCTGTCAATCATAGTGAAACATGTTTATATCATACTAGATGTAATAGATATAATGTTTACCTACAGGCTATACAACATTAATCTATATTTATATGACATTCATTACATGTATTTTGACTTGAGCACACAAATTAAAAACCAACAGCAGTCATGTACATAACTTGTATAATCACTAGAGGAAAACATGCATTAAATATTTATCTCATACTCAAATCTGTCTATAAAAATTGACATAAAAATTACGATGTGTGGTGTATCAACAATGATTTATTTCCATATAAAAAAAATAAAATTAGAATACATGTACGACAGAGAAGACATACATGATGTTTAGTAGCTGAGTCACAAACTAGCTTCTCATATTAAACAAAATCTATCATGCATTACGATTGTGCAAATTGCAAGCCCTAAAATAAATGATTTCAGTTTGTACCTGACACCACTATAAACTGAGGGGTTGGATGGCCGAATGGTTAGCACGTGCGCGCTGTATCATAAGGTCTGTCATTGTGTCAACTGGCGTTGTTTCCATTCCCCAACTGAACGTGACAAGGAATAGGGTCGCCTGTCCAATCTCGTTGGTTTTCTCTGGGTCCTACGGTTTCCTCGCACTGCTAAAGACCCCTACGTGCAAGCGAATTATTGAAATAAAATTGAACCATATGTTAGTCCCAAAATGACCTAGTTTGTGTTGAGTGGACGTTAAACCCCATTTCTCTCTCTCTCACCACTATAAACTTTTACTTGACAAAAATAACCCAGGTCACATGTATGGACGTGATATAATTCAGGTCACATGTAAGAATGTGATTGTGATATAACCAAGGTCACATATATGGACGTAAAATAACCCAGGTCACATGTGTGGACGTGAAATAACCCATGTCACATGTAGAGACGTAAAAAAAAAAATGAGATAACATGTAAATATAAATAAAATATAACAAATTTACCTGAAAACTTCCAAAACAGCTTCCACCAGGTAATGTGACAAAACACACATATGGTGGACTATTTGATGGTAGAGATTCATACGCCACTAATGCACCATTCTTTAAATCAGCACCTCGTTCCAATTTCATCTGCCAAAATTCTTGTAAAGCTTCCACAACATTTACTAGAATAAAAAACAAAATAAATATTATAAAATTAACATTTTTGGGTATTCCTAGTATATATTGTACATTGTACCAATCTGATTAAAACAAAGATCCTAATTCGTTTCGTTTTTATACTTCAAAATTTCTTTTACTTGTCTTTACTACATTAGAGAGAGAGAGAGAAATGAGGTTTAACGTCCACTCGACACAAACTAGGTCATTTCGGGACTAACATATGGTTTAATTTTATTTCAATAATTCGCTTGGGCATAGGGGTCTTTAGCAGTGGGAGGAAACCGGAGGACCCGGAGAAAACCCACGAGGTTGGACAGGCGACCCTACTCCTTGTCACGTACAACCGGGGATTCGAAACCACGCCAGTCGACTCAATGACAGACTTTATGATACAGTGCGCGCACGCTAACCATTCAGCCATCCACCCCCCCTTTACTACATGTACATTAGGATCTGGAAGAGTTGTTATACATTTGTATAACACACGTTCTAGATGATGTGAGAGATTAGCCAATGGAACGGTCTGCTATGACAAGTTTTTGGCATGAGGAGCACGGAACTGTTGGCAACCCACTAGAGACGTCAAGCTGATTGGATAATCAAATGTCTGACATCATAGGTTCAAAAGTCACTTGTATGATCCCTGACGCGACCTTCCACTACAATCAGTCAGATCTTCATGTAGTCAAGGCCATCGAAAGTATAAAAAACAAAATGAAATATAGATCTGTATTTTAATCAGTTTGGGTATACATGTATCTACAAGCCTGGAAATGAAGCACCTGCCACGGACATTGTCAAGTACAAATTCTCGCTTTGTCAGACCATGTCTGAGACAGGTTTCTTATTTCCAGGCTTACATTTTTAAATAGAGAATTCCATTTACACCTACATGTACGTACCTGAATTATATTTTATTTTAAATGGGTGACTAAAATCAATCAAAATATCTCTTCTATGTTTTAATTTCATTTTCTCCATTTCCACTATAAATTCTTCAAATTATAAATTCTTGTAAATTGGAATTAAGAACACGTCACAAGACACAAAATCCTTTCACCCTATCATTTGCACGATAAATATCTAATATCTTTCAACTTTAAACTCTCTGTATATAACTACTCTTAGACTTATGAACACATATCAATACACATAAAAATCCTGTCATTAGATCATTTGACAACTGACTATTTGTGTTTTTACATCAATTCCAGATAATTTGGCAACTATGAATCAAATGCAACTTTCACTGACTGACCAGAAGAATACAACTTTTGAATGATGACAATATTATTTTTATAGGTTTTATTGACTACATGTAATCATTTAATTAATAAAATAAGAGAATACTAATTAATGGTTAATTAAATTAGTGTGTTGATTCCATTACGACTTTGTTATAATCAGTATAATTGGGGGGATTCCCCTGACCACTGTTCAATATTAATCAGCAATCAATTAATTTATACATTGTACACATGTATAGTTTGTTATAATCAGTATTGGGGGATTCCCCTGACCACTGTTCAGACTATTACTGTTATGGCACGTTATGTATATCAATTAATCTTAATAAGAAATTAATTAGTAATGAAACTGTACCTGAGTGATACAAGCTAATTAATTTAGGACAGTCCAACAAGATTTAATTAACTATTCAAAAATACATGTACAATATTTAATTAACTTGTTATAACCTAAATTATTTAGGACAGTCCTAAAATATTTAATGAACTATTCAAAAATAATCATTTAGGACCTTTACTTGTACACACTTTAAATTAACTTGTTCAAATCGAGATTACAATGTATCTATCACAGTCCTACAATATTTATTTATTTTAAAATAATCATTTAGGAAAATCCTACAATATTTAACTACATGTATTTAAACATAAATCATTTATTTAGGAAAGTCCTACAGTAAATAAACATTGTACATGTAACTTTTTAGCACTATGTATCTAAAAATAAATTATCTGACAGTCCATGCCGTCACCATTTGACATAACTTGTGGAATACATGTATGTCTAGCCTCGTTCTTCGAGTTCCATGTTACAAATGACGCTGAAACGCATTATGGTACACGATTCGTGTACCAATGGTAAAATGTATATTTTGTCTTAAATATTGGATATCAGAAGCTTATCTTTTCCTGGTAAGATCACAACATCAATGTTGATTTAAATTGACCAATAATTCGTGTTTTCAATGTCGAAGATTTTGGATGATATTGAGATAAAAATAAATTATTGAGATCAGTGCTACAATATTCAACAAATAAGTATATCAAAATAAATTATTTATGACCATCCCATAATATTTACATTTTTGTTTATATTGTTGAATTATCAATAGGGTTAATTATATTTATCGCCCAATAATACATTCTACAGTAGATATCGCTTGTGTTATAAATTTCATAATCTACTGCGATATCTCCTTTCTCATTAAAAAGGAACTATTTTTATTTGCTTGAAAACGTTGAGAGAACCCTCAACGAAACGTCGCTTTAAATAAAATAGTAATTGTGTTCCATATTATGTTTTTTGTATTATTTTTATTTAATTGACTTTCATGGAAACACTGGGTCAATATAAAGGATTTTGCAATGGTTGAATTGCTGTCCAAAAAATGACATATCACTATGCCGTAATATAATCAGGTTCAGTATTAAAAGTGAAATCTATAGCAAAGAATTCTATTTATTTATTTGTGCAGAGCCTCGTTTTTTTTTGTTACTTTATCAACTTGTGTTCATATTTTTTGATATCAAAAAGACTTGTAGGAGATTCACTATATACATATTCAGTTAACATACATGTACATGTATGATTGAACTCTATTATAACTATTTCTCAAATTAAAAGTGAAATAATATTATTTTGAATATACACTGTACCGGTAATCTTGTTTTATCACAGTGAACCTCCATTTTTAATTTGAGTACAATATGAATGTAATATAACGCTTTTCACAAATTTTTACAGATTATACATTTGTATGTTCATAAATATTGATACATGTACATGTAATAATTAAATAATTGATGTCAAAGTAATTAATTATACTCTTTAAGATATTTAAAAAATTCCATTAGACAGCAGTAAAAAAACCAGAGTTTACATGTAGGTAGAAATGAGTACTTGCTTTAATTATCTTCATAACGTTTCAAGGGAGAGAGAGAGAAATGGGGTTTAACATCCACTCAACACAGACTAGGTCATTTTGGGCCTAACATATGGTTTAATTTTTTTTCAATAATTCGCTTGCACGTAGGGGCATTTAGCAGTGGGAGGAAACCGGAGTACCCACAGAAACCCACGAGGTTGGCAGGCCACCCTACTCCTTGTCACGTACAACTGGGGGTTCGAAACCACGCCAGCTGACTCAATGACATCCAACTCCCCTTTTTTCAAGGGAGTTTGTCCATTGCCCCACTCGTTTCCAATTATACATTATGTTGTGTTATAGAGTAATAATATCCCATTTTAATAATCTGTTATTTCATGGCTTGCTGGTTATCGTTGATTAAATTGTTAATTAAATTGATACCAAAGCTAATTTAATTAATCCACAATACACAACGTTATAATGTTAACGTGTCACGGCAGTTTATAAAAATAGGTTATGTTATGAATATTGATTTTATTTCTTTACAATGTTTATTTTTAGTGTTCTATAGGAATCAACACCATTACATCTTTAGAGAGAGAGAGAGAGAGATGGGATTTAACGTCCACTCGACACAAACCAGGTCATTTCAGGACCAACATATGGTTTAATTTTATTGCAATAATTTGCTTGTGCATATTTGTCTTTAGCAGTGGGAGGAAACTGGAGGACCTGGAGAAAACTCACGAGGTTGGACAAGCGACCCTACTCCTTGTCACGTACAACCGTGGAATCGAAACCACATCAGTTGACTCAATCACAGATCTTAGGATATACGTGGACACACTAACCATCCCCCCTCCCCCACTTTATTGACCAACATTGACTCAATGACAGACCTTAGGATACAACGTGAACGTGGACACACTAACCATCCCCCCCCCCCACATACTTTATCGACCAACCTTGGGAATACAACTGTGAATCGAATCTGGTCAGTGGACCAGCCCCACATACTTCACAGAATCACTGTGGCTCTCGTCTAGATTTGATAAGTTTACAAACAAGTCCATCCAAAGATTTTATCAAACACTTTTAGATGGCACTAACTCATTCATATTATCTGCAGAGTATGCCGAATTGAACCATTTTTGGTCTGATATTTCTTTCTGAGATTCAATTTTCCCAATATTGCAGTATTCTAGGGATTTTCAAAATTCGTCAAATGATAATTAGCTAGAGAGAGAGAGAAATGGGGTTTAACGTCCACTAAACACAAATTAGGTCATTTCGGGACTAACAAATGGTTCAATTTTATTTCAATAAGGGGTCTTTAGCAGTGGGAGTTACAGTAAACCGGAAGACCCAGAGAAAACCCAAGAGGTTGGACAGGCGACCCTACTCCATGACAATAAGAAAATTTAATAATATCTCTATTGAATTGAAACTATTTACTTTTTATTTACCCCTGGGCTATTCAACCAATGTCTTCATAACATAATTAAACTAAATTAAATAAAAGAGAGTTGAGTCATACAGTCATCACAGAGTTGACTGACTCACTGATTAAGTCAAAATCAATAGCTCATCAGTTTAAGTATCAAAAAAAAAACCCAAAAAAACCCTGCCTAGATTGGTGCAGTGACTAAAAAATGTGGGGAAATAGCTTTTAATTCGGGTGTAATTCTGCTTATTATCATTACCATTATGACTTCTTTGTGTTAAAAATAGAAGTATCAATTTGATTAAATCTGGTAAGATGGTAAGTTTAACAATGGTCTAAGTCACAACACAATTAAAATTAAAATTAGTTAGCAGTCCACAAAGTTTATTTACATGTACTCTACAGAAATGTACATGTACATGTAATCACATGGGATGGAGTTTGACCCCTATACATCCAAAAAATCCACTTATAATTCATTTCACCTGCAAAAGATTTTCCTCCTGAAAAACTGATCTAAGTGAGTAAGCCGCTGACTTGCTAGTCTGGAGGTCTCAGGTTTAATCCTGGTGTTGGCAGAGAAAGGTCATCAGGATTTTCCTGTGTTTTTTACCCTTGTCAGTGGCGCAGGACAGAGGGCCTGACAAGGACAGCTGTCTAGTCATTCGGATGGATGAAAAACTGAGGTCCAGTGTACACATTGGCATGCACGTAAAAGATCCCTTGACAGTTGAAATTAGATATAAGAATAAGCTGTAGTGCTGCTGTCCGTGCACAATTTCCCTCATAGCTTACTGTATGGCTTATGTCCAGTCCAGATGGAGCAGGACAGTTGAACGTTAAACCCCATTCCGTTTCATTAGCCATGGGGTCCAGGGTTCGACCCAGCTGTTGGCTGATTAAGATCTCTGGGATATTCATGCATGGTTTGTCAGTGGTGAAGGACTAAGTGCCTGGCAAGGAATAATGTCTAGTTATTCAAATTGGTGTGCACAATTTCCCTCACACATGTAGCCCAATAGAAGCAGAACAGTAAGACATCAATCACCATTTCATTAAAAATGAAACGAAATGAAATGGGGTTTAACGTCCTACTGTTCTGCTCTAACTGGGCTAATGAAGATGGGTATACATCATACAGTGCACTATGAGGGAAATTTTGCCCAGTCAGCAGCACTATGGCCTACTCTTATATCAAATTCCAATTGCCAAGGGATCTTTTATGTGCATGCCAATGTATACACGGGTCCTCTTGTTTTGCGTCCCATCCGAACGACTAGACAGCTGTCCTTGTCAGGCCCTCCATCCTGCACCACTAACAAGGGGGAAACCACACCGGAGAATATCGATGAGCTTTCTCGGCCAATGCAGGGATCAAACATGCGATCTCCAGGCTAGCGAGCCAGCGTCTTACCCACTCAGCCACCGTGGCTCCCACCATTTCAATCAATTTCATTGCCTAATAAAGACTTTGAGCTGTTGGTGCAAAAAATGCCATGCTAAAGCCCATTTCTAACTCACCTCGACCATAGCCGTGCGTGTGTTTAGCAAAACTGTTGACAACTGCATCCACAGCTTCCTTTAAAACTGTTTTAGCTCGAGCATCAATTGGTGGAAGAGGTTTCTCTTGACCTGGCATGTATCCCATACCCATTGAAGTCATGGGAATCATACCACCGCTTCCAGGTAAAGGTGGTGGGGGTCCGTGAGGTTTTCCTGGGATAGGTGGTGGCGGACCATGAGGGTTGCGTCGAGGGGGTAGAGGATTCCTCCCAACTCTTGGTGCTGGTACTGGCCTTCCCGACGCCATTGTTCTACGTTGAAATAAATCCTGTTACAAATACATGTAAGTGTTCTTCTGTTATAATCCTTGATTAGTTTCGTCAACTGATGAACTCATCGGGCTGACTCACTGACAAAATGACAGCTAAAATAAAACATGATTAATAAATCAATTTATGAATAATAATATCAATATTTAGGCCTGTAGAGAATTTACACACAGACCTACTTTATGACTGGACTCTCCCAGAACTTTATTCAGATAATAAAACAACAAACATCACATATTTTTTTCATATTTCATGCACAACAATTTATTCAATTGTTTTTGATTTATGAGCAAGTCAAGACAGGGACTTACATGTTCTGCATTCAATGCCTTTAGTTTATCACAGTGTAGGCTTAATCCCATAATCCTCTTATAAGTAGGTTAATCCTCGGATAAGGAACAGTTGTAAAATTAGCCACACAACAAAGTCAACATAGCTTTATTCTCCACAGGGGTAAGGATATGGCTAAATTTATAGGCTAAGAAGACAAAATCTATTTACAACCTGTCGACTGAGCCTCTGCTGAGGAATGGGATATTCAGAATTCCTTAATAAATGCCAGTCTGAATGCACATGGGTTAGACATCTGAGATTAATTTCACAGTCGCTGCTCGTACAGGCAAACTGCACTAATAGCATGTTAGAGGGGGTGTTATAAAGAAGTCGATATTTATCTCCTCGGTCGGTGCATCGAATTTCACATTCACGACTCCCTTTCTCTCTTACTTATGATATCCATGAAAACGTCGACCAAAATGCTAACTTACGTAGGTCCACGAAATGCAGGTGTAATCCTTGTTGAGTAGCAGTCACTTATAACTGTCTAAAATATACCGTTATCTGAGAAAATAACACAAAAGATAAACGGCATTGACAGATTCCATTTCACTGATGAAGTCACAGTCACCATTTCCGCTTGATAACACACCGGTGCATTGTGGGAAATAAAATGGCAGCCCCCAGTAGCAAAAAATCGGTTCTTTTCGTTTGTTTAGGTTTGTCTGCATTGTAAAGAAATGATTTTTAAAAATTGGAGGACTGTTGAATGACACTGTTGTTGTCTTCGTAGTGCAAGCAGGGTTTTGTAGAAATGACAGTTTAAAAAAAAAAAAAACCCACCAAATTACAGCCACTGTCTGTGTCTGACTTCACAATAAACAAAGCTGCTCGATTATCCAGACATACATGTACATCACTGAACGGGGGTGGGGGAGGTATGAAATTAAGTGGCCTACTCGATGCAGCTACCAATGCAAGGGTTCATTTTAGGTGCATGCCAACTCTTGTATGTGGGACCTTGGTTTTTTGTCCCATCCGAATGACTAGTCACTTCTTTGCCAGACCACCCATCCTCGCCAAAAAAGGTCCATGCTAAAAAAAGTTACAAGAAACTCTTGGTCAACACCACGATGTCTTGGTCAATGCACCACCGGCTTACTCACTGATTCACCATAGCTCTCAGGTGGTTTTGAAGAAAACTAAAGTAGGCCTACATGTATAAAATACCGTTGGAGCCGACCAGGCTCATATATATGTAAACGGGAGCTCAGGTTCGATTGCGGAATGGTTGAGGAAGTTATGGCAATGACAGTATCTACTTCAAAGGGGCATTATGGGACATTAGATAAAGAGCTGGCAGTTCTCACTATAATAGTTAAAAACCAGATAATGTACATGTAAAGGAAATTTTAAGTCAAATTGATCCACTCTAAACCCAATCTGATTAAAATACAGATCTATATTTCGTTTCGTTTTTTTATGCTTTCGATGGCCTATACTACATGAAGATCTGACAAGTTATAGCGATAGGTCACGTCAGGGGTCAAAAGACCAACTTATGACCGTATGACGTCAGACATTTGATTAACCAATCAGCATTGATGCTACTAGTGAATTACCCACAGTTCCGTAAAAACACGCCTAAAGCTTGCCGTAACAGACCGTTTCATTGGCCTATCCCTGACACCATTCAGAACACGTGTTAAATAACAACTCTTCCAGATCCAAGTGTAGTAAAGACAAGTAAAACGAAATTTTGAACTATAAAAATGAAACGAAATAGGATCTGTGTTTTAATCAGATTGCACTAAACCCAGATATTAGCTTTTGAATTTTAGGCCTAAATTTGTCGATATGATAAAAAAACATATTCTCGATTATCCATTTTTGGATTAAATCATCTATGAGCGTTGAGCACCAAATCAAATTCAAATCCAGTAAATATCGCAAGCTAGCGATGACATCAAGAGTTGATTATGGCCCGGATAAGTTAATGTCTAATTAATAATTTAGATACATGTAGCATTTCAGGTCTAAAGAAAGATCTGCAATACGCAGGTTTAGCTCTTGTATAATGTACATTGCTATGTTTAACAGGAGCAGGTCTTTTCATCTCAAAACCATTTCACCCCAGACTGTTTCATCCCAAATTTACGTGGGTCATTTCATCTCACTAATATGGGGTTGTTTCATCCCATATATTGAAAAAAGAGTACAATATGAATTCTTGATATTTGATTATCTAGAAATAACAGCGAGAGAGAGAAATGGGGTTTAACGTTCACATGACACAAACTAGGTCATTTCAAGACTAACAAATGGTTCAATTTTATTTTAATAATTCACTTGCGCGTAGGGGTCTTTTGCAGTGGGAGGAAACCGGAGGACCCATAGAAAACCCACGCGGTTGGACAGGCAACCCTACTCCTTGTCACGTATATCCGGAGAATCGAAACCCCACCAGTTGACTCAATGACAGACCGTATGATACAGCGCGCACATGCTAACCATTTGGCCATCCAACTCCCGCTAGAAATAACAATTACAGCACACACTGCTAATTTTTTTTTTTGATGTATTTTCAGGCAATATTTGCCGTTCAACAATGGCAGAAGCAATATTTTTGAATCTCTTGGAAGAAAAGGGTTTAAAGGATCAGGTTAGCTTTTAATTTGGTGTGTTAATAAGCAACAGCTTTTGGGATTTGAAGTTTAAGCTTAGCCTCAATCATCATTACTAAAGTCGCTACGATAAAAACATAGTCTTGATTATCCATTTTGACGTTAAATCATCCTTCACAAAATGTATTCAAATCCAGTAAATATCGCAGTCTAGTGATGGTATCGAGAATTGATTATGCTCTGGATAACCTAATTAATGTCTAATTAATTATTTAGAAAACATTTCAGCCCTAAAGTAAGCCCTGCAATAGGCAGATTTAGCTCTTGCATAATGTATGTTTAAACCTGTTAAATGAAAGCAGAGTATATACATGTACTTCTCAAAATTCTCGAAATATACTTAAGTAGTGTTTTTGACTAAAACCGTCGATTTAGGACATAAAGTGTCGATGAGTTAGCTTAGTGCAGTGGTTCTCAACCTTTTTTTTGCCAACGGCACACCTTGGAACACATGAGAAAATAGCGGCACACCTGGCTAAATATATGTGAAAAATATTTGAATTTTGCAAAATAAAAACATGTCAAGTCATAGAGGGCATACAGTCAGAGACACAGACTAGTCATAGACACATTGAATGACTCGAACTAAATAAAGAAAAACACGGCTATGAGCTTACTTTATTGCAGTTTTTCGAATTTCATCAGTCAAATAGCTAGCTTCTTTAGTGAGAAATTTTCTTGGTGTGCCGTTCAAAATTTCGCGGCACACTTTTAGGAAGATTTAGTGGCACACCTGTCTGCCGCGGCACACTGGTTGAGAAACACTGGCTTAGTGTCTGTTCTCAAGCTGAGCTTATTGTAAACAGACAGCGTAAGTTTAGTATGCATTTAGCTAAGGGGACGTATAATGACCAGGCCTAGATATGAGGCACCTGTCAAATTTATCACCCAAATGTATATATACAAGCCTGGACATAAGGCATGTGTCACAAACTTTGTTTTCCGGCGTGTTTCCCCCTTGTCAGTGATGCAGGACGGAGGGCCTAACAAGAACAGCTGTCTAGTCATTCGGATGAAACGGAAACCGAGGTCCCGTGTATACATTGGCGGACACGTAAAAAAATCCCTTGACAGTTGGAATTTGATATATGAGTAGGCTGTAGTGCAGCTGTCTGAACAAAATTTCCCTCATATCACATGGTATGGCATAAACATACTTATGGAAAACAGCTACTGATTTATTTAGGCGACGTTTCGAAGAGTATTCTCTCAACGTTTTCAAGCTAATATTATTGTCATCAGTATGGAGATGTGGCAGTATCTTCTATCAATCATTAGATTGAAAACGTTGAGAGAATACTCTTCCATAATAAGTTTGTTTATAGTTTATTTATCTGCCCAGTTACTAAATGCCACTTAAAGAATATGGTATGGCATATGCCCGTCGTCATTAGCTCATTTCAGAGCAGAAAGCAGTAGGACGTTAAACCCAATTTCATTTCATTTCATTTCACAGACTTTGTCCGGCACAAATTATGGCACAAAATTGAGAATGTATGAATTTATTTCCTTATGGGCTTTGACGCGAGGTAGAAAAATGATGAGCATTTTCCTTATGTTTTTGTTTTCCACAAAATCCTGTGTCATTGATTATATAAAATAGCCTATTATATTTTTAGTGGAATGTTGATAGTGCTGCTATAGAAACGTATAATATTGGTAAGGGTCCAGATAAGAGAGCTGTAAAAATACTAGCTAAACATGGAATAAAAGGATATACACATAAAGCTAGACAGGTAGGAATATACAGTCTAGTCGTTCGGATGGAACAAAAAACTGAGGCATGCACGTAAAAGATCCCTTAACAGTTGGAATTCGATATAAGAGTAGGCCGTAGTGCCGCTGTCCGGGCAAAATTTCCCCCATAGGACACTGTATTGTATGGCATATACCCGTCTTCATTAGCCCAGTTCGGAACAGAACAGTAGGAAGTTGACCCCCTTTCATTTCATTTCATTTTATTTTATTTCCTAACTGGTAATTAAACTTTCAGAGCCACAGTGGCTTACTGAAGAAGACGTTAGCTCGCTAACCTGGTGGTACAGTGTTTGATACCTGAGTTTACCAAGAAAGTTCATCAGGATTTTCTGGCATTGTTTCCCCTTGTCAATAATGGTGCAGGATGGAGGGCCTCGCAAGGGATATGCATAGTGGCCCTGTGTACAAAATGACGTGCACGTAAAAGAACCCTTGAGAGTTGGAATTCAATATTAGGTCGTAGTGCCGCAAAGGGTATGGTTTATACTTGTCTTCATTACTCCAGTTGGCTCAGAACAGTAGGACGTTAAACCCCATTTCATTTCATTTTCCATCCAGACCATTTGTATTTCTACATTTCAGATAAGAAGTGACGATTTTACGAAGTTTGATACCATATTTGGTATGGATGATGAGAATATGGAGTAAGTCAGGTTTTAATTACAATCACCATAAATATACCTGTAATATTTGAAATATCTTACAAGATGGGAGTTGTGGTTCAATTCCGATAATTTCCGAGAAAGTATGCGTCTTTCATTAAGTGCGGGGGGGGGGGCCTCCGTCCTGTACCACTGACAAGGGGAAACCACGTCGGAAAATCCCGATGAACTTTCTCGATCAATGCAGGGATCGAACACGTGACCTCCAGGCTAATGAGTCAGCGTCTTACCCACCTAGCCTCCGTGGCTCCTTTTAGACTAGGAACAAGATTCCCTATTATTATTACATATATTTTATATTTTATCATTGCTTGATAAAGACTAGGGAGGCCTAAGCAGTAATAAGCAGTAATTGTATTCCATGGGGGGTTGGATGGCCGAATGGTTAGCACGTGCGCGCTGTACCATAAAGCCTGTCATTGAGTCAACTGGCGTGGTTTCGAATCCCCGGTTGTACATGACAAGGAGTAGGGTCGTCTGTCCAACCTCGTGGGTTTTCTCCGGGTCCTCCGGTTTCCTCCCACTGCTAAAGACCCCTACGCGCAAGCAAATTATTGAAATAAAATTAAACCATATGTTAGTCCCAAAATGACATAGTTTGTGTCAAGTGGATGTTAAACCCCATTTCTCTCTGTCTCTCTCTTTCATTATGTGCGACACATATTTGTCTTCTTTCATTGTTTTTATTTCAAAATGAACCTGGCATAAAGTTAAAATTGTCAGATGCCTGTGACATTATGTCAGATATATCTAAAATTATTTTCAGACCCCAACAACGACTTGATTCTCTTCACAGTGAAAACAAATTCCAGTCATTGTTGTTTGTAGTTTAGAGGAGAGCCGAAAAAAGCTCCACTTAATGAACAAATTGAAAAAATCACTCCCCTAAAAAAGCTCTCCCCGTTTCGATAAGAAGAATGATTTAGAAATTAAGGAGAGTGATCTAATAATAAACCCCCCTTGACAATGGCTGAAATTCTTTAAAGATACATTATTCAAGAGCATAATTCTGCCTATTGCATGTCTTTCTTTTGGCCTTAAATGTTATCTAAATTATTATATAGACATTTATTAACTTGTCAAGACAATAATCAACTCTAGATGCCATCAGATGCTCATGATTTTCAACAGATTTAAAGAAAATCGACGGTTAATGATTTAATTAAAAATTGGATAATCGAAACTTTGTTTACTATCCTAACAACGTCCCTAACGTCGCTCAGAATGAAGTAATTTGACTGAAATTTTCGAGATATTCCATTTTCATTTTCTAGTTTTTAAAGGACAATGTTTGTTTCAGCCATTGATACATATGGGATAGAACTGGTTAAACACATACCAAATATAATTTTAACTCAGAAACCAACATTGTCCTTTAACTATTATAGCGAGAACTGTCAGTTCTTGATCTAAATATTGCATCGTTAATATTTTCTTTTCCATTTATTTCTGTAGAGATTTAGAAGCAGCAAAACCTAGAAATTCTACAGCAAAACTTGAAATGTTGGGAAAATTTGATCCAGAGGAAGAAGACATTATTGTAGATCCTTATTGGGTAAGTTTCCGCACCAAAAGAAATTCTCATAAAGTTGTCAATATATCTTCATTGAAGTTTGCACATACATCAGTCTTTTATAGCATTTCTGTCTTAAGCTAATAAGAAAATTCTCGGATTTATTAATCTTCGTGATGCTGTGGAAATAAATTCGGAATTCTTGTTTTATATTTTTGTAACTCAAATATACCCAGGATCTCCATTTTTACTCTGGACCCTGAATCTGTTTTGAGACACTAGGACTAGGTCCATATTCTGTTTTGAGACTCGAAGGCTAGACCCAGATTCTCTTTTGAGACTCAAAGGCTAGTCCCAGATTCTCTTTCGAGACTCAAAGGCTAGGCCCAGATTCTTTTTTTTTTTTTAGACGAGGGCTAGGCCCAGATTCTCTTTTGACACTCTAGGGCTAGTCCCAGATTCTCTGTTGAAAATAGGGCTAGATTCTTTTATTGAGACTAGGGCTAGGTCTAGATTCTCTTTTGAGACTCTAGGGCTAGGCCCAGATTCCCTTTTGAGACTGTAGATCAGGGATGGGATTTAGCCTGTATATTTCGAATTTGTCCGATGTTATTTTCAAAACGCCCAAAATTGTCCGCCAGGGAATATGCCCAATCGGACATCAAGACATGGTGAATAATGTTCAAAATTCCCTTTTGAGTCTATAGGTAGACTCTGTATGTTTTTTTGTGTCTCAGTTAAGGCTTGTAACCAGTATATAAATTATTAACTTCAATTAAATAATGTCAAACATAATTTTCTTTCTCTGTCTCTGTTTTGTAGAGCGACAATATTCAAGGGTTTGAGACGGTATTTGAACAGTGTAGCCGAGCCTGTAGTAAATTTCTAGAAGCAAATACTTGATCAGAAGGAAAAAATGGTGGATGAATTTTACAATGAAAAAAAAAACTGTGTGATAAATAATGTAAAACAAAAAAATAGGACTAGGTTTATCTTGAAATGAAATGAAATGGGGTTTAACTGTCCTACTTTTCTACACTGACTGGGGTAGGGGGGGTGGATGGCCGAATGGTCACGAGTTGTTTCTGCAGGACTAAGAAGGAAATTGTACCATGCTGTTCAGATGAGAGGGAATACCAATATCCACTGACATGTGTGTTAAGAATTATCTAGTCAAACTGGTCGTCCTTTGCATTACGGGGAGTGGATGGCCGATTGGTAAGCATGTGCGCGCTATATCAGAAGACCTGTCATTGAGTCAACTGGCATGGTTTCGAATCCCCGGTTATATGTGACAAGGAGTAGGGTCGCCTGTCCATCCTCGTGGGTTTTCTCCGGGTCCTCCGGTTTCCTCCCACTGCTAAAGACCCCTATGCGCAAGCAAATTATTGAAATAAAATTAAACCATATCTTAGTCCCGAAATGAACTAGTTTGTGTCAAGTGGACGTTAAACCCCATTTCTCTCTCTCTCTCTCTCTCTCTGCACTGACTGGGCTATTGAAGATGGGCATGTGCAATGGTGTGTGCTTATGGGAAAATTTTGTTCAGATAGAAGCGTATATCTGCCTACTCTTAAATGAAAATTCCATCTGTCAGACCAAGCAATGCACAGGTGGACTTGGGAATTTTGAAAAATAGCTTTGGAGGGGTTGGGTGGTCTAGTAGTTTAACACGTGCGTGGTTTCGTTTCCCTGGTTGTATGTGACAAGGAGTAGAGTCACCTGTCCAACCTAGTGGATTTTCTCCGGTTTCCTCGCTCTGCTAAAGACCGCTATGTACAAGCGAATTATTGAAATAAGATGGAACCATTTGTCAGTCCCGAAATGAGCTAGTTTGTGTCGAATTGATGTTAAACCCCATTTCTCTCTCTCATTTAAAAAAAATATCAAGGTAGTCAAACCGCTTTCAAATTGTTATCAGACATTCGTGATATTTTAGGTTCTCGGTAATTATACTCTTCAAAAAAAGTAGAGGATATTCAGAAACAATACAAAACTGCGGAAATGCACTGCTATTTTTATTAGAGGTAACCAGTGTATGTTAATAACACGTCAATTGCCTACGCATGAAAATGAACAGTTCATATGGGCGGCTTATCTGACGGCCCCATTTCACTCACAAAGAGATACACTGTCAAAAGTGAAAATGGACGTTTTTGATTTTTGTCTTAATAATGAGTAATTATTGCTTCACCAATACTCAGACATTCAGCAATTTGTTATGGCATGCTCCTAATCAACCGTCCAATCACAATTTGGCCAATGTGACCCACTCCTCTTGCAGTGCCACGGCCATATCTTGAAGTGTTGTCGGTTGACGTCGACGTCGACGATCACGTCTCCTGATCAAATTAAACGTAAGACACTAAAGCAAAGATACGCTAAACAGTAAATCTTATGCAAGAACCGATAGGAAAGCAAACATGGATAGGATAAACCAGCAAGCGGCAGTTTTTATCAACCCTTCCTTTAAGTGTCAAATTTGACAATGTACCCCTCCCACATGTATGGCGCTATTGCGTGCCGCACATGCAGCTCAGTGGTTCTGTTGGGGCGATAAGGTCTTCGTCTGTGAACATACTCCCAAAGCATGTCAAGTGTCCATGACTATTTATCATATCACAACCTGCATAGATATTTGCATTTCAATATCCTCTACTTTTTTTGAAGAGTATATAAAGATTTAAATCACTGAAATATTAGAAATAAAGCTATGAGCCAAGAAATGGCATGGATTTAATATTGAAGTCAAGGGGGAGTAACTTTTCAGAAAGTGAAATTGTGTTTATCTCCCCTGCAACAATAACACTAACTGAGTTACCCTGTCATGTGTGGTGGACGAGTATTGATATAGTGGGAGCCATAGTGGTTCAGTGAGCAAGATGTTAGCTCGATCCTAGTGTTGGCCAAGATGGTTCATCTGGATTTACCGCCGTAGTTCCCCCTCGTCAGCGGTGCAGTCGATCAGATGGGTTAGAAAACCCAGAGTAGGTTGTAGCTCAGGGCAAATGTGTCCTCATTACACACTGTATGGTGTATGCTCGCCTTCATTAGCCCAATCAGAGCTGAAAAGTAGGACATTAAACCCCATTTTATTTCTTTTATATATATATATATGTAGATATAATAAAGATCGTACTATTTCCGGTATACATGATGTAGTTGTATCTGATATCAATGTTTAGGGCAAGGTATAAGTACCAATGATTAGAGATCAAAGTGGTACTCTTTATCTCTTTGGGGTGGGGGGGGGGCGTAGCAAGGCTGCAAGGCTGTAATTGTCAATGCCTGGTGGTCGTGATATGACTGTGTTCACTGCCAATGATTTGGGCTAATTATTTGTACTGTTCTGACTTCCACATCCACAGCCAGTGTTTAGGGATCTTCCACATCCACTGTAGCTACCATATCCCTTTAGTATATGTTTAATAGTGTTATTTTGTAAAATGTATAAGGGTAGAGTTTGATGTCTACTTTCGGTTTCACTGGTTTTCGGAAAATCTTACTGGCGGTCTTAATCCGAGCCTCGGTTTGAGAGTTCGCGGTAAAAATATAATGATGGCGTGTTGTCATTTCCAAGTGTGGACGGTTTATTCGGTATTTGTTTGAGGATGTGACCCCAAACAACTTGAAAACCAGTGAATTCCGTGAATTTGTTAATGTGCGGTTAGATGCGGATATCTAAACCCATTCAGTAAACTGTTTTTCTAATACATATATGATTTAGTATGTACATCGGTTGACTGTTGTGAATTTCACTGTGTTTCAAATATGGGATTGAGTTCAGCGGTTATTATTTTAATAAACTTTGAACTTTTACTTTGTTTTGAGTTTAAATACACTGTGCAGTGGGCACATGAAGTTTTCAAGTTGTAAGCGGACCTACATTAAGACTGGTGTGTTTTACCATTCAACAGTTGGTGTGTTTTGATATGACGTAATTCATGTTTTGGTGCTTTATTATTTTGTTGACATTAAGGCCTACTTGTGAACTTAGTATGGATCTCGACATTGACAAGTTCCCGAATGTCTCTAGGAGGAATGAACTTTATAGGGAACGAGATATATATCTCACACAAGTCCGAAAGCTCAAAGAAGAGATTCGGTATCTTATAACTACTAAGGACTCATTTTGTAATATTGAGTATAGGATCTCAAAACACGAAAGTGCGTGGAAGAATTTTGTTCGATGTCACGAGAATATTTATAAAGATTTGGTGGACACGGAAGATGAAGACGCATCTCGTCAATTATACGAGAGTGAATTGTTACAGAAAACACAATTTGACAAATTGACAATTTCGTGGCAAAACGATAAAATGAAGAAAAAGTCTGATGAGAATTCATTATTCGGTAGTGTTGATAGTCACAATTCAAGCTCAGTTCGTTTGAAGAAGAAAGAACAGTTAGCCTTGGCTAAGCTTAAGGTAACACAGTTACAGAAAAAACATGAATTAGAACAGAAAATGTCAGAATTAAAGCACCAATCAGAGTTAATGGAAGCAAAAATGGAGGAAGAACAGGCAGAAGTTAGCCTCAAAGTTTACACGGATGAAGAATCTGATGAAGAAAAAAGAAAAGATGTGTCTACTGTTCCTTATGTTAATGACTTTGATAATTTTGAATCTCCCTTAAAAATGAACTTGCAAACTAGTATTGCTAATGCTAATTCTGCCATGTATGCTAATAATGTATATGTCCCACCCCCTCCTGTTGAACAATTTAATCCTGTTAGTGTTGTCTCATCGAGTTTGTCAGCCTCTATATCAGATAGTTTACCTATAACTGTCTCCAGTAATTTACCTGTGTTTATGTCAAGTAGTGCCTATTGTAGCTCTAATAATTTACCTTTGTTTACATCTGTTAATATTCCTTCATCTATGCATGATAGGCCTTATACTGTTTACTCTATGCCATATGATAGATTTAATCATTGTTTACCTGTTCATACAGCAGAAAGTACTGGTGTAAACACTGCTACTTATTTTAATCCACATGTGAATAATGTTGTTCGACCTTATTTCACTGTACCACCGCCTGTTAGTAATATTTCATCAGGGCATTTTCAATCTGCTGTGTCAAATAATATGTCTGTAAATCATATTGATAATAATCATAATAATAATCCGTTTGTATTTTCTCAACGAAATCCTATCACAATGCATGAACATATTAACCCTTTACCTAACTTACCAAATACAGGTACAGGTTTATTAAATTATAGTTTAAGTTCTGATTTGATTCAATTTGATGATGATAATAATGTAAACGTTGATAATGTAAATGTAAATCAACAAGTTAAGCAGTCCCCAAACGGTTATGTAAATTCTTCACATAACAGTGACATGATGACAAAATTGTGTGAAGCTATGTTAACACCAAAGTTGGAATATCTACACTTTGATGGGAATCCGCTGAAATACGCATCATTCATTCATAATTTCGAAACATGTTTAGAAAGCCAAAACTCAGACAGTTCTAGGAGACTGCAGTTATTGATACAACATTGTACTTTTAAGGCACGCGACGCGATAGAAAGTTGCGTAAATTTACCACCCGAGGAGGGGTATGTCACAGCTAGAAAAACATTACTAGAAAATTTCGGTCGATCACACATTGTAGCAGACGCTCATTTGAAAAAACTTGAGAATTTATCCCCAATTAAAGTCGCAGACAGTGCGTCGTTGTTGGAGTTCGGACGTAATTTGGAAGACACGTACAGAGTATTATCGGGAATGGGACCAGAATATGTGACAGATTTAAACCATATTAATACAATCAGATCATTAAATAAAAAGTTGCCTTTACATATGAAAGCCAAATGGGTAGAAGTAGCGGGTAAAATCTTGGATAATGGTTCTCGCCCAAAATTTAATGATTTTATGCAATTTATAAAGAACCGTGCGAAGTTAGTTAACAACGAATACGGAGAAGATTTACTTTCTAATAATCACAGTCATTATAATGATAAACTTAAAGATAATAATAATAGTAAGCAACGAAAATTTTATAGTAGGCCTGTAACTACACTTGTAACGGAGGAAAGGAAGCCTTTGTTTAAACCAAAGGACACTGTTAGTAAGCAGGGTGCTACTAATGTGAAATGTTTACATTGTTCTATGTCACATAATATCTGGAATTGTGAAAAGTTTCTCAATATGTCTAATCAAGATCGTGTTAAATTTGTCTTTGAGAACAGACTTTGTATCAGCTGTTTACGAACTGGTCATGTTGCTAAAGTTTGTGATAAAACATTTGTTTGTCAAATTAAAGGCTGTATGAGGAACCATAATACACTATTACACGGTGCCGATTTTTCTGCCTTTAGGAAGGACATTACAACCGAAAACACTAACCTAAAGGAAGTTGCAAGTAATAGATCGGTTACAGCCGCTACTGGGGCTGGCGTCCCTCGCATTTCTTTAGGTGTTATACCCGTAAGACTAAAAATAGGTCAAGGAAAATCCTTTACGACTTACCTCGTACAGGATACTGCCAGTGAATTAAGTTTATGTGCTGAAAACAACGTGGAGATCCACGAGAATGATGATACCCAAAAACTTACCTTGACTGGTGTGACCGGTTCAACGGAAATTACCAGCCGAAATGTTGATATTGTTGTTTCATCGTTAGACGGAACTGTGTCGTATAAACTAGAAAATGTTAAAACTGTTAAAAACTTACCTATTACTAAAAATTGTATCCCGATGACGGATGATATCAAGAGTTATCCCCATTTAGATGATATTTCGTTGGGACACGTCGATATTCCTGAAGTAAGTTTATTAGTTGGATTAAAGGAGAATCCCAGTTTGTTTATCCCCCTTGAATCTCGCTCTTCAGGAAATGAACATGATCCGATTGCCGTTCGGTATAATTTGGGATGGATGATTCTTGGACCTTTAAATGACTCGAAAAGTTGTGATGATTTTACAGTAAACTATTTAAAAGTCGAACCGGTAACAGATTCGGATGAACTTTTAAAACATCAACTTGATCGTTTGTGGACCACAGATTTTGCTGATCTTGAAGTTGATAATAAAGTAGGAATGTCGGTTAGTGATAAGCGAGCTCTGGAAATTATAGAAAACAGTTTAACTAAAGTTGATAACCACTACCAAGTAGCCCTTCCGTGGAAAAGCGTGACTCCCTATCTTCCAAATAACAGGACCGTGGCTGAAAACAGACTAAACGGGTTAAGGAGGCGATTTCTACGAAACCCAACGTTATTTGATCGGTATAAGGATACCATTCAAGGTTACATCGACAGTGGTCATGCTGAATTAGTGCCAGCAGAGGATGTGAACACGACATCGCCAGTTTGGTATTTACCGACTCACCCGGTAACACACCCTTTAAAACCTGATAAGGTCAGGGTTGTGTTTGATTGTGCTAGTATATTTCGCAATACATCTTTAAATGATCAATTGCTTCAAGGACCGGATTTAGCGAATCAGTTAACTGGTGTTCTCTTACGATTTCGGCAGGATAAGATTGGTATTGTTTCGGACATCGAGGCCATGTTTCACCAAGTCCGTGTGGACCCGAAGGACTGTGATGCTTTACGATTTTTGTGGTTTAAAGACAGTGATTTGTCTAGTTCTGTTGAAGAATATAGGATGATTAAACATATTTTTGGTGCAACATCTTCTCCCTGTATAGCGAACTTTTGTCTGAAAATGTGTGCCAAAACTCATGAAAGTGAATTTAATCCGGAAACAATCTCGACTGTTCTAAATAACATGTACGTGGATGACTTAATGAAATCGGTAGACACTATAGCAAATGCAACCAAGCTGTATCACGAAGTGACCGAACTTTTGTCTTTAGGTGGATTCCACATAACTAAATGGTGTAGCAATGATAGACAGTTCTTAGCCACCATTCCGGAAGCGGAGAGAGCAAAATCCGTTGTTAACCTTGACATTGAAAAGTTGCCAACCCAAAGTACTTTAGGTATCAAGTGGAATACCGAATCGGATTGTTTTGTTTGGGAAAATGCTGATAAACTTTCTAATAGCGCATTAAACAAGCCTATGACTCGTAGGGGTATTCTTTCGGTTGCATATTCACTGTTTGACCCCCTCGGATTTGTTGCGCCCTTTCTTATGAAAGCCAAACTATTGCTGCAAATGTTAAGCAGGAAACAATTAGGATGGGATGATTCAATTCCAGACATTGATAAAAATCAGTGGATTAGATGGTTAAATGATTTGAATCGTTTATCGGAGATTAAAGTTCCTCGGTGTTATAAATTACAAGACTCAAGTGATATTGTAGATATTCAGTTACATGTTTTTTCGGATGCCTCGAGAGTAGGGTATTCGTCAGTAGCCTATTTACGATGTGTAGATAGAGATATGAACATCCATTGTGCTTTTGTAATGGGCAAGGCTCGGTTAGCTCCATTGAAGGAGATATCAATTCCTCGGTTGGAATTATCGGCTGCTGTTGTGTCCGTGAAATTGTGTCACTTGATAAAGAGTGAAATTGACTTTGAAATTAACAAAGTTGTGTATTGGACTGACTCAATGTCGGTTCTTAAGTGTATTAACAATAAAACTAAACGTTTTCACACTTTTGAATCAAACCGGTTAACCGTTATTCATTTAGGTTCAAACCCCTCTCAATTTAGGTACATTGACAGGAACATTAACCCCGCTGACGACGGGTCTAAAGGGTTAAAGATGAAATCGTTTATTCAAAACGATAGGTGGTTAACGGGACCTGACTTTTTGTATCGTGATGAGTTGTTTTGGCCGGATAAAGTGAACATTCCTGAAATGATGGATACTGATCCAGAAATACGTAAAGAAGCTCAAGTGTATGCTACGGTTAATGTCCCGGACAGAACTTTGTTTGATAAACTGTTTGAATATTTTTCATCTTGGTGGAAATTAAAAAGAGCTGTTGCTTATCTGATACGTCTAAAGACTATTTTAAGAGACAAAGTGTCGGAACGATTAAACGGGAGTAAACCAAGACAGTTATTAAAATATTTGTCTGTACAAGAAATAAGTTATGCCGAATCGCAAATAATTAAATTTGTCCAGAAAGGAGATTTTCCAAAGACGTATAAAGCTTTAAGTTTAGAATCTGAGTCTAATGAATCGTCATTAAAGGAAGTTGGATCTTCGTTGGTTAAATTGAATCCTCAACTGGAAAATGAACTGTTATGCGTTGGAGGTCGATTGGAGAATGCTTCAATTGATGGATTGGCGAAACATCCAGTAATTTTGCCATACAAACACTCGGTTACGGACTTAATAATTAGAGAGTGTCATGTTAGTGTCGGTCATATGGGACAAGAAACGGTTCTTGCCACTTTAAGACAGAAGTTTTGGATAATAAAAGGCCGATCAGCGGTAAGACGGATACTTTCAAAATGTGTAACCTGTCAGAGGAGATCTAAGCCAACCGAAACTCAGTTTATGGGCAATTTACCGAAACAAAGACTTGTTGCTGATAAACCACCGTTTTCGTGCGTTGGAATTGATTATTTCGGACCTTTGTTAGTGAAACAGGGACGAAGTGTTGTGAAAAGGTACGGCTGCCTTTTTACTTGTATGACTTCAAGGTCTGTGCATATAGAAATTGCACATTCACTAAACACGGATTCTATGATAAATGCCTTACGGAGATTTGTTAGTGTTCGTGGTCAACCAGAGGAGATATGGAGCGATAATGGTTCGAATTTCACAAGCGCGGATAAGGAACTTAAAGAGGCACTTAAGGATTTTAATCAGTCTAAACTCTCTAGATTTTGTGTTCAGCGGAATATAACTTGGAATTTTAATCCACCTGCGGCCAGCCACATGGGTGGTGTGTGGGAGCGAATGATTCGTTCAGTACGCCAAATATTAAAATCTGTATTAAAGGAACAGTTAGTTTCGGATGAAGTTTTATTAACTGTTGTAGCTGAAGTGGTGTTTATCTTGAATAGTAGGCCGTTAACGAGAAACAGTGATAGTGTTTTAGACGACGGGCCTTTAACACCAAATCATTTGTTGCATCTTAGATGTAGTAATAGTTTACCCCCTGGTATATTCGAAAAGAAGGACTTATATTTAAAACGTAAATGGAAACAGGCTCAATATTTGAGTGATGTTTTTTGGCGCCGATGGGTAAAGGAATATTTGCCTACATTATTGGAACGATCTAAGTGGAATCACGCCAAACGTAACATTTGCATTGGGGATCTAGTGCTTTTAGCGGATGATAATTACCCACGCGGTCAGTGGCCCTTGGCTCGAATTGTGGAAGTATTTGTGTCTAAGGATGGGTTTGTGCGCACCGTTAAGCTTAAAACAAAAGCAACCGTTGCGACTTGTGCAAAGCATCACAAGGATGCTAATATTAAAGATGGTTATGTGGTTCTTACTCGACCAATTCATAAAGTATGTTTACTTGAATTGGACGAACCTGTTATCTTAGATAATTAGTTATTGATGTACATGTATGTTAAAGTAACTGTTTGGAAATCTGTAATTTGTATTTATTATTGAGTTAGCCATAAGAATTAAAATGGTAGCTAATTGGTTTTTTTTTGTACATAAAAATGTTTACTGTCATTTTTATGTAGGGGCTGGTGTAGCTACCATATCCCTTTAGTATATGTTTAATAGTGTTATTTTGTAAAATGTATAAGGGTAGAGTTTGATGTCTACTTTCGGTTTCACTGGTTTTCGGAAAATCTTACTGGCGGTCTTAATCCGAGCCTCGGTTTGAGAGTTCGCGGTAAAAATATAATGATGGCGTGTTGTCATTTCCAAGTGTGGACGGTTTATTCGGTATTTGTTTGAGGATGTGACCCCAAACAACTTGAAAACCAGTGAATTCCGTGAATTTGTTAATGTGCGGTTAGATGCGGATATCTAAACCCATTCAGTAAACTGTTTTTCTAATACATATATGATTTAGTATGTACATCGGTTGACTGTTGTGAATTTCACTGTGTTTCAAATATGGGATTGAGTTCAGCGGTTATTATTTTAATAAACTTTGAACTTTTACTTTGTTTTGAGTTTAAATACACTGTGCAGTGGGCACATCCACTGCCAATGTGTAGTGCACTGCCAATGTGTAGGGATCTTCCACATCCACCACCAATGTGTAGGGATCTTCCACATCTACCACCAGTGTGTAGGGATCTTCCACATCCAGTGTGTAGAGATCTTCCACATCCAGAGCCAGTGTTTAGGGATCTTCCACATCAGTGTGTAGGGATTTTGGTGGCAATGTTTTATTGTTGACATGTACGATTCTTGATGATACCCACTGTACAATTAGGGATGGGGGAAGCTCTGAGTTTTATGCGACTAGCCAATATCCACATGGTAAAGGAGGTGGTCTAACCATCACAAGTAGCAAGTACGATCCAGCACTTTTATGTGACAATGATCACTTGGTTTCTTTCCACTTCTAATGGTAAAGAAGGGTGGGGTGGTCGAATGGTTAATGTGTGCAAGTTTATTCAGAATTTTTCGTTGAGTCAGTGGTGTGGTTTCAATTCCTAGCTTGGATGTGACAAGGAGTAGGGTCGCCTATCCAACCTCATTGATTTTCTCCGGGTCCACTGCTGAAGACCCCTATGCGCAAACAAATTATTGGAATAAAATTTAACGATATTAGTCCCGAAATGACATAATTTGTGTCAAGTGGATGATAAACTCTCTCTGTCTCTCTCTGTCTTTTCAAAACTTTAAAATTCAAAGCCATGATTTGTGCAGAAACAGCATAAAATTTAGCAATTCTCAATAAAAAATTGCAGGGGGATTCACAATTTATGGAAGAACGTTCAAAAACTTGGTTAAAAACCCAGGTGAAATATATCAATAAAAATTTCAGTCCAACAATTAACTGGTTTGTAACAGTTTTTTCAGAGTGGATATGAAACTCACTCTCTCACTCACTGGAGGGTTAAGTGGGCTAAGGGTTCTATTGAGTCACTATAGATCATAAGGTCTGTCATTATTTCCCAACATGTATGTGATGAGGAGTAGGGTAGCCTATCCAACCTTGTGGGTTTTCTCCGGATTCTTTGAGGGGGTTGGATGGGCAAATGGTTAGCATGTGCGTGCTGATTCATAAAGTCTGTCATTGAGTCAACTGGCGTGGTTTCAATTCCTAGCTTGGACATGACAAGGAGTAGGGTCGCTTGTCCAACCTCGTAGGTTTTCTCCGGTTTCCTCCCACTGCTATAGACCGCTACACGCAAGCGAATTATTGAAATAAAATATGTTAGTCCCGAAATGACCTGTAGTTTGTGTCAAGTGGACATTAAACCCCATTTCTTTCTCTTTCTGGATTCTTCGGTTTCCTCTCATTGCTGAATTATTGAAGCAAAATAGTACCCTGTGTTAATCCCGAAATGACCTTTATTTTGTCAAGTGGATGTTAAACCCCATTTTTCTGCCCCTCACACACACATTATATCATGCACAAAAACAAAAAATAACAGAACTCCATTTTTTTTGTATTTTTTTCTAAAATTTTATTTTATCCTTTCTAATCACAAGAGCTTTATTGCTAGTACCCTAAGGGATTGAAGTGACAAAATATTACAATAGTGACATCAGGATGACATGACATGTCAGTCAGTGACACCAGGGTGACATGCCGATGGGACTGGTTAAAATAAGTCTCTACGTCATGTTAAACAACTTCATGTGTCATATTTTTAAAACCTGATTCAAACCATCTAAAAATAAATACGCCAAGGGCAGATAATTCATATATACATGGCAAATCAACTTTGGTTAGTGATTTAATTGAGTTTTGAGCAGAAGACACCTTCCCTTAAAAGAGACCAAAAGTTGTTTGAGTGCCAACTGCAAGATAATTGAAGAACTTTGTGGTTAATCATCATTTGCCTCTCTGCAATGGCTAATATCATTGCAGCACCATGGCTTAATTCTTTTTATGCACCCAATTAAATTAAAAAGCAAAGTTGACTTCGACATCAATCTTCAAGCAGCCTATACTAAATAAAGGGAGATAATTGAAATATATAAGACAACATTATTGCATCATTACAATTTGATGCCTTTTTATATACATTAATCACAACTTTTCTATGAAGAGGAGCCGACTTTATTCTTACATTGAAAACATAACGGCAAAGACACGAAAACGATGTCTCTAACGTGGATTTTCAACGTGAAACGACCAGATAATACTATATCCACACGTACACACAAATATTGGACGATTAAATTTTCTTTCATACTGAATATCTTTGTAACACTAAGTTTAAAAAATATTAATTATTTTTAATTACAGTAATTTTTTTGATTAAATATTTTTACAACGACACATCAAGCAACCTCAAGTCAAATCTAATAAAAGACTAAATCTGAAATATTAAAGAAATAGACAAAACATTACGAAAACTTGTTATAAAATTTCCTAATTATTTTCAACAAAAACAATTATCCAGAAATATTTGGGTGAAATTACCCAAACAGCTTTTACAAAATGTAATGTTAATCAAATTATAATAATTCTGATAAAATAATTAACAAAAATTACACAAACTTACATAATAATTTTTATTTAAGACAATTTTATAACCTAGTCAAATAACCATCGAGTACAGAAATGCAATTCAAATAAGTTATTTTCTTTTTTTTTTGGACTTGACAAAAAAGTCTAAAAATAATAAATTAATTAAATTAAATAAAATAAATAAGAAATATATTAATCAGATTAAATTTATTTGAAGAAAAGAATTATTTTTAATTAGCTCTGCTTATAAAAACAAAAGTTTTCTGTTATCTAGCTATCCACATAGTTCTTCAGTACCCCCATATAACTATTTCACGACATGACATAAATACAAATTACCGTAGCACCTTAAAATATTTCTCTTAATTTTGCGCATATGGCTAAATTTAAATTTATTTGAATTATGTGCATATGTTATGTTCATTGCAAAATTTCAATTATGTGTATATTTAATGTTTATGGCATAACTGAAATTTGTTTAATTATGCACATATTGAATGTTCATGGAACAATTTACATTTATTTTAATTATGCGCATATTTAATGTTCATGACAAACTTTAAATTGACAATAGAAACGAAATTACTGGGCAATCTCTACTACCATAATTTGAAGAAAGAATCGGATCGAAATCAGGCGAGACGTTATCGTTGCTATGGCTACTATTGTTATGATTATTCTTGTCACTATGGTTACTAAATTAATGTCACATTTAAAGATCAGAATGTATTTTAAGATGCTAGTTTTAGGGGCCATGATTACACGAGACAAATGTTATATAATATTAAGGATTTGTATCTCGATTCTATACACATTCATAATATCTTATTCTGTTAGCTAGTTTACCGGTAACCCCAAGGTTAAGAGAATGATTAAAAAATATGGCAAGTCTTTTTTGTTGATATATTAAAGGGTTTTACAAAGGATCGGAACTATTCATTCTTCAACTCTCAGCCGGCACAGATTCTTCCCCTTCTTCTTTACCTTTAAGGGTTTGACGCCAGTCGGGAGTTTTGCTCTGAAATTAAAGAATGATAATAATTGTACATTGTACCATAAGACAGATAAATTGTGTACCATTAACTGCATTCTTATTGTCAAATAGATCAGGTTGCCATGACTACAAGAAATGCAAGGGAAGTAAGCACAGAAATATGACACACCCGAATATCTAAGCCACTGATCTTCATTTAAAGGGTGTATGGCTCTATATTTTTTGGAACCTGATAATAGAGAAAATGTGTCTAAAAGCATATATCAATCAATATGATATGAATGAATATAAAGTGATTTATTATCAGTTTTGCAAAAATTGATCGTTATTTCTAATCAATTATGTTCGGTGAAATATGTGAATTGTCCAAATTGAATGACAGTTGTTTATGCCTGCTTAGTCCATTCAGCACTTTTTTGTATTATTATTTCGACGTTTGTGAATCCGCCACTATAAGATGTTTTTCTTTGTTTATTACAAACTGCATCTGAAACCATTGAGTATATGACTTGTGACTGATTTTAAAAAGCTCACTATATCTTAAATATTGGATAGTAGGATCACATATTTTCACGGCTAGATAACAACATGAACATTTATTGAAATAGACCAATGGAAAGAATGGAGTGATAATAATAGAGGAATGTGGGTGTGCCTATATAAAAAATGTTAATTACCGTTTCTTCCTCTTCTAATTTATATTTATTCTGACCAGTAGATTTAAGGTTACCACGGAAGTCACGATGTTCTTTCCTTTCCAATTTGGCGAATCTGAAATAAATAAATAATAAATAAAATTTTAAATAAAGAAAGAGTGTCACAAATGTTATGACAAACACCTCTATCAATCACAAACAAACTGAATGTGTTCCATAGTCTTATCCAATCAAATTGCATATTTCTACTGTGCCAAGGCAAAAAATGTTTATAATCACATTTGGTGTTCGAAACTTTAATTGTACAGCATTTGTCCATAGCTAAACACAATGTCTGTTCTTGCTATATTGAAAATTTCATTCAAATTTCTTTATTCTGAGTGAAGTTATCACTGTTTAAAGATATAGTGTAGATGTAGCATCGTTTATTATCAATAGCAACAGTATTTGTCAATCGAGACTTAAGTCTTGATTATCCATTTTATCGTTAAATTTTTCAATCTCGTAGGTGTTTAAATCCATTTAAATCTCAGCCATCCGATGCTCTAGAGAGTTGATTACAGGCAGATTTAGCCCTTACATACTGTATCTTTAAGAATTTTACTTACTTGCTCTCGGTTTTATTGACCTTTCGTAGAACTGGTTTCATACTGTAAAACATAAAAAAATGGTTTATTCTTAATTTCAATTATGGTTTAGTTAGTCCCGAAATTGGCTAGTTTGTGTTGAGTGGACGTTAACCCGGCCGCATCAAAAGCAGGGGCCCATGCAACGTTTTTTTCCTAACACTATCGATACAGCAAATGCTCCCTGCACGTCACTGAAATTAATTTATTGGAATCTTTTTGTTACAAGAGATGCCAAGAGAGAGAGAGAGATGGGGTTTAATGTCCACTCGACACAAACGAGGTCATTTCGGGACTAACATGTGGTTTAATTTTATTTCAATAATTTGCTTGCGCGTAGGTGTCTTTAGCAGTGGGAGGAAACCGAAGGACCCGGAGAAAACCCAGAAGGTTGGACAGGGGACCCTACTCCTTGTCACGTACAACCGGGGATTCAAATGGTTAGCACGCTCGCTGTATCATAAGGCCTGTCATTGAGTCAACTGGCATGGTTTTGTATCCCCGGTTGTATGTGACAAGGAGTGTGTGAAAGTCGTGGGTGGAGGGCGGGGGAGGTTATCTGGGGGCCCCAAAAAACTTGATGCCTAGGGGCCCTGTCATGGGTTAATATTGCACTGTGTACTGTAGATATAACAATTGGCTTTTGACTGTCGTTGACATTTGGTTCCTATACCTCAGTATCCAACTTGCCTATCATTACCAAAGTCAATTCTAAAATATGTATGTAGGTCTACTTACAATTTGCCTTTAGTATCATTAACTTTTACTGTTAAGTCATTTATCTGAAAATAAATGGTTGGAAAAAAAAAGATTTTAAAAAAGAAAACATCAGCGGTCATTAATCAAATTATATTCAACTATAATTACATCATCACTCAGAATTAATTGCATAATTATTGAAATGAATTCTTTAGTATTGAAAGCTCTCTGCGTCATTTGCAATTTTCCAGAAAATATCAAATTTTCCATGGCTTGATTTAAACTGAAATAAACTCATTTAATTACGAAAACAAAATCAAACAAAATGAACTAAAACAATTTATCCCCTAAAAGAAAAAATGATAAATAGTTTGATCACAATCTGATTAAAACACAGATCCTATTTCATTTCGTTTTTTATAGTTCAAAATTTCGTTTTACTACACTTTCATCTGGAAGAGTTGTTGTATAACCCGCCTTCTGAATGATGTGGTCTGCTATGGCAAGTTTTTGGCGTGAGGTGCACAGAACTGTCGGTAAACCACTAAAAACATCAACGCAGATTTGTTAATCAAATGTCTGACGTCATAGGGTCAAAAGCCGCTTGTATCACCTCTGACGCGACCTTCCACTACAACCGCTCAGATCTTCATGTAGTGTAGGACATCGAAAGTATAAAAAAGACGAAACGAGATATAGATCTGTATTTTAATAAGATTGGTTTGATCAGTACTGGCTTATCCCCCGTCCAAGAAGAGGCCTGTAATATATTGTTTTAATGGCTAGATATCTGTTAAATCATATGAAACATTTATATGGAATAAAAGTAACTTGGATGTTTAATTCTGGCAATGTTTCGACAAGGTACAAGTAACTTGTATTATATATTATTGTGTCCTGTTTTATTCTCAGTCATTTACTAAAAGCTGCTTAAACAATTTAGGTATTACCAGTATTCAAAAATTTCTTTTAAAAGCAACCACTTACATAAATCATATAAAGTTTTAAAAAAATTATAAGTATATTTTTTCGCTTTTTATATGTTATTGACTCAAACTTCCTTGAGCTTTTTGTGGTTCTGGAATAAATATTAAACATAGCTCTAAGTTATTTGAAATGTTTTTGCTGATGATCATTAAGACTACCCCAGTCAGAAAATAATCAAGTACAATAATAAACTTAGAAGTAGCTGTTTTTCCATAAGTATGTGCTATAGTTTATTACAATAATAAAGCTCAAAGAAGTTAATATCAACTGCAGTTAGCACTGCAAATATAATACAAATTATGCATTTGTATTCATTTTGTAATGCACAATAGTGAAGCCAAAAGGTTTATTTCTTTTAACACAGATAATTAAAAGAAATTATATATTCACTACAAAAAAATGTAGATATCATGGATATAATTACTTGTCTGTTTTTTTAATAACGCATTGTAACACATATACCTCAAGTTTTCAAGTGAATTTAACAGAAAGTATAACCTGATATTAAATAAAAGAGAAGTAGTTATATCCATGAACCGTATACCATGTGTGTATTTTTTTTTTTTTTTTTTTGTGAATGTTCAAACCTTCTTCTACATGCCATTTGTAAGAATCAAAAAATAATATATAATTAGTTATTTAATTAAAAAATAATATAATTAGTTATTCAATTAGAAAATAACATGGTTCATTAAGAAAAGGATGTTATACTGTTAATAAAGACAAAGAGATGATTTAGATAAAAAGTTGAGATATTAATAATAAGTTGTTAATAATAAGAAAATAATTTCTTGTGTTTATATATTATTAAAACATGTTTCATTTTTCAAAAAAGAATATAGAAAGTTAATAAATAAAGATATTAATTTTAGAAAAATGGTTAATAATGAAATTTATTATTTTGTCCCGTTTTGATTAAAAAGTTATGAGTTAATAATTTAAAATAGATTTATTAATAGAGAAAATAAAGAGTTAAGGTATTAATTAAGATAAAATGCTTGAATATCTTTTTAAACCTCAGTTTCTTTTTCTCGTATTTTGATTTCCCAATCGTATACTTCTTCCTCTAGTTTTTCATAATGTTTCTGTAGCTTCTGTACTAATAATCTCAAATCTCCTAATGACGAAAAATAACATCAAATTAGAGAAATATATCAACCTGAATAACTCACAATCGACTCTTTTTTCCCTTACCTCAAATTCCTGCTTTTTAAGACGAAGTTCCCAGTCGTATATATCCTCTTCCAGCTTGCACAGCTTTCCGTAAAGTTTCTCAACATAATCCTTAAGATTACCTTTTAAACAGGCAAATCATATTTTATTTCACAGAAATAACGAATAGATGGATGAAGCAATCAAGGAACGAATGGATTGGGAAGCAAATGAAAATGAAATAGAGTTTAACATTCAACTGTTCTGCTCCGACAAGGCTAATGAAGATGGGGATACGCCATACAATGTGCTCTGCTGGAAATTTTGCCAGGACAGTGGCACTATCGAATTCCAACGGCCAAGGGATCTTGTACACAGGACCTTGTTTTTTCGTCCCATCCGAATGACTAGACAGCAATGTCATATAAAGTTTTGTCTCTATTTTGAAACTTACAGGGCTGAACGGTGCTGCCACCAGACTGCAACAAGAAAAGCTCTATTGAGATATGTTTTGACTAATTTTGAAATTATCAAAAAAGGCAAAGTTTGCAGGTTTCTTTTTTGTAAAAAATTAGAATTTTGAGTTCCCCATATATAAGCTTCATATATGCTACCTAAGAATAAAGTTCATGATATGCAAATTAAAATCACTGATAATATGGCTATGCTTACATCCAAAATGTCTCAACAACCGATCCCTTGTGACATTTGAAGAACTCTAGAGGTCACCTTTGCCCGATCTGAACATTGTTGACCAAACCTTTGAACAATTTTAATTTACTTTTGGCACAATGCATACCTTGGATGTCACACATATTAACTAATTATGATATCTAGATTTCAAACATATGGGAATAGGTTTAACTTCCCAACAAAATGAAATGGGATTTAACGTCCTACTGAAGACAGATTTTTCAAAAACGCTCTAAAATCTTTTCTATGGTTTTATGGGAAATGCTATTTCCTTTTATTGCATGATTTGAATGTTCAAATAAAATAAAGTCTCTTACTTTGACTAAGACCATCGATACTAAGGGGTTCAACACGTTCATTAATATAAGTATCCTTCTCTTCTGCCCTTTTCTTGGCTTCATTACGAAGATCCTCTGCTGCCTTTTGCATGATGAGTTTCTGCAAAGAATACATTCATAAAATATTAAAATATTTAAAGTTTTCCTAATTGTCTGTACTTGGTAGTAAACATCAAATTTAGCTGTGAGGAATTTCTCTGGACCGTTTCAAATCATGTAATAGAATTTTACAATCAATGCAATTTTATGCGAAAATTTCGGATCAATCTTGGTTAGGAATTGAGGGAAATGTCAGACTTATTATCTAAAAGTTAAAAACCTCAGATATCAGTATGGAAGAATTTGATGAAACTCAATTAAAAGTCAAGTTAGAACAGCAAAGTGTAAATTTTGTGAATATCAATATGAAAGAATTTGATAAAACTCAATAATATTATTGGTCTACTAGATTTGAAAGAAAAATATTAAAAGTCAAGTTAGAACAGCAAAGTGTAAATTTTGTGAAAAGTTATAAAAGTAATAAAAGCGCTGAAAAAATAAATTTGTCAGTAAATTGATTTAGTTGTTTTCTAACAGAGGTAGTGAAAATAAATAAAGCAATGCCTATGAAATTAATGTACAAAATTAATGTTTTGTTAGTTACGGTACATAAATAGCAACATCTGTTAGAAGCTGTTATTTACATTTAGTTTCTAGAATTAGATTAATCGATAAGTAATTATTTTCTTCGAAAGAAGTAAAGCATTTGCCTCATTAATAGATGTATAGATATATTTAATATATGCTAGACTTAGAACATAGAGAAAGTAAAATATACTTACACTTCACCACAATGGGTAATACTGAGCTCTGAGGACAGAAGAGGTATGGGCAAGGGAACTACAGCAAACTATCTTACCTCAAATTCGTGAACTTTCCCCAAAGAGTATTTAGCAACAGTTTGAAATTGTTCTTTTAAAATCTATTGATTTCAAATTATACGTTTTTGTTCCCAAACTTTTGATTGTTTTCTTACCTTAATTAAGACTTAGATAGTCTGTTTGATCATTTAAAAAAAAGAATCACTGCATTGAAAAAAAAATGAATTGAATAAAAGTCATCCCATATTGATATTGGCTATATACCTTCCATTCAGTTAGTTTTAGTATATCTTATCTGACTCCATTTCAAATATGGAATCAAAAAAGACAGTGGTATTACATAGGTTAGTTAGCTGGAGGTCTAAAGGTGAAAGGTGAGAGTTCAAAGGTGAAAGGTTAGTAAGAGGTCATACCTTTAGCATCTTCTTCTTCTCTGGGGACAAACCTCCCAATCCCTTTCTCTTTCCTTTTTTCTTCATGTCTTCTTCTTTTCTACGTCTCGCCTGGTACGATGGATGGTTCAAATAATTAAGGCACATACATTTAAAAAGGCAATCGCTTCTATTTAAACAACATCAACACACATTGTACATAACACAACTTTCAGTGGTAAAATGATATGTATTGTCCAGTATCTTCGAAGAGAAAAGATATCTTAGAAAGATCCCAAAACTTGAATAAACAACAATTGATTAGGATACTGGGGACCGTGCTGGGTCAGTGAGTAAGGAGCTAACTTGCTAATCTGCAGGTCCAACGTTTGATGATGGCTGTGATGACTTTCGGAGTAAGGCACTGGCAAACCCCTTTTCCTTTCATTTGTTTATATTCCCATATTTCCTTTCATGGTTCAGATGAAATTGTTTATCAAATATTTAATCAATTAAAATAAGTGCAAATTTGAGTGATCATTTCAGAGCCATTTCATTTCTAACCGATGTTGGCCAAGTCGATATCTTGTCAAACATAATGATTACAAAGCCCAGAAATAAGGCACCTAACACAGATATTGTCAGCCACAAATTCGGGCTTTGTCAGGCACAAAATATCTGATGCCTGTCATTTTGTACAGCACTGATTTTATTGATTTGATTAATACATGTCCAATGCCCAGAAAAAGATTTATCAGGCACCGGATACTAGTCTATTTTCAGGCCCAATCAAAACATATCTGTATATATCTGAAAGTGTGTAAAATGTACAATTTTGTGTCAATAAATGTCTACTCACAAATATCTAATTTCAACTTCACCGATATTATTACCAAAAATAATCAATTAAATATCTCCACTCTTGTACAGATATTATGGTATCACAAAATGTTTTGTTTCATCATTTTTGTAATTATTTTTTAATTTTTTTTTGATATATAATAAATAATTTCAGTGAAGTTAAAATAAATCTAATGTGACAATAAAATAGGGGGGTGACGCTACAACAAGCCTTGTGATTGCCACACACTATATAATCAACTATATATCACAACATGTCACTGACACATCACTGACATGCCAGTACTGACAGGCTAGACTAGGGGGTCTCAAACGTTCCATGTAAAAATGATGAATGAATATGAAAATGAAGCATAATAAAACAATATGTGAACAAATTATAATCAGATATAAAAATAATGTAAAAATGGTATAGTTTAAATTACATATGAAAATATAGATACATTTAACCTAAAAATTAATTTTGTGAAAAAAGTATCATTTGAATGATTTATGAGAAATATATGAAATCAGTGATTTGAACACAAATTATTATTTCTTTGTTCATAACTTCTGATTTCTAAATAAGAAAATGATGAACAAATAGCTCTACAAGGGATGAATTGATTTTCTAAATCTAATTATGCCCAAAACGGAACTATTCATGACAGAAAGTGGTGTCATATCATTTCACAGAAGTCAAAACATATATAGAAATGAACAAATACAACATAGATACAGAAATAAAATATATATTCAGACAATTTAATTTTCACTGAATACGATTAGTTTGAACAAAAATAAGTCAAAAAAAGAATTTAAATATTTTTTTTATGATAAAACATCGTGTTAATATTTTATTCAAAAAATTGTATTATTTATAATTTTAAACAATAAAAGAATAGCTGTATTAATCATAAAAAGTTTGTCATAATGAGACTTTTTCTTCATTACAACATCAAATTCACTACTTTAAACAAATAATTTAAAATTTTAACGAAAAATCAATATTGATGAATTAAAATTTGATATGACTTTTGAAAATGAAAAATGAATATGTGCCATTAGTGACATGCTATTAATTAAAATTTAGTTCGTTAATCTTTGTTAAGTAAATTAGTTATTATATTCACTTTCTTTCAAGAGACAGCAAATTTTGAAGAAATAATGACACAAAAATTAAGACAAAACAAAAAACTTTTTTACCACAATTTACAAATAAAAATAACGAAATTTAACATAAACATAAATATATATTTTTCAAATAATATTTATCAATGATAACAATTTTTTTAATCATTGGACAATTTTTTTTTAGGAATAAAAAATATAACAAAATATTAATAGATTATCAGATCGTTCTTCGGCGGCTGTTTCAGAAGACATTTAATTTCAGCATATACTGCCAATTAGAAAGCCACTATGAAAAAAATATCTTTTTATAATATAGTGAATTTTGATCTTTAATATATTGTTATAAATGAGGGTTTTTATAAAGGTCATATGATTAGTGTGATGTAACTGATGTTAAACAGTCACTTATTATACAGCTACCAAACTATCAACACATCGCTACTACAGCTTGTCTACTTGAGTGTTTGGTGGTTCAACATAGTAACTCAAGAAATATTACAATATAAATCTTTTTAAAAGGAAATATGGTCTTCAACATAACCATGCTTTATTTATAAAAGATGCATTCTGTAAGATTTAAATAAAAAGCTGGTTGTTCTTGCTATAATAGTCAAAAAATAGATCATGAAAAATCAGTACCGGTATAATGAAAATTTCAGCAAAATTACTTTATCCTGAGCGCAGTTATGAATGTTTGAAGTTTTGACAAGGAATAATTTAAATAGTACCATTGCTATGGCAATAAACTGAGTCTTGATTTTCCATTTTAACGTCAAACTATTATATGGCTCTGATGGTCTAATTTATTATCAGCCTATCACGTGAATAAATGTCTAAATAATAATTTATATAACATTTGAAGTGAGATAAAAGGCCTGCAATAGGAGTACCCAGTATTTAGCTCATCTTTAAATGTTTGCTAAATTACACTATTTTATTACTAAATTTATGTATGCAACAAGCGATATCTTATTTTGCTATTTGCTGTTTCGCTGTTTCATTATGCTGTATTTGTGACCAGGTTTTGTTTTGTGCCTGAGCCATATCAATACAATAAACTAAAATTACAAAACTGTACTAAATCAAAGAAAATATTTTGGGAAGACTCTGAATTGGAGCAAATACTAAACCAAATAAGTGAATAAATCCTATAGTTATCTGTAAAATATTACTACGATTTTATCTTATTTCACTTACACATTTTTTTTTAATTTATTTATTTATTTATTTTTTTGAGAGCAGGATGGGGGGGGGGGGTCTAATAAATGACCCACAGCGCAAAGTTAACGTTTATTTGTAGAAAGTTTGAATTTTGTTGTTTCTTTTGTGTAGTTATTTTTTATTGGTTTTTTTCTTTTTTGGAGGGGGGGGGGGAGGGAGGGAAGGAGGCTAATAGGTTTTAAAGCAAATTTAACTGTAACTTGTAAAAATTTATCTATTTTTCTTTTATTAAACAGGTGCATTTTGTCAAATTTAACCACTGATTTAATGAATATACTTTTATTAACCATACTGGATAATTGACAACAAACAAACAAACAAACAGATATAGACATAAACAACTAACATAATATGGAACATAAAACAGACAAATAAATTGGATAGATAAATATATATTCTTCCTACCTCTTCCTTCTCTTGTCTTTCTTCTTCAAGTCTATCTTCCTCCATTCTCGCTTCTTCTTCCTAATTTACAAATAGAAAATGTTAATCTTCTTTGCTTGGCATTTAGTAATAGAACATATTAACACAAGGTACAATTTTATTGATACACAATTACTGAGTTTAATACTAAGCTTGCTGAGTTTACTTGAAAAAGACGAGAGTATCCTCGTCGAAACGTCACTTAGTATTAAACTCAGTAATTGTGTATCCATAAAATTGTACGTTGTGAGAAAATGTTAACATTAACTTAACGAAACGTGGAGTAATCAAAGGCCACAACAATGACGTAGCTTGGATGTCCAGTGCTAGAGTCAAGGCAAATACCCATCCTCAGTATCCCCAGTGGTCTATAAAAATAGCACAGTCATCAAGGGCAGATAATTTGAATATGTGCCTCCCCCAGAGGTTAGTGGAGTAGAATGGATTGAGACCACTATGGATACTAAGGATGCTGTGGACCATTATTACAGCAACAAAGTTACATGGCAACATTTATTTGCTCCATCATGTAAAACTGTAAACGTTCAGACTTGGAGAATTTCTGTCCGACAGGGGACACATTTTTTTATTTTATTTCTTTTTTTTTTAAATCTTGCTATGGTACTTAAGAATCATGCATCCTGGGTAACAGTCATGGTGGCTCCACCAATGCTATGCCACTGTGTTGGAGAAAACCATGACATTGTCTTCAATGATTCCATTGCAATATTGATTGCAATGTCGAGGTTTACAATATCATTCTTCCCTATATGTGACTTAAATTAAGTTTACTTACCTCAAATTTAAAGGGGAACACTGACCACTGATAAACAATTTGCATGCTTCCTTAATATTCCTTAATATTTTGTCGTGTTGTAACAAAACTCTTAGATCATGCAGTCATCAAAACAAGTATCATGCTACTGTAAAGGTCATGCAAGTATCAAAGTATAAATATTGCTATCACCAATGAAGCCATTTTAGGGCCAGACCCGGTTTCACAAAGCATTCTCAGACTTAAGTTACTCAACTTTCAATGTATTTGATACATTAAAACAACAAAGTATTATCAAGGGCCATGTTTTAGTTAAAATAAGGTGAACAATTTTGAGTAAATTCTTAACTGAAGTCTGAGAATGCTTTTAAAGTGTCAAGTGGTGTGGTTTCACCTCCCCACTTGCACGAGACAAGAAATAGGGTCACCTGTCCAAGCTTGTGGGTGTTCTCCGGGTCCTCCAGTTTGTTCCCACAGCTATTTAAAGACATTTACTTGCATGCGAATCAATGAAATAAAATTGAACCGTATGTTAGTCCCAAAATGACCTGTTTTTGTCGAGTGGACACTCTCTCTCTCTCTCTTGTAAATATTTCTAAAGTTTTAAGTTTTCGATTCCTTTACAAGACTCAGATTTACCAAAATTCAAATAATTTCCCGCATCTAAAGGGGAGACAACCTTCCTGGACCACTTATGCCCCAGTGTTCAGATTTCTTAAAACATTTCCCTAACAACACCACCTAAACATGCATGTTACAGATTTTGTAAACGATCCAAGTCCCTAGTGATGTTAACAGTTGTAAAGACCCCAAACTGGTCATTATTCAGGCAAATTTACTGGTCATTATTCAGACAGGTCATAAAGACAGTGCATTATTATAATGATAATATTTTATTTCTTGGTAAAACATATGTCAAAAGAAATATTGATAAATGATGAAGTCGAACTGATTTTGATAAAAATATAATTTATAGATATAACTGTATGAACTATAATTCAAAAATAAATTTCTTTACATAAATAAATAAACAACAATTAAAATTTATTGTATTAAAAATAGTATTTAAATAAATAGTCATATATTACAAAAATAAATCTACAACATTAATTCAATTTATCACAGAATGAACTTTTAGTCAATTTATCACAGATTGAACTTTTAATTCAATTTTAATTCAACAGAATGAACTTTAATTCAATTCATTAATTCAATTTTTCACAGAATGAAGTTTCAATTTATCACAGAATGAACTTTAATTGTAAAATCACAGGTCGACCAGACTGTGCCGAGTCTGAATCCCAGCTGAGAAAATCCCTAGGATTTTTCTAACTTGGTTCCCGCACAAGAGCACAAGAGCTTAATATATGCACAGAGTTGCATAGTTGCTTAGATGTGACAAAAAAAACCTTGAATCCAGTTCACCTATGTACAAATTGCCATGTGAGTAAATGAACCCTTAACAGTTGGAATTCAATGGGGGGAGGGGGGGATGGAATATCCTTAGTTTTAATTTGTAATACAATTTTGACAGAATAAAATTTAAAAAAAAAAAATTTAGAAAAATAGAATTATCACAGACTAAAATTCATAACAATAACAAGAAAATAAATATAAAAATTGTATAAATATTTATCGGTATTTTGATGCAATGAAAACGCATCAATTTTATAACTGGTCGATTGTAAATCTTCAAATTCTGAATTCAACATCATCAGATCACAACGAGAATGATGTTTTTTTGATCAGGTGAACGCATCACGATAACGTAAGTTGACAAAATGGGAATGTTAAAAATCACTATTTTAAGATGACAACATGTGGATAAAATGTGGCCTTTGAAAGTCTATGGTCAGTGCAGCTCGTATAGTTCTGTGGAAGATGCAACAACATGCCGAGGTTGACATTTGAACACCAAGAACGCATCATTGCATTAATACAAGAGGGCATGAGTACAAGGCCCCAGTTCACAAAGCATTATCAGACTTAAGTTAAGAATTTACTCAACTTCCAATCACTGTTCATAAAGGAATATCTTTGATCTGGAAACACAAAACTTTGCACAAAGTTTCTTATTGATGTATTTGATACATTAAAACAACAAAAGTTTCATAAAGGGCTATATTATTTTAGTTAAAATAAGGTGAACAATTTTGAGTAAAGTCTTAACTGAAGTCTGAGAATGCTTTGTGAACTTGGGGCCTGGGCTATTGCAATGTATATGGAGAAATATCACAAGCATTTAGTTAAAAGCTTATGAATTTTAATTTTTAGCCTTTGTGCCTATGTTCACTGTTGAGTAAAACTGTTGTGGTCTCCGTGGGATGTTGTTGTCAGTCAGTAAGTTCCAGTCTACAATCATGATAAAAATCGTTTTCAGTACTTCCCGAGTCAAATCAGCAGTGCGTTTTATAAGTGGCCCCTTTTGGTTTTCATTCAGTCATTCAATCAAAGGTAATCTCAAGTATATCCTTAAAATCATTATTCATACACATCAAAGTATATAATGGTTAGGGGGAGGAGGGGGATGGCCGAATGGTTAGCGCGTGCACGCTGTATCATAAGGTCTGTCATTGAGTCAACTAGCGTGGTTGGGAGTAGGGGGCACCTGTCCAACCTCGTGGGTTTTCTTCGGGCCCTACGGTTTCCTCCCACTGCTAAAGACCCCTACGCACAAGCGAATTATATTGGGTAAAATTATGTGATCAATACCATATTGATTAACTAAAACACTTTTTACATGCCCAACTTTAAACAACTAACAACTTGGGCTATGTGCACAGTAGCGGATTATCAGTGAGGCTGATGAGGCTGCAGCCTCAGGCCCAAAGATTTTGTAAAAAAAAATTTTTTAGACTTGTTTGATACGATTAAAAACGCATAGACAATGAATGTTAGGGGGTGGGGTTTAGGCCCAACGGGAATCAACAAAGGCCCTCACCCGAAATTAATTAGACCCACGCAATTTTAAATAGGCCCTATTGTTTGGAGATCTGATCTTATTTTTTAAACGTAGGCCTACAATGTACGTTAAATCCTTGTAAGTTTTCGGTTATGTCTTGCTTAATATATTATATCCACGTGACGTCATTTATGGGCATATAAAGTTACATTACCAGTATCAAACGACTTTGGCTTAAGAAAAAATATCTAGCAAAAGATCTTGCGCTAGTATCGATGTAAACACCCCATCATGAGGAAATATTATCCTTGAAAATAGGTGTATGTACAGTTGGTTTCAGGTGACGTTTCTGCTGTCAAAGCATTTTGTACGACAAATTTCAATAGTTATAACTAATATTTTAATAATATTATAACCTCAGTAACGAATCCTGTTTTTAATGTTAGCAACTACCTTGGCTCTAACTTTAAAAACTAGATAGGCCCTCCAGCAACTGCCGCCTCAGGCCTTGGCGGAGCTTAATCCGCCACTGTATGTGCATTTCAGACATTTTGTCTCCACAGTAAATTACATGGCAATATCCATTTAAAATGAAGAATTTAAGCAGGATTCACACATGCATCAATCGTCTAATACAACCAAATTGTTTAAAATGAGCTTTTGTTCAGGTATTACGTTCTAGCAGACTTAATACCTAGCATGCTAGTATTTCTGGTGGATGACCATCTTGGTGACATACAGTCTGAGGAATAAATTTCAGATTGCGGACTCAAATCCTCACAGGAAAATCTCATCAGTAAATCCTCCATACTCAACCCGCGTGACAAACGTCGTCCAATGCCATCAAATCGACCGATAGATGTTTGTCTTTCACTTGGTCGAGAAATTTCAGAAGTTAGATTCTCAAATTTTTGTAAAATTTCATTCATGCGACTGTTGCTAGAACTTCTGGACTGGGATCTGGCCGTCGACCTGGGACTTTCGATTAAAGATTCACAGCTGTCTCTCAAGGAACTGTATTTCAGCTGAGGACCAGACGATCTTCTGGAGTTGTCATCGTTGTCTAGTAGCTTTCTAAACGATTGTAACTGTCCACAATCATCATCTTCTTCTGAACTCTCAAACCCAGAGCTGCTGACGATACTCAACTTTCGGTTCTCGTTGATGGTAGAAAATTGTCTCTGTAACTTTTCATCCTGGCATCGATCGTAACGACTTCTTCGTATCGGAAGTGGACTCTCTTGGCAGCTACGTATTCTGCTCACAAAATCAACTGGACTATCTCTTCCATTTCTCACTGGAATTGGACTATCTCTTCCGTTCTGCAAAGTATTCCAGGAATTAGCTGGACTTTCTCTTCCATTT